AACGCACCAACACCAACACAAGCACCTACAAATGCACCTGCGCAAGTGGAAGAGCCAATGGAAAGAGACGGTAAAAGGGAACCGACTCGTCAAACGTGACGTCCTGAGAGGGCAGAACCCGGCGCGAGGTGGGGTGGTAAAACTGCCAGCCAGGCGCGTCAGGGGGAAAGCCAAGGAAGACGCAGGGAATGGCGCGAGAGGAGAGCTTGCCCGCGGTGGAATCGCGGACAAAGGCACAGGAACCCCAGACCCGGAACGCGGACGCATCGCCAACCTCACCCGTCCCACGAAGAGTAGGCGAGGTCTCCAGCAAGGAGACACGGGGCCAGAGGTTGAGCTGATGCGCAGCGTACCGGACCGCAAACGGCCACAGAAAATGGGGGGCAGCCGCATGGATCATGGAGGTACGAGCAACCTCCATGACTAAGCCAATGCGGCGCTCAGCAATCCCATTTTGCTGCGGGGAGGCCGGAAGCGTGAACGACTGGTGAATGCCCTCCTCCTCACAAAAGGATCGCTAGAGGTCAGAGGAGAACTCACCATCCCAGTCAGAGTGCAAACGCAGGACAGGAAGGTCCGTGCGGAACCGCTCGCGCAGCTGGAGACGGACAGCTCGGATCCAAGGGATCAAGACAGCAGGGACCTCACCCTTGCTGCGCAAGGGGAAGACCATGGTGTAACGCGAGTAGTCGTCGACAACCAGCAGAAAGTATCGCTCGCGGCCCTGTCCCTGGACGCGGGCTGGGCCCCACACGTCCATGTGGAGAGTCTGCAGAGGAGCTGTCGTCGAGGGAAACGAGGAGGAGTGAGGAGCGGCGCGCTGCCACCCCTCGACGCAAGGAATGCAGGGCGGGGCAGGCGAGGGCGGGAGGGGAGGCAGAGACCTGGGAAGACCAGAGACCAGAAGGCGAGAGTGCATGCCACGAAGGCGTGGCAGGGAGGGGTGACCAAGGCGGTGGTGCCAAAGGAGAGTCTGGTGCGACAGGCGGCGACACTCACAGGGGGCTGCTACCGGACCTGACGGGGACACCTGAGCAGACGCAGCGACCTGAGGCGGCGCAGTAGTCAGTGTGTACAGACTCGACCCCGGCCGATGGGTGATTGTGGTCAGGTGACGGCCAGTCCGAGAGCACGTACAGATCGCCACACGCTGGTGTCCAGGTGTAAAGGTATCAACCCCTGCATCCTAAAGGACTGAGGTGCTCACCAAGGTCGTCGAGAACGAGGGGAGGTGGAAACCAGACAGGGAACCGGACGGAACGGCCGGGCACGGGAGCACAGTAGAGGAGCGTGCAAGAACCGGGCCCCCAGAGGGGCTAGCTAGGGAAACTGCAACAGGCCAGGTGAGTGGTGTGACTGTGGTACTGTCGCGAAAGAAGCAGCGAGAAGCACCTGAGTCAAGCGTGAAGGTGTGCGAGGCCTCAGCAGGCGCAGTACCAGAAAGAGCAGACTCACTAGCACCTAGAGCAGCAGCCTCTATACCAGGGTCATACGGCGCACACAAGTAACAGTCACCCTCAACACTAGTAGACAGAGCATACATGCCAGCAATGATAGCATCAAAGTCTAGAGCAAAGATATCAACACCATCCTTCAGCAGCTCTGCCCAGCGGGGCAGCTCATACTCCTCGCCTATCTCCTGGCGCCAAGCGTCGTTTAGGCGGGAGAAACAGTGGTGCTGGGTGTGAAACTTCCCGTACGTCTGATCAGCACGTTCACCTGTGCGAATAACGTACGGGCAGCGAGCACTACCCCCAGACGCCCCACGCTGAGCAAACCACTCACGAAGCTGCTAGGGCAAGAGGGCCTCACGCGAACGCTGCTGCTGCCGCTGAACTACTCCAGGGCGGCCACCACCGCCGCCGCCGCCACCACTCCCGCCGCTGCCATTCCCGCCACCACTGCTCCCACTGCCACCACGACCACTGCCACCACCACCCCTTGCCGCCGCCGCCAGGGTAGGTCGTGGGGTAGCGCGGTAACCGGTGGGCCCGAAAAAAAGCCGGTCCTACGGACCTACTGTCATGATATCATGTTAGAATCTAGGCAAGAATGAATGGACTAGGAAGCAAATGAATACAAATATGAAAACCCTAGAAGGGTTGTACCCCTTACTGGCTACCCCACTATAGCCTACACAATATGAACAAAACATATAGTTTGACACGTGGGCCTCTTAGTGGAAGGCGGCCATGGACTCAGAGTTGGCGTCTTGGAGATCCACAGGCACGTACGTCGACGCAGTTACCCCTCCCTCAGGCGAACGTTGTCGATGGGATGTGGCTCTTCAAGGTGAAGCGGCCGCCTGGAGCACCACCGGTTTTCAAGGCGCGCTATGTGGCGAGGTGCTTCAGTCAGCGAGAGGGAGTTGACTTCTTTCAGACCTTCGCCCTGATCCTGAAGATGACTACTCTTCGGTGTTACTTCACGTAGCAGCATATCGAGACTACGAGTTGCACTCCCTCGACTTCTCCACTTCATTCCTTCAGGGACGAGTGCACGAGGAGATCTGGTTGCGACGTCCTCCTGGTTTCACGGTCACCTTCCCACCTGGGACCCAGTGGAGCCTGAGGCGACCAGCCTAAGGTCTCCGCGAGTCGCCCCGTGAGTGGCACGACACTCTTCGCTCCACGCATTGTGACCTTGGGGTTCACCCTTATTCTGCTGATTCGTCGCTGTTTGTTCGCTCCAGCTCCACCCTGTTCTCTATCTTGGTCTACGTCGAGGACTTGGTCTTCGCTATAGCTGACAGGATAACTCTGTCTGAGGTGAAGTCTGAACTGCAGAAGAGACACACGTGCACTGACCTCGGTGAACTATAGCGCTACCTTGGCCTTCAGATCATCAGGGACAGAGTTTCTCGTACCATTACACTCTCATAGTCACACATGGTGCAGCAGGTCCTTCTGCGGTTTGGGCTTCAGCACTCCACCAACGTCACAAACCTTTGTGACGGAACTCCAGAAGATTTGCGAGAAGGCAGTTGATGCAATTCGCAAGGCGAATACTACTGCTGGAACTAAACGGATCTCCTGCGACAGGGAATCGTCATGACAGCGGGGCAACTAAGGGATCGTACTTGATTGCAACGTCGGTGAGCCTCAGCAGCTGAACGAGGTTCACGAGATTCCGGAAGACCAGATCAAAGGAGGTTATGCGAATAGACTCGAGAGATGAAAGTTGCGGGAAATCGGGAGCGGCCAGAGCGGACGCGTCCGGGAACACGAGAATGCGAAGCCGCGAAAGCTGGAAGAAGGAAGCCGGGAAAACGACGTTCGGGTGAAGACAGTCCAGCGACAGCACCTCCAGTTGCTTGCATTGCCGAAAGAGCTGATCCAAGCCGTTTTCCGTAACCGGATGTAAGTGCTTCCTTTCGTCGTTTTCCGGATCTTCATTGATCTTGCTTCCCACGTGGAGAACCGTCAGCTTCGGGCATGACGAGCCGAGGTGAGAGAGGAAGGCGTCGTCTAGGGTTTCCACGCTGCCGTTGCACAGATGCAGGTGGGTCAGGTTCGGAAAGCATGAGACAGCGTTGGCGAGGTCTTGGCGGGAAACGACGAGATTTTTCCTGACGAGAAGTGTCGAGACGTAACGCTGGGAGAGGCGGCGCCAGCGACGGCAGACCGAAGCGATGAGGAGACTAAGAGCTGCGTCGGTGAAGGCAGGAGGAGTCGGCACGAGCTCGACACGAAAAAATTTAGCCTACCCGAAGTCGAACATACGGCCACGATTTTGTGGACCTTTCAAAATATATGGTGACACCTGTCACCGCGAAGCTGTTGCTACCCGACGACTGGCGTGTCCATGACACCTTCCATGTCAGCCTTCTTCGCAAGTTCGTGCCTGCCACGACAGACATCGCATGCCAAAACGGCACCTCGACAGTTCGGCCTGTCCCGGAACCGACATTCAACCCGTCCAAACTTTAGGCGCATAGTATTTGGCTCGACACTGCCGGTTGTCACGTGGACTAGTCCTTTGGATTGACCGCACCAGTGAACACGACCGTGGGTGCCATTCCCCTCGTTTGAAGCCTCACCACTTCTTGTTGATTAACTCACGCACAAGCGGGGTGCGGATATCAACCACCTTTCTTAAGGGGGGGAAGGGGGGGAGGGGGGTAGTGTAAGGAACTTTTTCTTTCCTTACCGGGGTTGACTGTTACGCTCACAACCCCGACATTTCGAACTTTGCACGTTCGGCCTTCATTCACGATGCCTTCGGCTTTCCGATCGCACCTGCACCCAACCTCGTTTGCTGAGGTTCCCTCCTAGATAGGGTAGTCACTATATTAGCGAGTGCCTTCATTGTATTGTCAGTTCATTGAGTCACAACCTCGTTATTCTTTATTCCGCGCTCTCTCTTTTACAACTCATAACATATTTGGTCTGATAACGCTACCCTGCGATAGTGTTGTGGGATATAATTCTTCATAATTCTTTGTAAGTCCACGCCGCACCGCCCTCTCCTTATAGTCCCTACCACCCCTGACAGATTTTGGGAAATGACTGTCACGAACGAGCATCCTTAGGGCGGCCCGAAAGCACACGAAACCAACCAGACCAGCGACACCTGCAACCGCGCGTCGCAAATGGCTTTCGCTGGGAAACGACATTCCCCGCCCTGCCACCATCACCTTGCCACAACCACATCCTCCCCTCTGGGTTGTCTGCTTCATTTCACCCCTACCATCCCGTATCAAGATTGCTGCAAAATACGTCACTGCCACGCTCAAATCCCCGTGTCTTGCTTCTGCTCCCTATTGAGCCGTTTCATGATTATTCAGCATCGATCTTCCGCTCACGTTCAGGCTTAAAGTCTTGTAACAAGCAAATATTCTTCCCATTTCAACGGCGACTTCGCCCCTCTCCTCTACCCACCAGCTCTGCCGAAATTTCTGACGGTGGTGCCAGCCGCATTCCTGCTAATTCACAGCATTCCGCGTTTGCAGATAACAAGCAACAGCGCCGCATCTCGGACATAGAGCTTGCTCGCTCGCCATGCCCCCCGCGCTCAACCGCTCGTCGTCGGCAGCGGCAGCGGCGGCGAACGCCAAGATGTATTCGGCGCAGGGGCCGCACGTGGTGGGGTTGGACGAGATCGAGGCGCTCAAGGCGTCGGCCAACAACCTCTTCGTGGAGGGCAAGTTCGGCCAGGCCATCATCGGTGAGTGCCGCGCCTGGCCATCATCGGTGAGTGCCGCGCCAGGCCATCATCGGTGAGTGCCGAGCCAGGCCATCATCGGTGAGTGCCGCGCCAGGCCATCATCGGTGAGTGCCGCGCAAACCACTGCCACCTGCCACCTGCCACTTCTGCTTGCTGCGCGCGGACTACAGCCGTCAAACCCGATTCCCGATGCGTTTACGGCCAGGCGGAAAGTTGTTTCCGCTGGTTTGTGGGCCGCGGAGAGCAGTGAGTGGATGCAAGATGTTGGAGTTTGCCAGAATCCCTTATCCCTTCACCATTCCCTTCACTATTCCCTTCCTCACCTGCTCTCCGTCTTCTTTTGCCCGATCTAGGTTTCTAAACCCCCAAACCGCCTCGTACCTGACACCCGCCCTCCTGTCCGCCTGCCCTCCCGCCTCCCCGCCCTCCGCCCGCGTGCCCGGCAGGCTACAGCTACGCCATCAAGCAGATGGCGGGGCTCATCGTTCCGTCCGCGCGCCGCGCCAGCACCAATCTCGACAGCCCCTCCGCCGTCGCCAGCGCCGTGCGCGACGCCAAGCCCGACCCGCGCACCGCGCAGCTCGCCGCGATCTTGTACAGCAACCGCGCTGCAGCCTACTTGAAGATTGAGAAATACGACAAGGTGAGTCAATGTCAGCGTATCGCGAAGCGCGCGGGACGGAATATAAAGAACTGTGATGCTGGAAACACTGGGTGCGCCTCTATTGCTGAAATGGCGGAAAAGGAGATTGAACGCATGTGTTCGTCCTAAGCTGGAAGGCGATCTTAAAGCTCAACACAGAGGTCACAGACCGTGGGTGACCTGGAACCAACTAGTCACCGCTCCTGTGCCGCGGATCCTACGCGGACGCGGCCCGCTTTCTTAGGCCTGCTGCAATGCTCCCTACCCTAATCTCATTCCACTCCCCTTCCTCCATGTCCTCACTTTCCCCGGCATCTCGTCATACGTCCCCCTCCCCTACTATCTCTCCTGCCTGCTCACAAAGCACGATTGCGCACAGCTGCCTGGCACCGCCTACACACCCCGAGACAGTTTGACAGGTCGAAGGCGCGAGCGCAGCCCGTTTCCAATGACGCCCTGGCTCGCCCCTCTTAAAGCCCTTGCCGTGCTTCCTGCTCGCATCTGGTTGACCACACTGCATCCATCCGTGTGGGGGGCGCGCAATGACATCTGATGACCCTCCTTAACCTAGTGTGGTCAAATCGGCTTTCCCTCACCCTCACCCTCACCCTCACCCTCACCCTCACACTCACACTCACACTCACACTCACCCTCACCATTCTCCCGTTTCGTCCTCACTCCCAGCTCCCCTTTCCGTTGCCTCGTCGCCTTCCTTGCGTTTCTTCTGACCTTTCCGCATTCCTCCTCTCCCTGCGTGGCGGGGCCCAACCAACAGGCGGCGGTGGATGCGGGGGCGGCGGCGGTGATAGACGCGAGCAACTTCAAGGCGTGGCTGCGCAAGGCCATGGCGCACAAGGAGCTCAACCAGTGGTACGACTGCCACGTGGCGTGCAAGGCCGCCCTGCGCCTGGAGCCCGCCAATGAGGACGCGAGGAACCTGTTCGAGGAGTCCCAGTTCAAAATGGGGTCCGTGCCGCAGCAGCCTGCCCCGCAGCCACAGGCAGCGCCGGCGCCACAGCCCTCGTCAAAGAGGTTTGGCTTGTTTGGCAGAAGATGAGTCAGGGTGCAGCACGGTGGGGGGGGTGGGAAAGGGGATGGATGCTGAGTGGAGAGAGATGTGCTGAAGGGTGGATCACAGGCTGTGCATGGGGATGATACGCCCAGACAAGGTTGCTAGAATAGCTCTTGGGTGAGCTTTTGGGGAGAAACTGGCAAGACGTTCACATTAGGGTAGCCAAGTGACAAGGATGAGGAGAGATGAGAACGTAGGGAGCATAAGGTTCCCGGAAACGCTGATTTCTGTAGAAATCAGTAAAAGCGACATGTTAGTGTAAATAAACTCTCAAAACAACCATTTGGCTTGTTGAGTAAAATTAGAGTATGATATATTATTTAGTCCATTAGTCTGGTAAACATGTACCATAATCCTGAGCTCTAGATGACCCAGAAAAAGGTAGTCAATATGGACTCCAGAAGATTGTTACATTGGGGCTTCTGGAGATCCTCTGTTTGCCTACTTGTACCTTGTGAAGACTCAGCAGCTCTTATTGAGCAGTACTCATCATGGGGAAAGCTAGCGACAGAGCCTGGAAGCGGCCACCTTGGCTTTGGTAGCCACTGTACCCCAAAAAAATCACACCTCCAATCATACAATGCATGAAAGCAGGTGAAACTATTTTGAAAATTTTGAAACGCTGGCTTTAAGCATCATGCTTCTCTGGCAGGGTGAGGAAGGCCTGGCCTGGCTTCCTGTTAGCAAGTGGGCAGTGGTTGCCCAGCAGCTGGAAATGGTAGGAGGGCGTGTGGCACAGCAACAGTGAGGAGAAAGGAGAATGCACAAGGCATGGATCATGGAAGCACAAGGAGAAGTGAAGCAGCACAGAAAAGGGAGCACTGGAGTGGACGTTTCATGGACGTGGAGTGGTATGGACCCACCTTGGCGTTGACTCCGTCGTGCACCAGCCTGTTCTCCTGCTTCCACTTCACAAAGGCAGCGCGTGCAATCTTCGTAAAGCCCCTGCCTCACACCACCGCACACCACGGGCAAGGAGGGCGGATGTGCAGAAGCATATTGGCACAGAGAGCAGGGCACAGCGGTGGGATGCGAGGGAGCAAATGACCCTTCACCAGCCTCCCCAGTAAACCCAGATTTTGCTCGCCCTCCCCTCACACCCCCATTCTGCGGTGCTTCCTCGTGCGCACCTCAGCACTGCCGTGCGCCTATGCACTCACCACTTGCGGCTGGCAATGACCTTCTGGCGCCCGGGGAACTTGAACTTGGCGCGGCGCAGTGCCTTTGCGGCGACAGCGGCGTTGGCCTCCTTGCAGTGCACCGACAGCAGCACCTGCCCGATGGCCACGCGCGCACACACTCCCTGCGGCTTCCCAAACGCCCCTCGCATGCCCGTCTGCAGCCTGCGCAGCGCAACACCGCGCATACGATGAGCACGCACACAATGAGCGCGCGCACAATGAGCACGCACACAATGAGCGCACACACAATGAGCGCGCATTGAGTCGGGGCGTGCCACCCAAAACACGGAAATCCCTAGGAGCTACCATGCACTCCAGGGAGTGGCCTTGGGTTGCGCAAAGTAGACTGCAATGCGTGGGCGCAGGGCACCAACGTGACGCGCAATATGGCACACCATCGCCCCTCCTGCGCCTATCAGCGCGGGCGCAGGAGCGCGCACCTATCAGCGAAGGAGCAGGAGCGCGCACCTATCAGCTGAGGAGCAGGGGCGCGCACCTATCAGCGGAGGAGCAGGAGCGCGCACCTATCAGCGGGGGGCAAGGAGCGCGCACCAATCACCGGAGGGGCAGGAGCGCGCACAAATCGGCGAAGGGGCAGGAGCGCGCACCTATCAGCGCCGGCGCAGGAGAGCATTTTGTTGATGCGGAGGACGTGGAAGGGGTGCACGCGGATGCGCAGGTGGAAGGCGTCCTTGCCCGCGTACTTGGTCATGTACTTGTTGCACGCTATCCGCGCCGCCTCCAGCGCCTTGCTCGACATGTTCTCCTTCTCCCAGCTGCAAATCGTACCACGCGACATGCAAATCGTTCAGGCGCAGCACGCGAACCCTCGTCGGCACGAGACGTGCTGACGTCGTAACGCCGTCACACGGACATATGGCACTACAAAGAGGCGGCTTGCTGACAAGGCGGTCGCACTTGACGGGCGGTCGCACCTGTCGAGAAACGCAAGGGTTGAGTCAGCAGCCGTCCGCGCCGGTGGACATTCAAAACGCGCAGACGGGCGCAACGCGCGAGCTGAGCGAGCCGCGCGCGACACTTACGGCGACCCATGGCATCTGGAGTGGTGTGGACGCCTCTCGCGGGGAAACAAGAGGCGAAGGGGAAAGAAAGAAGCGAGGCGAGGCGAGGTGCGAGAGGGTGACAGGGGGACATTCCGCTCCCCACAACCTGCGCGCACAGCACATGCCATTGCCAGGTATGGTGGAAACCACGCCACGCCCCTTCCGCGTTTCCAAACGAACTGCAAGGCTCGGAGGCGAGCTTCGTTCGGCCCGGGCAACAGACAAATTTCCAAGGGCTCATACGGGTGTTGTGCTTCGGAAAAAACAGATTGTCAGGGGTAAATGTGCTGGTTTCAGAAGAAACACATATTCTTCTGAAACCAGCAGGACTGTTTCCTGGCAGGAAAGTCAAATATCGGGAATACATTTTACAGTAATCCCAGGCGACATCAAAGTTTCAGGATTTTGCCTTCGCTGTCGCCTGGTTTCCATCGGGCGACAGGTACGCGCGCTTCGCTGCTTCCCTTGAGCCATGCTCCGCGCGCCCGCCTCTCCCCCATCCAACAACGCCGCCGCGCCTGACCATCGCGACGCCACTCGTCGCCCTCCTTCCAGATCGCTCGTCGCCGCGCCACGCGCCACGCCGCGAGGCCGCGAAACCGACGATCGCAGCTACTGCCGGGGCAGGGAGCCGCTCCGACCGCCGCACCTCGCTCGCCCTGCGCTTTCCACCTCGCGCCAGCTTGCGCCCATTCGACCGCGTGGCCCGCGCGCACGATGGCAGCGCATCTTGGTAGCGGTGCTGTCCTTTACGGGGATCGCGCTCGCTCTGGCTCCGCTGGCGGGTGGCGGGCGATGGCGGCGGGCGGTCTCGTATTCATGGCGTCTCCCCGTGCTGCGACGAGCTGGCGACGACGCCATGCGACACTCTGCTTGGCCCAGCGACGGGGATCTGCGACTATCCGACGACAGAGACGGCCGCTTTGGGAGTGGGTGGGGAGGAGGGGGGAACATGGGCCAAGGTCTGGCGGCACAGGGGGATGGGGGGAGCGCGGGGAATGGGAGTTGGGGTTGGCGCAACTGGAAGGGTGCGGGGGAGGGTGAGCTGGGCGGGGGGCTGAGTGAAGCGCGGAGGAGGGAGGCGCTGCAGGGGCAGGAGTGGGGCAGCAGAGGGGCGAGGCTGAGAGCGCGGGCTGCGGGGGAGCAGAGCCGGCGAGGCGTGGGCGGTGGGGGCGTGAGTGGGCAACGAGCGGAGGTTTCAAAGGGCGGCGAGCGGGCGGGCACGGGGGAAGTGGGCAGCAGCGGTGGCGGAGGCGGGCAGCAGTACGGCGTGCAAGCAGTGCAGCGGGAGGCGTGGTGGACGGCGTTTCAGAGAGGCGCTGCTGTGAGCTCACAAGGCGTCCACCAGTGCTCGTCACTGCTGCCCCCTGACATCCAGCCACTCAACGTGTGCGTGCTCTTCCCCCCTCACACACAAGCCTTCTTGTGCTCGCATTGAGTTCCTTACTGCTCCTCTCTCGCTCCCCTTCACATACTCGCCGTCCCTTCCCTTTCCTTCCTGCATTTCCATCTCACGGCCATCCCCATCTCACGGCCATCCCCATCTCTCGTTGCACCCTGTCCCAACCACATCAGAGCGCGTGTGGCCCCCACGGCGCGCCTGGAAGTGGCGGACCTTACGCTGCCGGATGCGCGATGGCTGCTGGTGCTGCCGAGGCACGGAGTGGGCAACACGCTGCGAGGCTGGGTGTCCGCCGTGCCCTACGCTGTGCTGTCAGGCCGCACACTCGTGCGCGCCCACGCCGCACAGCACAGCCGCGTGCTCGACAGCCTCTGCCTCGCCTTCCACTGCGCCTTCCCCGCCCTGCAAGGCCCGCTCTCCCTCGCTGCCACTGCAGGCCAGGGCGGCAGGGGGGGGAGTGATGGCGAGAGGGAGAGGGAGGCGGAGGAGGTGATGGCGGCAGTGAAGGCGCTGGACCCAATGTTCTTCCTTGAAATCAGCGACACGCCTGACGGTAATCACACTTGCGTCATGGAAATTGGCTTGCATGTGTCGGACTCAGTGCACCCTGCACTTCCTGCTGCACTGCCACGCTAGACTGCTCCTCTGTCCTGTGCTGCATGCCCCTCCTCCCCCCTTGCCATGCCCCTCCTCCCCCCTTGCCATCCCCCCTTGCCATGCCCCCTGCAGCGGTGGCCGAGACAGTGCCATCGGACTATCCCCTGCTGGCCACGCGTGCCGGCACCTTCTTTGATGCCTTCTGGGAGCGCTCGCCCCCGCTGCGCGCCTGTGTGTTGGCAGCCTTCCAGTGTGCCTCCCTCCACTGTGTGCGCTCCAAAGCCCTCTTCTCCCTCCTCGGCGCCGGCCCCTCCCCCGCCCTGCTGCTCACCGCCCACTCCGTGCTGCGCGGGCCAGCCGGCAGTGAGGGGGAGGAGGCGGGCCGTGCAGGCGCAGGAGACGAGGGGAAGTCTGGGGGGGTAGGGAGGAAGGGCGGTGAGAGGGCAGGTGCAGGGTACGTTGCGGAACGGCAGACGCATAAGGGGCAGACGCATAAGGGGCAGACGCATAAGGGGCAGACGCATAAGGGGCAGACGACAACAGGTGGGGCGACCCCTGGGCTCACGGGCAAGCGGCATCTCCTGAGTGTTGCAAGGGAGGGCAGGGACAAGGGTGGAGGGGCGCGAGGGGAGGAGCAGGGAGAGGGGGCGGTGTGGTTTGACGTGGCGGTGCATGTGCGCACTCGCACTCTCGCCGTGGAGAAGGCAGTCAAGCCCGGCAGCACCGACACGCAATGGCAGGGGTGCACCGATGCAGGCGCCAAGCCCTCCGCCCCGCCCTTCCTGCAGGACTGCCTGTGGCGCTGCGTGCTCTCCACCATCTCCCTCCTCGCTGCCAACTCCACCACCAGCAGCAGCGGCAGCAGCAGTGGCCGTGCGGACGTGCAGTCAGTGCCCTGGGCAGGAGGGCGGGGAGGGAGGAGGTTGACGGTGTTTGTGGCAACGGACGACGAGGAGCTGCGCCCCGCGTTTGTGGAGCGATTGCAGCGCATGGAGGGGGCACGGGTGTACTGGTCCGCAGCAGCAGTGCGCCACACGTCCAAGGCGGGGGTGGATGGGCAAGCGGGGCAGGGGGGGCTGCATGGGCTGGCGGATTGGTGGCTGCTGTCGCGTGCCTCTGCTGTGCTGCAGGTGGCGCATGCTAGCTCCTTTGCTTACTTTGCCTCTCTCTTTGCCAACAGCACTTTTGCTTCGGTTTCCACATTAAATGGCCGCTGTGATGTGCATTATGAGCATATAGCCGAACCTGTTACATGAGTAAAAGCTGCCGCTTAGCTAAATAATCTGGCGCTTGGTGTAAGCCACACGAAACCGTCCAACAGACTGCATAGAACACATCAAGAGTGAGCTTCACGCAATGACACATGATGCTGCTCTTGTGAAGGAACCTGCACAAGGAACCTGCTCCACATATTCCTGCACCTGCCTCTCGCTCCCCCTCACATCCATCCCTGCACACACGACACGAACCTCCTTGCTCCTTTTTCCAATGCCTGGGCGCTGCGCTCATGCTGGCGCGTGTGCCTGGGCGGGGTCAGGCTGGCCTGGTGTGGTGGTGAGGGGGCGGCCGAAGAGAGCAGCAATGGCGGCCGTGGGGTCACTTGTGCGCACCAGAGACTCACCCACCAGCACCTGGGGGGGAAGAGAGGGGGAGGGAGAGGGTGCAGATGTGGAGGATAGGTGCAGGAGATGGAGGCGGTGAGAGCAACAAGGCATGCGGCCCACATGGCTGTGGGGGGGAAGGCATGGAGAGGAGGGGGTTGGTGCAGCTTGTAACAGATAAACATGAGGAACGGTCGGTCAGTGGGGCATGGCGAGGGCGAGGCTGGGCAAGCAGGTTGGGGCAAGCAGGCATTGCAAGGTGCACTCACAGCATTGCAGCCCGCTTTTTGCACGAAGGCAACATCGACGGGAGTGAAGAGGCCTGACTCGCCCACCACCTGACTCACTCACACCACACCATGGAGGGGGGCATGGGGGCATGGGGAGCAGCAATACGCACATGGAGGCATGGGGGCATGGAGGGAAGCGGTGGCACGGTGGAGGCTGGTTGATGCATGGTGTGCATGGTGTGCATGGTGTGCACCATCATCCCCCCCCTCACCTCGCCATCATCCCCCCCCCTCACCTCACCATCATCCCTCTTCCCCCCTCACCATCATCCCTCCCCCCCCCTCACCATCATCCCTCCCCCCCTCTCACCATCATCCCTCCCCCCCTCTCACCATCATGCCTCGGCCCTCACCATGATTCCTCTCTCCCGGATAGCAGCGCCCCTCTCCCCCGCCAGCAGCTGCTGTGTGTTGCCTATGTCCACCTTGAACGTGCCTGGGGCAGAGGGTGGAGGGGAGGGCGGGAGAAGGGGCGGAGAAGGTGGGGGGCATGTGGTACACGGGCGGAGGTTGGGGAGAGGGGGGTGCATGGGGGAACTAAGGGGGGTGCATGGGGAAACTAAGGGGGGTGCATGGGGAAACTAAGGGGGGTGCATGGGGGAACTAAGGGGGGTGCATGGGGTGTAGGAGCTGTCAAAAGAGGACAGGTTGGGGGGTGCATGGGGGAACTAAGGGGGCAGCGGCACGTGCAGTGGACCATGGCAGCATGAATGCAAGTGGGGGGGGGGCATTGTGAGGGGGATGGGCATTGTGAGGGGGATGGGCATTGTGAGGGGGATGGGCATTGTGAGGGGGGGTGGGCATTGTGAGGGGGGGTGGGGCCGCACCGAGGTCGCGGTTGTTGATGCCGATAAGCGTGACCCCCTCCAGCGCCAGCACCCGGTCCATCTCCCTCTCCGTGTGCACCTGGGGAGGGGGCACAGTGGGGGGCAGGGGGCAATGCGGGCAGGGGGACAATGGGGCAGGGGAGAGACAGTGGGGAAATGGGGCAGGGTGGGCAAGGGGGGGCTGGGGCACAAGGGCAACGGGGCAAGGGAAAACAGAGAGAGGGTTCAGGGTGGCACGACATCAGCGGCAGGCAGGGCAGCCGAGCGGCAGGGCGGCAGGGCGGCAGGGAGGGAGGGAGGCACCTCGATGAGGGCGGCCATGCCGAGCGAGTGCGTGATCTTCATGAGGTAGCGCAGGTCCTGGTCAGGCAACACAGCCGCGATGAGCAGCACGGCGTCTGCGCCCTTGGAGCGCGCGCAGTAGACCTGCCATGGGTCCACCACAAACTCCTTGCACAGCAGCGGACACCCCACGCCCGCTGCTCGGATCAACTCCAGGTTCTCAAAGCTGCCCTGGTGGGGGCAGCAGGGGGGGTGGGAGGGGAGCAGGGGAGGGCGAGGAGAGGCGTGAGGAGGAGAGTGATGGGGAGGGTGGTGGTGGTGGACGGTTGGATGGCGGACGTTGGGTGGTGAGCGGGAGGTAGTGCGTGGGCAACGTTGGGTGGGAGGTATGACGTGCATGCTCCTAATGCTGTTGCACGGCAGGATGGCATGACAATGCGAGCAGGCAATGTCATGCACATGGGGAACAGGCAATGTCATGCACATGGGGAACAGGCAATGTCATGCACATGGGGAACAGGCAATGTCATGCACATGGGGAACAGGCAATGTCATGCACATGGGGAACAGGCAATGTCATGCACATGGGGAACAGGCAATGTCATGCACATGGGGAAGAGGCAATGTCATGCACATGGGGAACAGGCAATGTCATGCACATGGGGAACAGGCAATGTCATGCACATGGGGAACAGGCGAGTGAATTGAGTGTGAGTGTGAGTGTGCGTGCACGAGGCACCTGGAAGAACTTGGAGTCTGTGAGCACTGACAGGCACGCCGCACCGCCCTGCTCGTACGCCTTGGCTATGCGCACCTGAGGGGGTGGGTGGGAGGGGGGAGGGGAGAGGGAGGCACAGCACAGGCAGGTGGGGGGGAGAGGGGCGCAGGCAAAAGAGGAGTTGTTGGTTGCAGGCCGAGGGGGAGAGAAGCACAGGGTGGGTAGTTGCAGTGGGTAAGGCAGAGAGTAAGCAAGCACAGCACGGTGCCCTGCCCTACCCTGGGCAGCACGGTGCAGGGCGGATGAGCGCAAAGCGAGCCGCAACGCAGGCGCAGAGGCGCAGCGTCAGATCCAGCCAATGGATGGCAGCATGCGAAGCAAGGGGGATCCGAGCGAGGGGGGAAGCGCATTGAGGGCGGAGTGAGGGGGGGGGGGGGGGGGGGGAAGCGAAAGGGGGGGCGGGGGCGTACAGGGTCGAAGTCGGGTTGGATGACCCCGCGGCTGGGCGACGCCTTCTTCACCTCCGCGATCAGCGCCGGCACGCCCGTCTCCGCCTCGCGCGCCCTCAGCGCGCCCACGAAGTCCCTGGCGGGCGGCGCGCCCTCGAGCGCGCGCGCGAGCGCGGAGAGCGGCGTGCGCTCCTTGAACGCCGCCACCTCGCCGTCCTTGTGCCACACGATCTCCTCCAGGATGTTTCGCGGAACGTTCTCCTCCACCTTGCCCCCGACGCGGAACTCGAACGGTCCCACCATGTGCGCCGCCGCCCCCCCCGGCGGCCGCCGCCGGATGGTCACTCCGTCGCGCTCCTCCGCCGCCGCTTCTGCCTCCCGTTGCTGCTGCTCCGCCCACCCCGGCGGGGGGACGGGGATTGGAGAGGGCGGCGCCTGTGATTCCGCTGGCGCGGGGGACGGGTCGGAGGAGGCTGACGCGCGCAGGACTGGCACGCGCTGGGAAGCCGGGGAGAGGGGGGAAAAGGGGGGGGAAGAAATCGGTGGGGTCGGAGAAGAGGAAGGAGTTGTTAGGGAATGGGGAGGAGAGAGAGCAGTGGCGCCAGGGGAGCAGATCAGGCAGCGCGGGTTCAACAGAAGGTTAAGGCCGCGAGGCACGCAGAGGGTGGATGACTGGAAGGAGGAGGAGCGGCAACAGAAGTCATTGGCGCGCGGAATGCAATTGGCGAACATAAGGCGCTGAGGCGCGAGGAACGCGCAAATGGGGGCGGGGAGCGACGGACGAGAATGAAGCGCCCCGTGCGGCATGGGTGCGCAGCACGAAGCGCGCCGGGCAGAAGGCGCAACGGCCAGAAGGCACACCGGGCAGAAGGCGCACCGGGGAGACAGCACTCACACGAACGGGCTGCGCCATTGACGAAACGCTTGTTGCGGCGGAGTGCCACGTGGCGAGCGGGGAGCAGAGCGGGAGGGAGTGCGTGAGTGCGGTGGGCGCGCGGAGGGCGGCCATGGGGGCGCGCGGGAACGACGAGAGGTGCGCGCTGCGCGTTGCCCGTGGTCGTGCAGAACGGACTGAGTTGAGAAAGAGATAGGAGTTGGTGCGGTGGCGCATAAAATGCGAAATGCAATGCACGCTTGGCAGCAGTGAACCAAAAACCCAACCCAGCAGAAACAAACTGATCAATTTCGCCGTTTTGGTTACAATCGCCAATGTTCCTCGCTACACCCCAAACCTCGCTCCCGCGTGCTCCCCGTTATCTGTCGTGAGCGCGCGTGCGCCGACCGTTGGTGTCGTCGTGTCGCCTCTCATGCTGTCGTCGCGCCGCCTCTCGTTGCTCCGCATGCAGATTCCCCACCCCCCTCGCCCGCGCGCCTTCACCGTGCAACTCCCACTGCCGCGCCTCCCGCTCCCCTGCATCTCTCTGCGCCATGCGCCATGTCCGCGCGTCTCCGCCCCCGGCTCCACCCTCCGCGCGCTCATCGCCTCGCAGCCGACCGCGACCCAGCGAGGGGCGCGAGGGATTGTAACAAGTGGGCATGTAACGAGTGGCTTGGTATCTGCGAGTGAGATGAGCCGTTTAGCCTCAAGACACTTGCTTTCTGCGCGCCAATGCGCGCCTGCCGCCCCGCATCGCGGAATAAGGGCGTGGGACCGCGGTGAGGGCCGTGGGTACAGCGCGATGCGCGCGAGCGGCGGAAGACGCGCAGTGGCGGGGCGAAATATCGAGGCATATGGGGTTGGGAGGGGGGAAGCGGAGAACAGAGGAGGGGAAGAGGGACAGATAGGATGGATGGGTGACGAGGAGAGTGAGAGCGAAGGAGAGGGTGAGAGGGAGTGGTGGGAGGAGGAATTCGGTGACTCTGCGGCGGGGGAGAAAGGGGCGTACGAGAGCGCAGGAGAGGGGGGAAACGACGCGCAATCGGGGGAGGAGCAGGCGGGCGCGGAGGGGGCGCGGCGGGCGGCGGTGTTGGAGTACCTGGAAGGGGAGGGCGTGGCGGCGGAGCTGCTGGAGGGCGTCGCGCTGCCGCTCGACGTACGCGTCGTGCGCGAGCGAGTGCAATTCCTGCGCGCTCTCCGCCTCGACGTCGCGGAGGTGGGTGGGAGGGCGGCCGCGGAGTGGGAGGGCGGGCCAAGCAGGGGAGATGGGAGAAGGGCGTCATTCCGCCCCACCCCCCGTGTGCATCACCTTTTTCGCTCACTTCTCCTCCTCGCTGCCCCCTCATCCCTTCTTCCCCCTCCGCCTCTCCTCCCCGCAGGTAGTGGGGCGGTACCCTCCGGTGCTGTGCGGTAGCATAGCGCGCAACTACGTGCCGGTGCTGGCGCACCTGGAGAGCATCCCCATCGCGCGCGCACATCTGCCCGCGCTGCTCACGGCCTACCCGCGCGTGCTCTTCTCCTCCGTGCGCATCGACCTGCTGCCCGTGCTGCACTACCTGCAGGGCCTCGGCGTGCCGCCCGCCGCGCTGCCCTCCGTGCTGTCGCGCTGCCCGCACCTGCTGGGGCTGCGACCCGAGGGCAGCATGAGCACGAGCGTGGCGTACCTGGTGGGCATCGGCGTGGATCCCAAGGCCATCGGCAGCATGATCGTGCAGCTGCCGCATTTACTCACCATGCGCGCCGCCACCACCATCCGCCCCAAGGTCGACCTGCTCTCACACGCCCTCGCGCTGCCCCTCCCCCAGGTGGCGCGGCTGCTGCAGGCGCGCCCCCACCTGCTCGCACTGGACCTGCACGCCCAGCTGCGCCCCGCACTCGCCGCCCTGCGCGCTGCTTGCCTCACGGTCCCGCACATGCGCGCCGCTGTCACCGCCTTCCCACACCTCCTCGCCCTGCCGCTGTCCGATCTCCTGCCGCCCACCGTCCAGTGGCTCTCCTCTCACGCCCACGTGCCGCCCGCGGTCGTGCCGGGGGTGCTGGCAGGGCTGCCACAGCTGGTGGTGGCGGACAGGCGGCAGGCAGAGGGGAAGCTGCAGCGGCTGCGGGAGAGAGGGTTCTCCCAGCACCAGGTGGCGGCGCTGCTGACGGGGTGCCCCCAGGTGCTGGGGCAGCGTGGGGACACCATTGACAGGAAGCTCACAGTGCTGCTGCAGCACCGGACGCATGCTGACGTGGTGGCATTCCCCCCGTGCCTGGCGTGCCGAGAGGAGGTGCTGGAGGAGAGGCTGGGAGCGGCGCAGAGTGCCGGGGTGAGAGGGACGCTGGAGTGGTTGTTGGACTGCCCTCCAGAGACTTTCCATGAGCGCCTGAGAACCGAGTTTGTCGTGCTGCCACCCCCTGTTGAGGTGGTCATACAGGAGAGAGAATAATGATCCTGGGACACATAAATGGGCCGTTGGCTTGATGTTGGAAGAATGTGCTGAGAAGTACAAATGCCTCACGTGATTGATGTTGGGATAGAGGTGCTTTGCTGGTGGCACCCCCCACACTCATAAAGATGCCCTCATAAAAGGCATTCAGATGAGAAACATGGCATTTGGTGTGCGTGGTGGCAGAGTGGTTTGCATGCCTCCTGTCCCCACAGTTTTCAAATCAGCCAGCTGTTCCTAAAATTAATTGGGGTGTTTGTGGAGTGTGAATTCTCGCTTAAAAGTTAGACTAATCTGCACATTTGTAACAGTTTTGAGTCTGGTTACATCGCCGTGATTGCCGCCTCATTTCAAGCCACCTGGGGTCAACAGACCAGCGAGGAGATTCCAAGGCGCCGTCCCTCCCGCCAAGCCCTTCCCACCTCGAGCTCCCCGCGCAGCAGCAGCCAGCAGCAGGTGCTTCACTTCACCCACGCGCGACTGTCTCCTTTGCTGAGAGTGCTTGTGCACCCCTGCTGCTGAACTTTTGGTTGACTGTTCCACAAGAGAGGCATGCCAGGACATGCGCGTAAGTTAGGACACCAACAGTGCACGTGAAGCCGACATTCTCCTATGCCATTTAGGGGCTTCGATTAAACTCCGTTCATCCGTCACTAATTTCCGTGTTTCCTTCTGAACTAGTTGTCATTTTCAAAACGCTCTGCGTGGTTGGACGGAGTGCACTAATTCGTTTAGTTCACCTTCTCCCTTCCCCGCGCGTCGCCTGAATCCTGGCGTCGCCGCGAGCCTCGGCGCCCGGCTCGGCGCGCTGCGATGGACGCCGTGTACGGCTTACTGTCGGGCAGCTGGCTGCTCGGCACCCCCAAGGCGCCGCCAAAACCGGAGCCAGTAGATGACGTGGACAAGCCAGTGCCGGAGGAATGGAGGTCCAAGTATCCCTTCAGGTGTGCTCGCAGGCCGCTCTAGCCGCGCGCTGCTGCTAGTCCGTCGCGCAATAGGATCTTTCCCTTGAGTCGCCTCGCGCAATAGTCGTAGCACCTGGCATTGGCGCGCTGTCGAGCAAGTCCGTGTACTTTCCGTTGAGTCGCCTCACGCACGAGCTGGCATTGGCGCGCTGTCGGGTACGTCATGCCCATGCTCGTGCCCGTCCATTGAGTGAGTCTTCGCCGCCACTGCATCCGCCAACCGCGCCTTCCCCGCCCCTCGCTCATCACTCCCCCTGTCCGCCGTGCCGTCCGCGCCCTTTCCCCCGCAGAAGCGACGATCCCACGGAGCAGCGCCTGAAGCAGCTGCTGGAAGCGTACGAGGAGTCCAGCAGAGAGGTGAGCAGTGGTTCAGCGAGGTGAGGCGTGAATCAGCGAGGTGCGATTGTGGAAATTTCAGAAGAATATGAAGTGGCACTTCCGGTGAGGAAAATGAGAATGAGATTCCGTTTGACGAGTCTGCCAAATTTCGAAACTTGCCGCGTCAGCTTGTTCTGCTCCTCTTCCCCTTTCCTCCCCTCACCCCCTCTCCCTCCCCCCTGAACTCGCCCTCCCTCACCTGTGCTTGGCGCGCGGGCAGGGCGCGTCAGCGGCGTCAAATGCGACGCTGCTGGTGTTCCTGTCGGCGCTCGTCGAGGCTTACGCCGACTGGTTCCCGCCCGACCCCGATCCCGACGCGCACGACGACGCGCAAGGGAGCGACAGCGCAGACGGCGAGGGGGAGGCGGGCGGGCAGCGGCTGGGGCACCCGCTGGAAGTGGTGCGGTGCGTGGCGCGCCAGCTGGCAGAGTTTGCACGCGTGGCGAAATGTGAGTGGCTGTGGTGATGGATTGGTGGGTTATGTGCTGGAGGTTCTGGTTGCAGTACTTATTGTTGTGGTGGTGGTTCGTTGTGGTTCGTTGTGGTGCTTCAAGTGAGTCCCTCCCTTGCATTGCCCGCCCTGCCTCCACTCGGTTCTCAATCAACTCCCTCCCTCCCTCCCTCCCGCCAGCACGAGGGCCATCTGCGTCTGCAGAGAATCAATCAGCCAATCAAGACGCGCCAGGTGGCAGCGCATCAGAGGGCCAGAGCCGGTCGGCTGTGGGCAGCACGACGCTGTGGATCGCATCGCTGGCCATGGGCGCGGGCAGGGGGGCGGAGGGGGGGGCAGGGGGCGGGGGGGAAGCGGGGGACGCGGAGGAGGAGGCGGCGGCATGGGACCGCACGATGCTGGCGCTGCGGGCGGCGTCCATCATCTCGCGCAGCGCCCACAACCGCAAGCTGCTCGCCTTCTTCCGCTCCGTCTCCGCTGCCATCCACATCCTCTCCGGTCCGTCCGTGCACACCCCCCTAGGCCTCCGCTCCCACCCTCTCTCTCACACCCTCTGCTTCCACACCCCGCCACTGCTTCTCCCTTTCTTCCCTTCCTCTCCCTCCGTCTTCCATCCCCATTTCACTCTCCCTGTTCCAGCTTCCTCTCTTCCTCCCATCCCATACTCAACCTTCTCATCTTCCCTCTTTCCTCCCCTCCCCTCTTTCCCCTCCCCTCTTTCCCTTCCCCTCTTTCCCCTCCCCTCTTTCACCTCCCTTCAGGCATATCAGCGGACCTGCGGGTGGCAGCGGCGCCCATCATCTCCACGCCCATGCCCTCGCCACACCCTGACGCCCCTCGCGCCACACCGGGGAGGAGCATCACCAGCACCGGCACTAGCAGCAGCGGGCGGGCAGCAGGCAGCACGTGGGGGGCAGAGTTCGGGGTGAGGCAGGCAGGGGGCGAGCGGGACGGGGATGCCACCTCAACGCCACCACCTGCTGCAGGCAGTGCGGGCAGGGAGGGGGGCGGAGCAGCGGGGCCGGGGGGGTGGTTGAGTGGGGAGCGGCGGAGTGTGCTGGTGGGCGTGCTGCTGAGCTGCGCCACCAACGCGCTCGCCCTGCTCGCCAACTTCCTCGACGCCGAGATGCGCCGCTTCGCCCAGCACCAAGCCCTCCCCCCCGCCCACGCCCCCCCCTTCTCCTCCCTCGCACAATCCCCCGCGCGCGCCTCCCCCTCCCCCCGCAGTGGCGCCGCCTCCCCGGGACTCCTGACGTCCCCCTCCGCCTCCGCCCGCCTGCGGGGCAGTGGCAGGAGCAGCGGCAGGTGGGGGGGGCGGAGGCTGGGGTTTGGGGAGGAGCTTGCGGGGACGGCGTGGGGGGGCAAGGTGGGGGCGCAGGGGGCGGAGGGGGAGGACGCGCATGCTGGGATGCGCGAGGTGCGCGCCATCGTGGAGGCTGTGGAGACCAAGGGGCTGGCTGCCCTGCTCGGTGCGTGCTCATGCTGCTGCTTCTGGGGGGGTGGGATGGCTGTGAGGCCAGTCCCACCAGCCAGCATCCACCATCCACCATCCCCTCTTAAATCCTCTCCCACACCACCTTTTTTTCTCTGCTCCGCCCACCTCAAACCCCCCGTCCCACCCCACCCCATTCCACCCCACGCCATTCCATTCCACGCTGCCCACTCACCCGCTGTTGTCAATCCCTCCCTTCTCCCCCGCCCCGGTGCAGCTCTCATCTCCCCACTGCGGGAGATCCAGACGAAGCGGGCGGCCCACTGCATAGAGGCGGGCGGCACACTGCTGCTGGTGCTGCAGGTGATGCGGTCGGTGGTGTACGCGAGTGTGACAGCGCGTGCCTCCTTCATCGCCTCGCAGGGCCTGCACCACGCCCTCCACCTCATCTCCTGGCCCTCGCACCTCCTGCACTGCCACCTGTGAGCACCTCCTGCACTGCCACCTGTGAGCACCACACATGGGACAAGCGCCCTGGCTGCTCCTCGTTCACTTCAGCTCACTCTCAGTGCATCGTTCCTCTTCTGTGTCCGCCCCCATCCCTTACCCTCATTTCTGCCTGACCTTCTTGTTGGTGCTAGCCCTCAATCTCACATTTTGTACTTGTACTTTTATATCCTAGTTTAGTGTAGTTTGCACTTTGTGTTTGGTTGGGTGTACACCCACATCCCAACCAAACCCAAATGTAATCTCCAAGCAATCTCCAACCCACCAATTGGAGATTGCCTTGGGATTACCCTTGATTCCCTAGGATTGCCTTTGATTCCCTCCTCATCCATACCTTGCTCATTTCTGATGTACTTAAAGAGCTTTGAGCTCACTACTAATGCATAAGTTCTAAGCCTAAGTTTTGACATGGTATCAGAGCCCTTCAACCGCACCTGCGGATCGTAATCCTTTTACCTTTGCGGATACTCGTCCCGCAAACCTCGGCATAGTCACCTTCAATCTCGTCGCCGGTGATTCGCGACATTCGTCGGCGAAAATTCTCCCGCACCACCTTCCCGTCATTCCCGACGACGTCTACAATTTCTTTGGTAAGCGCATCGACGGCGCTGTAATCTATCGGTCTTTTTTCGCCGAACGTCATCGCGTCATTTCTTCTCCTCGTTGGGCCGTCACCCGTCGCCCCGCAGCTTCTCGTCGGGCCGCCGCCCGTCGCCCTGCAGCGTCACCTTTGGGCTGCCGCCCGTCGCCCTGCATCTGCACTTCTACCCCCATCCCCCCTTCCCGCAGCTGAACAGGTGCAGCAGCGCAGCCGAGCAGCAGCGTAGCCGCGAAGCCGAGTAGCCGTGTAGCCGCGAAGCTGAGCAGCAGCGTAGCCGCGAAGGTGAGGGTGGTGTGTGGGGGGGTTGGGTGGGAATAGGGTTAGTTTTACGGAAATCGGCAGATTTAACCTAATCTCGGCGACCTGAAAAAATCTTCTACGAGGCATCCCGACGCGACCGACATTGACGAGTTTTGCTATTTGGGCCCGCCGGATTTCGAAATCGACGCGCTGCGCGCCGCTCGTTTAGGTCCGTCGAAAGTTCCTATCGGCGACTTAAGAGCGGCGCTTCGCGCGAGACTTTAAGGGATCTTCATCATGGCTTTAACCTCGTCCACCGTGGCCAACCCCATCACCCCACTTCGCCTTGAAGCCGATGGCTCTAGCTCTAACTTCAAAGCATGGAGCTATGGGGTTGACAAGCATCTCCTGATTCACCCGCTCCCACGTGCCTTGATTGCACCAAGAGCAAACTGCGCCAACAGCCCCATCCTGCCTCACCCACAGTCGCAGCAGCACCACTGGACCTAGTGCACATGGACGTCTGGGGCCCTGCCCCTGTTCCCGCGCGAGGTGGCCATCGCTACTTCCTTGCTATCGTGGATGACCACTCCCGCTACGTCTCTGTTCACCTCCTCCACACCGAGGCTGAGGTTCCAGAGGTCATCATGGCGTGGGTCAAGCAGGCACAGACCACCTTTGACCGCAAGGTCAAGCGCCTTCACTCGGACGGGGCGGGGGGGGAATTTTGCAACGACAAGTTCAAAGCCTTCTGCTCCCTCGAAGGCATTTAGCAAAACTTCACCCTTCCTGACAGCCCGCAGCAGAACGGCATAGCACAGAGCTGCAACCACACCCTTGTGCAGATCACTCGGTGCCTCCTCAGCCACTCCAACGCTCCACTCTCTCTCTGGGGGTACGCCCTCAACCATGCCGCCCTCCTCTATAATCTTTACCCCCACCCACATCTCCCCGACACCACTCCAACCACACTTTGGCTCGAGAAAACACCCACTGCTCGCTCCCTTCGCGTCTGGGGGTGCACCGCCTATGTCCTCCTCAACCCTCAGGCTAGGCAGAAGGCAGCGCGGTGGCAAACTCGGTCCCAAGACTCAAACGTGCATCTACCTTGGGCACAATGCCGACTCCCTTGACTATCTCTTCCTCAACCCCTCCACTCAACAGTTAGTTCGGAGCCGCGACGTTGTCTTTGATGAGACCCGCCCATTCTACTCCACCTCGGGACCGGATCCTCCTTTCGATCCACCTTCTCTCATGTGGGCGGACTTTGATGCGCTCCCTGAACTCCCGCCTGCACCAGCACCCTCACCTCCTCCCTCTCCTGACATCGCACCTTCCCCCTTTGAGGTCTTTGACCCAACTTCACCGGTGTCTTCGGCAGCTGCTCCTCCCTCCCCCTCACCTTCCCCACTCCGCCAACTGTGCTGCCACCTTTGAGCGCACCTCTCACATACCGTCGGCGATCACACCCTCCGACCCCACATCCTCTCCCAGTTCCCCCTTCCACTGGGGAACGCGCTCTCCCACAGTCGCCCGAGCTGATCACGTACCAGCGGCGGCCAATTCCCCCGCCCAAGTCTCCTAAATCAACCCCTCGACACCGCCTGCCCCACCCTCTTCTCCGATGGTTCATGGCGCTCGTTCGCATGGCCCTGCTCCTCCACTGGCACTGGCTATTCGCTGCTCAGCGATCACTCCGACTCCTCCCGCCGGGGGGGATGCGCCCTCTACCCTTCTAGAAGACTGGCATAAGGAGCTCTGTGATCTTCACGCAGTCATTCCCCAACTCTCGCACATCTTCCCCGACATCACTGAGTCACCCTCACTCAACTTCACGGAGAACCCGACCATCCCTATCCCTCTCACCGTCCAAGAGGCTCTCTCGGATGCCCATGCTGCCGAATGGCGCACTGCCATGTAAGCTGAGATTGAGGCCTTTACCCGCAACCACTCCTCCGACGACGAAACTCCACCTTCAGGAGTTAACATCGTTGGTGGCAAGTGGCTGTTTTGAGTGAAACAGCTTCCGGATGAGGCCCCGGTGTTTAAAGCACGTTACGTGGCCAAGGGATTCACCCAGCAACAATACTTGGATTTCTTCAAAACCGTCTCCCCCACATCCAAACCACCCACTGTTCGCACGCTCTTGGATGTAGTAGCTCGAGAAGACTTTGAGATCAAATCCATGGACGCCTGTTCGGCCTTCCTGCAAGGACGCCTCAAGGAAACGGTATTCATTGATCGATCTAAAGGCTTTCCAGGAGAGTTCCCTCCCAACACTGTCTGAATCGCCCTATCTACGGCCTCAAGCAAGTCCCTCGGGAATGGCACAACAAAGTGAAAGAAGTCCTTCTCTCATTGGACTTTCACCCATCCTCTGCCGACCCGACCCTCTTCATTCGTCGCCACTCTGAGCCATTCTACATCCTTGTCTACGTCGATGACTTCATCCTCGTTGCCAAGGACTCGGCCCAGATGGCCTCTGTTCAGGAGGCCCTAAGCAAGGCCCTCTTGATGAAAGACCTCGGTGACCTCAAACACCACCTGGGGATGGAGATTACTCGCGATCGTCAGGCTCGCACTATCTCTCTTTCCCAGGAGTTCTACATCAACAATGTGCTCAAGCGGTTTGAGATGGAGCTGTGCACACCTATAGCCACCCCACTGTCGTTGCAACACCTCCTCACCGCCCCAGCTGTACCCACACCAGAGGCATGCACTGAGCCATACCCAGAGCTTATTGGATCCCTCATGTACGCCATGATGTGCACCCGGCCTGACTTGGCATACCCTGTCAGTGTCCTCTCTCTCGCTATGTGGCTCCTGGGCGCTTCACAGATCTTCATTGGAATGCGGCAAAGCGGGTGCTTCGCTATCTACAAGGCACCAAGTCCCATGTCCTCACCCTTGGTGAGCTTTCCCCTCCTCGCCTTGAAGGTTACACTGACTCCTCCTAGGTAGATGACCAGACCGACCGACGCTCCTCCCAAGGCTACTGCTTCACCCTTGGGAGCGGGATTGTCAGCTGGCGCTCCACCCGGTTGTTTGCAGTTTCCCTCTCCTCCTGTGAAGCCGAGCTCTATGTCGGCACCATGGCAGCTCAGGAGGCTCGCTGGCTCACCTTCCTACTCTAGGAGCTTGGCTTTCCTCAGCCCACTCCCACCTTCTGGTGTGACAACCAGAGCACCATCCACCTCTCCCAGGATCCCGTGTACCACACTCGCACCAAGCACATCGAACTTCGACACTTCTTCATCCGTGACCTTGTCCAGCGAGAGCAGCTCAATGTGGAGTATGTGGCTTTTGACTGCAACTTGGCTGATCTGTTCACCAAGCCCCTTGGGAAGGTCCCCCACCATCGCCTTCTAGGCGCCATGGGGCTCTGCGCTCCTCCTTCTCCGCCTTGAGTTCGATTGACGCCTATGGGGGGGTGTTGGTGCTATCCCTTAATCTCACATTTTGTACTCGTACTTTTATATCCTAGTTTAGTGTAGTTTGCACTTTGTGTTTGGTTGGGTGTACACCCACATCCCAACCAAACCCAAATGTAATCTCCAAGCAATCTCCAACCCACCAATTGGAGATTGCCTTGGGATTACCCTTGATTCCCTAGGATTGCCCCCTGATTCCCTCCTCATCCATACCTTGCTCATTTCTGATGTACTTAAAGAGCTTTGAGCTCACTACTAATGCATAAGTTCTAAGCCTAAGTTCTGACACTTCTTACCCCTCTCTCTCCCCTCTCCCCGCACCCCTCTTTCTCTTGCTCTGTGCGTGTGTGTGTGTGTGCATGTGTGGGCCCCAGGGAGCGCATAATGGAGTTGGAGAACGATCTGTTTGAGGAGTTCAGCATTCAGCTGCTCGCCTTCTCCGTCATCCAGGAGGCCATGTGTGCTCTCCCACCCACTGCTGCCCTGCACGCGCCATCCCTCCTGCCTCACTCCCACAATCTCATTCTTTGTTCTGTTCGCTTCACACTTGCCCTCCTGCTTTCATCCACTCGACCACTTTTGTCTTGTCTTCTGGCCTTCTCCTTCTCTTGTATTTTAGTCCTCATTTCAACCTTCTCCCTCCCAACCCCATGACCCTTCTCTCCTCCTTCCCTCCATCGCATCCATCCGCTCCCCTCTCCCTGTCAGATTCCTGAATGCAGCAGCACTGGAGATGGTGCGGGACCTACACGGCTTCCCGCGTTTCTCCGCCTTCCTGCGCTGGGCCGCCTTCCTCTTCACCAAGTCCTCCTCCGAACTCCACCCCACGCTCGTCCTCCCGCCACAACCCCCCCCTGTGCCCGCCCTGCCGCCATCGTTCTCAGTGGCGGGGGATGAGGTGGGGGGGGAGGTGGAGCTGCCAGCCATAGTGGCGCGCAGGGACCCCAAGGCGCTGCTCTTCGAGGGCTCTGTGCTCGCCACGCCCTCCCGCGCCGCCTCCTCCCCTCACACCGCAGCCGCTGCTGCCGCTGCTGTCGCTGCAAATGCTGCCGCTGCCGCTGCTGCTGCAGGGCGCCCCTCCCTCACCGTGCCTGCGAGTTCGAAGAGTGGCGGCACGGGCAGGGATGGGGATGGAGCGGGGGCAGCAGGGGGGGAGAGGTCGTGGGCGCGGGAGAAGCTGTTAGCGAGCAGCACGTTCAGGCGCGTGACAGCAGAGCGCAACAGCACGGACAACGCGCTCATGGCGTGGAACCCCCACGCCGCTGTCGCCTGCACCGTGCTCTGCCGCTTCCTCGCTGATGCCATGCCCGCTGCTGCCCTGCGCAGGGGGCACACCTTTGCGCATGGCCATGGTCACGGACATGGGCATGGGCATGGGCATGGGGGAGGGTATCGGCAGGACATGGGATGGGACGCGGATCCAGAGGAGTATCGCGAGCAGGCGGCGCAGTGTGTGGCGGGGGCGCTGCTGGGCGTGTTTGAGCAGCAGGTGGGTGACTGGTACGATGCAGCGGCAGCACGCATGTTCCGCTCGATGTCGCCCGCCTTGCAGCTCTTCACAGTGCACCAGCTGCGCCGCATCCTCGGCTCTCTCATTGCCGGGGCGGAACACTTCCGCTCCGCGCGCCTCTGGCACGCGCTCTTCTCGCCCATCTTCTTCTTCTTCGGCGCTCAAACCAGGCCGCGCCGGCCGCTGCTCTCACCGCGCCTGCTGGGCCCCAAGGCAGCTGCGCTCGCCGTCGCGCCAGCCACGGCCGGTGCTGCTGCAGGCGCAGCGAGGGGAGGTGCAGGCGGGGCGGGCGGAGAGGGCCAGCAGTGGCAGTCGTTTGCCAGGACGAGCTCAGTCGGGGAGGCAACAGCAGCAGTGGGGGCGGACAGCGGAGCAGGAGCAACGGAAGGAGGGTTAAGCAGTGGTGGCAGTGGGGGCGGCAGCAGCAGGCACGGCGAGGGGTTGGTGGTTCTACTGGACCCAGCTCTAGAGTATGTCAACCTGCCGTCCTCCCCCGACGCGGAGAGGCTACGGGGGGACATAGTGGCGCTGGTGGAGCTGGCAGTGTCGGTGGACATGGGCGATGGCAGCGCCACCGAGTGCGCTCTGCTGCTCGCTGCCCTCGAGGCCTGCTGCACGCAGCCCAGCGCGGCCGCCCTGCTGGCACACGCGCTGCAGCGCCTGCTGCATGCAAGGGACACCGACGCTGTCAGAGAGCTCTCTGCCATCCCCCGCCTCGCCGCCATCATCGACCGCCAGCACGCCGCCGCTGCCACTGCTCTCCCCTCCGCCACGCCTCCCCTCACCCCGTCGCAGCTCCTCCCCCCGCGCTCCGTCTCCCTCCATGTGTCCGCGTTCCGCCCTGTACCTTCTGCATACAGCGAGGAGGGCGAGGGAGCGGCAGCCGAGTGGCAGGGCGTGCGGGGGGCGGTGTTCGCGTTGCTAGAAGGCGCGCTGGGGGAGTCTGATGCCGCCCTGGTGGACGCCGCGTGCGACCCCACGGTGTTCGTGCCGCTGCTGCGGCTGCTGTGGGACTCGCCCAACAGGGAGTTTGCTCTGCGAGTGCTCATCCTGCTCATGCACGCGCCCCTGCTGGACCCCTCCGCGGGGCAGCCCCTGCTGGAGTGCTTCTTCGACCTCATCTCCCATGCTGCTTCCTTCACTGCCACTGGCAGCACGGTGGCAGTGACGGGCGAGGGTGGGGAGGAAGGGGGGAGCGGAGACACGGTTGGAGGGGAGGAGGAGGAGGAGGAAAGAGGTGGGGATGGCGAGGAGGTGGTGGATACGGAAGGAGACGGTGCAGCTGCGGATGGGCAGGGAGAGGGGGGAGAGCAAGGGGAGGAAGCGGGGAGGAGGGGCGGTGCAGAGGAGGGCGCAGTGGCAGCAGGGGAGGCAGCTGGCGGTGGTGGAGGGCGAGGAGGGGGCGAGGGGGGAGCGGTGGAGGGGCGGGGGGGGAGGGTGAGCGAGTGGGCAGTGATGCTGGTGGACGACCTGCTCTCCTGCACCACCTACATCGTCTCCGACCCTCCCAACGCTGTCAGTCCACTCGCTGCCGTGCCCGTGACGTGAACGGACAGACGTGCATGTGTCTATCTGTGCTAGAGTGTGAACTAACTCTTCTCATTCTCTTGTGTTTCCCCCACCCTGCACGGCCCACCCTGCGTGCCCCTGCCAGGCATTGCAGCAGCGGTGTGTGGAGGCAGGGGCGCTGCAGCACGTGCTGGTGGTGCTGGACGCGCACTACTCGCCCGCTCACGGGCTCGCCATCACCCTCGCCGCCCTGCGGTGCCTCACCTGCCTGCTCGCCGCCAACCAGGCTGCCAAGGTCTGCCTCCCCTGGCCCCCCGGTCTGCCTCATTATTATCACAGTGCCTGCTGTTGCTGTTCTCTCATTCGCAGCGCCTGCTGGTGACCGCATGCATGGTGCCCAATAGCAACTCGTCTCTCCCATGTGCATGTGTGCATGTGTGTGTCCTTGTGTGTTCGTCTCCATGTGTGTGTGCCACGGTGTGTGAGGGCGGCAGGCAGCCATGGTGCGGGTGGCAGGGGCGGGGTATGCGGGGTTGCAGAGGAGGATAGAGGCGCTCACAGGGGGGAGGGTGGGGCAGGAGGTGCTGGACGCCGTGCTGTGCCTCGCCACTGATGGCGCCTACACTACTTCCCCCCACACCACACGAGCCACCATCCAGGTGCCCCATGCCGCTCATGCCACCTCCCATGTATGTCTCTCCACCTTGCAACGCCCCTTCCTTGAGCCTGCCGCCCTTCTCCAACCTTGTGCACCGGTCCCCTCTCATCCCCCTTCGCTGCTCTCCTCTCCTCCGTCGGCCTTGCGCGTTTTCCTATGCTCATCAGTGCCATCACCCCCTGTCCCCCCCGTGCTCCTATGCGTGTGTGCAGAACGGAGATGCACTAATCCTCTGGCTCACACTGCTGCGTACGGTATGCCCCTATCCCTCCCACAAGCGCGCGTGCTTGTGTGTCTGCGTCCCACCTGCACACACATTCTCCTTTCTCCCGTTGCACCTCCTGCCATGGACACGTTTCAGTGTTTTTTTTTTTTTTTTTTTTTTTTTTTTTTTTTAACCCCCTTGGCTTTCTTCTCCCCCATTCGACCTCTTCTCCCGCACACCCCTCCCACGCCCCCCTACTTACGGGTGCATGCAGGCGCCAGAGAGGCAGGCGGTGGCAGGGCTGCAGCAGCTGCAGGCAATGCTAGCAGACTCCACAGCGTCATGCGCGGAGTGCACGCGCGCGTCACTCATGTGGCACCTGCTGCACTGGCTCTCCACCCTCGACTCCCTCCCCCTCGCCCCGCCCCCGTCAACCGCCGCCGCTGGCGCTGCCACTGCCATTGGCGCGTGGGGGGACGGCGGGGAGCAGCAGGAGGCGGGGGGAGCGGGGAGGGGGGGGGGGGGGGCAGGGAGGGGGTGGTGGCGGCGGTGGCGCTGCTGGTGGAGACGATGGGGCGGCACAGCATGAGTGGCAAGGAGATCACGGCGGTGTTCCACCTGCTGCGCCAGGCGGGCGCGGGCAGCCGGGCGCGGCATGCATCGCTGCTGCTGCGCACGCTGCTGGGCGCCATCAAGGACGAGGGGCCCTCTGGCTTCTTTGAACTCAACGGCGTTGACTCCGTGAGCGCTCCCTCTCACTCGCATTCCTGCTGCTTTCCTGTGCCCTCCACGGTGCCACGCGCCCGCTTGTGGGAACTCCATCTCGCCTCTGGACACATTTTCCGTATCTTGCCATGCAAACCCTGCCCTTCGTGCTCCCCTCCTCTCCCCACTTCCTCCTCTCCCCGCCAGGGATTCAAGCTGCCCTCGGACCTGCGGTTCCCCGGCCCACGGGGCTACACAGTGGTGTGCTGGCTGCGCATAGAGGCCTTCCCCATGCCGCCCGCCTCTGCCTTCCCCGGCTCGCCCCCCCTCAACCCCTGGGCGTTTGATGCCGAGGGGCGCCTGGAGGACACGGAGGGGGGTGTGCGGGGGGGAGGGGAGGCGAGCAGGGAGGGCGCGATGGCGCTGTTCAGCTTCCTCACGGACCTGGGCGTCGGCTGCAGCGCCTTCCTCACCCCCGATGACGTGCTGCTGCATGTGTGTACCTACTGTCACGCCATGTGCCAGTACCCTGCTCTCTGGATTTCTTTCCTTCCTCCTCCACATGACACCGGTCTTCCCAATCACACCAGTATCTTCCACCACACCAAATCCTACTGCTTTTCACCACCACTCGCCATTCACCATCCCACTCCCCCCCTCTTCCCTGTGCTGCGTGCCTGGCACACACTTGGCATGACACCAGGTGGGCGGGGCAGCAGCGCGGGAGGCGGTGGTGGGGTTACCACACGAGCTGCGGCTCAAGTGCTGGCACCACGTGGCCATCACCCACGCTGCGCCCACCTTCGCTGCCCCCAGCACCGTGCGCCTCTTCGTTGACGGCCGCCTCACTGCCTCCTCCCGCGCCAGGTGAGCACACTTGCACGAGGGCAGTGGGTCAAGTATGCAAGGATGAATGCAAGCAAGCACAGGGGGGATGTGCCTGCAGGGGGGACGCCGGTGTAGGGGAGTGCAGGCAGCAAAGCAGGGTCATTCATTGCACGTGCTCCAAATGCCGTTCTCCGTGCCGTGCCCCCTGTGACTTGGGCCACTGTCACACTGCCACAACTTCATGCGCTCTCACTACCCTCACATCCACCCCGTTTCTTCCCCCTTCCCCTCCCTCCCCACCTGCCCTACCCTCCGCTCATAGCTTCCCCCGAATCTACGACCCACTCACGCGCTGCACCATAGCATCATGGGCGCCACTCCCCCAGGCAGCCCCACACGCGCGCACCCCCCTAGACGACGATGACGACCCGGCCTCCCTCTCCATGGCGCCGCCTCTCTGCGGCCAGCTAGGCGCCCTACACGTGCTCGACGACCCGCTCTCCGCCGACCAGGTCGCCGCTCTGCACCGCTTGGGACCGCGCCACGCGCACTCCTTCCTGCCGTGCGAGCTCTCCCTCCTGCCCGGGTCCGCCGACCCCCCCGTGCGTGCGCTCTTTGACGGCAAGGACTGCCTCGCTCCGCGCCTCACCGTCAGCCTCACGGCTCATGCCACGGCGGGGGGAGTGGTGCTGGACGCAACCCCCTTCTGGGAGCAGCAGGGGGGCGGTGGCGCACGGCGCGTGTGCGACGCGGTGATGCTGCCGGGCGTGCAGGTGTGCCAGCGGCACCGCCTGCAGGACGTGCTGTCGTGTGTGGGGGGGGTCGCCGTGCTCTTCCCCCTCCTCACCCAACTCGACAGCGACGATGACACCAGTGCCGGCTCAGAGGGCGAGGGGGAGGAGGAAGGGCGGTGGGAGGCGGGGGGGACGCACGTGGCGGTGGACGTGGTGTGTCTGCTGACGGAGGTGCTGGCGGGCAGTGCAGCGGCGCAGCAGTTCATGGTGGGGGTCGGGGGCTTCTCTGTGCTCAGCTTCCTGCTGCAACACGTGCACCCCCGCCACCTCACCGTCAGCCTCGTCCTCTCCATTGAAAGCCTCACTAACAGCATTGCTGCCGAGCAGGGTAAGCGGAGGAAAGAATCAGTAACCTGTCAGTGGGCTTGAGTGAGGACTTGGCGCCAGTGAGTGAGGCAGCGTGGCTTAGGGAATCGCGAGTAGCAGCCATGCCCACGTAGGGTGCTTCCGCCAGTCCAGGGGACTCACATCCAACGTAGGCTCAACGCACAAACAGTCATCTTCTGCCAATCAGTCCCCCCCGCACATTGCCTCTCTACCAATCCATTTTCTACTTTTCCTTGCCCATCTCCTCTCCGTCTCCCTCTCTCCCCATACTCCCTCCCCCTCCCAGACAGCGCCATGGCGGAGCAGCTAACGCGGTCGGCATGGAGTGAGTTGTACCTGCAGCTGTCCCTCTGGATCTACGCGCCCTACGCCGTGCAGCGCGAGCTGCTCGAGTCCCTCCTGCGCCAGGTGGACCGCAGCCCCGCGCTGCTGCCCGCCGTGTGCCCGCTGCCGCGCCTGCTGGACCTGCTGCGCCGCTTCTACTGGCACGTGCCGCACGGCCGCTCCGTTGCCGGCCTCAAGCCCCTCGTGCACGCCACCTCGCGTGTTGTGATTGGTCGGCGCCCTGACAAAGCTGACGTGGCGAAGCTGAGGCTGCTGCTGCTGAGGCTGGCGGAGTACAGCGTGAGGTGGGCGGCGGGCAGACTGCCTGCGTGGGTCAGCCAGAGAGGGAGGGTGAAAGGGTGGAGGGCTGTGTTTCTGTTAGCTTCTTACGCTTTTCTGTTCCGAGCACTCCATTCTTCAACTTTGTCCTCATGCAATGCCATGCCATCAATGCATCCCGTGTGTGGGCTTGCCCTGCTCTCCCCACCACCAGGGATGGCTTCTCACTGGCTGATGTGAGGGCACTAGCAGCGTTCCTGGAGGGCAGCAAGGACGCCCCCAGTGTGCGAGATGTGCTGCTGGCGCTGCTCTCACTGCTCTCACGCCCGCCACTGCTCGCCTCCTTCACCTCACACGTCTACTCCCTCACCGGCTGCCACCTCTTCCTCAACCTCCTCGCCAGGTCCGTTCCTCCTCGCCAGGTCCGTTCCTCCTCGCCAGGTCCGTTCCTCCTCGCCAGGTGCGTTCCCCCAAACGTTCGTACCTCGTAGCTAGGTCCGTACCTCAGGGTAGCATTGTTGTTGCATGCTGCCGCACTGCAAGACAAACTGCATCGCTGCCTGGCCCTCCCCTCCCTCTCCCCCTTTGCTCTCTTTCCTTTCCTCTCACAGGCCAGAGGAGGATCTGCAGTCACTCGGCCTGCGTCTCATCACAGCGCTGCAGGCAGAGCGTCGTCTGCGCCTCATCCGCGCCTTCTCCTCCTCCCCAGCGCCCTCCCCCGCGCCCTCCGCTACCCCCGCACCCATCCCTGACGACCTAGTAGCAGCCGCGCTGCTGCACGCGCCCTCGCCCTCACCCTCCTCCTCTGCTCTCTCAGGCGGTGCGCTGCCGTCGCCCGGGCCTGGGGGGGGAGGGGAGCGTGTGAGGGAGGACGTGGAGCAGGCGGAGGCGATGGTGGGTGTGGCGCTGCAGCTGATGGTGCAGCGGGCGTGCCGTGTCACGCCCCTCGTGCACTCCATCCTCTTCGACCTCCTCCTCGCCCGCCCCCTCCCCAAACCCGTGAGTCCCAACTCTGTGCATCAGAGGACAGCTGTGTGTGGGTGCTGTGGCTGTGTTCCTTGCAGGTGCCCTCCCAGCCATACCCTCCCTTAAACCCCTCATCCACATCTCCAGACCCTTCTTCCCCTCTCTCACTGATTTCTTCCCCTTGCTCCCCCCTCTCCCCTCCCCTTTCTCCCCCAGATGCCCCATCGCACGAGCACAGTGTTCGCCCACCATGCCCCCCTGAGCCCTCTCCAAGCCTCCCCCTCCATGCGCCTGCACTCCCCCGCCGCTTCGCTCTCCTCCTCCTCCTCCTCCCTCGCGTACCCCTCCGACCTCTCCTCCTCACACACCATGCTCCCCCCCCTCTCCACGGACCGTCCGCGAGTGTTCATTGTGCCTGAGGCCGTGGGGCTGTTGCTGCCGCTGCTGGCGGGGGGCAGGGCGGAGGGGGGTGTGGCGGGGGCGGCCATGAAAGAGCTGGCGGACCTTGTTGTGGGGAATGCTGTCAACCCAAGGCTGCTGCTGCAGGTGCGTGCAATGGGGCTCATGCAAGGGCGGGTGGAATGGACGTGTGCATGTGCGTTCCCGACTCATATTCTTCTAATGTTGTTGCTGCTGCTGTGTCACTACTACAGCCACTGCTGCTACAGCCAGCCAGCGCTGCCCCCACCAGCCTCTCGTTATGTTGCCTCACATGCTTTCCCCCTGCCTTTTCCCCCTCCCTCCACCCAACAGCAAAAGGGGTGGCAGGTGGATCTGATGGCTCTGCTGGCGCTCATGCGCTCACGCCTCTCCTCGCCCTCGCCCCCCACCGCCACCGCCACCACCACCGCCACCGCCACCGCCACTACCGCCCACTGGCAAAAGCAAGGGGTTGCAGGCAGCGAACGGGTGGAGTGGGGCGAGCAAGGGGGACCGGGGGAGCGAGGGGGAGGTGGGGGAGGAGGAGCTGGAGGAGGCGGAGGTGGTGTGGGAGCAGGTGCGGCGGCTGCTGCTGGCCACACACGCACACGCACTGCAGCACAGCAGCACCGGCTGGCAGCACGTGGCCGACACTGTTGGTGCCCTCCGCATGTTCGCCCAGCAGGTGAGGAAAACCAGTGAATGTTGGCCACCCTGCGCCCGTGCCCTTCCATGCACGCACTTATGCAGTCAGTCTCCGTCTTTCTCATCTCCACTCTCTCCCACTTCCCGCCCTTCCTAACCGACCCTCCCCCAGGGCAAGCTGCCGTACCACCTGGTGCTGCGCCCGCTGCTAGCGGAGCTCATCACGGTGCAGTCAGGGCTCTCCTCGCGATACGACGCGGCGCGCAACAACTGCCTCTTCATGTTTGCACTCATAGACGAGTTCGCCCTGCATGACTCGCGCCACATCTTCCCTGTGAGCCCTGCATGACTCGCGCCACATCTTCCCTGTGAGCCCTGCATGACTCGCGCCACATCTTCCCTGTGAGCCCTGCATGACTCGCGCCACATCTTCCCTGTGAGCCCTGCATGACTCGCGCCACATCTTCCCTGTGAGCCCTGCATGACTCGCGCCACATCTTCCCTGTGAGCCCTGCATGACTCGCGCCACATCTTCCCTGTGAGCCCTGCATGACTCGCGCCACATCTTCCCTGTGAGCCCTGCATGACTCGCGCCACATCTTCCCTGTGAGCCCTGCATGACTCGCGCCACATCTTCCCTGTGAGCCCTGCATGACTCGCGCCACATCTTCCCTGTGAGCCCTGCATGACTCGCGCCACATCTTCCCTGTGAGCACTGCATGACTCGCGCCACATCTTCCCTGTGAGCCCTGCATGACTCGCGCCACATCTTCCCTGTGAGCCCTGCATGACTCGTGCCACATCTTCCCTGTGAGCCCTGCATGACTCGCGCCACATCGTCCCTGTGAGCCCTGCATGACTCGCGCCACATCTTCCCTGTGAGCCCTGCATGACTCGCGCCACAACTTCCCTGTGAGCCCTGCATGACTCGCGCCACATCTTCCCTGTGAGCCCTGCATGACTCGCGCCACATCTTCCCTGTGAGCCCTGCATGACTCGCGCCACATCTTCCCTGTGAGCCCTGCATGACTCGCGCCACATCTTCCCTGTGAGCCCTGCATGACTCGCGCCACATCTTCCCTGTGAGCCCTGCATGACTCGCGCCACATCTTCCCTGTGAGCCCTGCATGACTCGCGCCACATCTTCCCTGTGGGCCCTGCATGACTCGCGCCACATCTTCCCTGTGAGCCCTGCATGACTCGCGCCACATCTTCCCTGTGAGCCCTGCATGACTCGCGCCACATCTTCCCTGTGAGCCCTGCATGACTCGCGCCACATCTTCCCTGTGAGCCCTGCATGACTCGCGCCACATCTTCCCTGTGAGCCCTGCATGACTCGCGCCACATCTTCCCTGTGAGCCCTGCATGACTCGCGCCACATCTTCCCTGTGAGCCCTGCATGACTCGCGCCACATCTTCCCTGTGAGCCCTGCATGACTCGCGCCACATCTTCCCTGTGAGCCCTGCATGACTCGCGCCACATCTTCCCTGTGGGCCCTGCATGACTCGCGCCACATCTTCCCTGTGAGCCCTGCATGACTCGCGCCACATCTTCCCTGTGAGCCCTGCATGACTCACGCCACATCTTCCCTGTGAGCCCTGCATGACTCGCGCCACATCTTCCCTGTGAGCCCTGCATGACTCGTGCCACATCTTCCCTGTGAGCCCTGCATGACTCGCGCCACATCTTCCCTGTGAGCCCTGCATGACTCGCGCCACATCTTCCCTGTGAGCCCTGCATGACTCGCGCCACATCTTCCCTGTGAGCCCTGCATGACTCGCGCCACATCTTCCCTGTGAGCCCTGCATGACTCGCGCCACATCTTCCCTGTGAGCCCTGCATGACTCGCGCCACATCTTCCCTGTGAGCCCTGCATGACTCGCGCCACATCTTCCCTGTGAGCCCTGCATGACTCGCGCCACATCTTCCCTGTGGGCCCTGCATGACTCGCGCCACATCTTCCCTGTGAGCCCTGCATGACTCGCGCCACATCTTCCCTGTGAGCCCTGCATGACTCGCGCCACATCTTCCCTGTGAGCCCTGCATGACTCGCGCCACATCTTCCCTGTGAGCCCTGCATGACTCGCGCCACATCTTCCCTGTGAGCCCTGCATGACTCGCGCCACATCTTCCCTGTGAGCCCTGCATGACTCGCGCCACATCTTCCCTGTGAGCCCTGCATGACTCGCGCCACATCTTCCCTGTGAGCCCTGCATGACTCGCGCCACATCTTCCCTGTGAGCCCTGCATGACTCGCGCCACATCTTCCCTGTGAGCCCTGCATGACTCGCGCCACATCTTCCCTGTGAGCCCTGCATGACTCGCGCCACATCTTCCCTGTGAGCCCTGCATGACTCGCGCCACATCTTCCCTGTGAGCCCTGCATGACTCGCGCCACATCTTCCCTGTGGGCCCTGCATGACTCGCGCCACATCTTCCCTGTGAGCCCTGCATGACTCGCGCCACATCTTCCCTGTGAGCCCTGCATGACTCGCGCCACATCTTCCCTGTGAGCCCTGCATGACTCGCGCCACATCTTCCCTGTGAGCCCTGCATGACTCGCGCCACATCTTCCCTGTGAGCCCTGCATGACTCGCGCCACATCTTCCCTGTGAGCCCTGCATGACTCGCGCCACATCTTCCCTGTGAGCCCTGCATGACTCGCGCCACATCTTCCCTGTGAGCCCTGCATGACTCGCGCCACATCTTCCCTGTGAGCCCTGCATGACTCACGCCACATCTTCCCTGTGAGCCCTGCATGACTCACGCCACATCTTCCCTGTGAGCCCTGCATGACTCGCGCCACATCTTCCCTGTGAGCCCTGCATGACTCGCGCCACATCTTCCCTGTGAGCCCTGCATGACTCGCGCCACATCTTCCCTGTGAGCCCTGCATGACTCGCGCCACATCTTCCCTGTGAGCCCTGCATGACTCGCGCCACATCTTCCCTGTGAGCCCTGCATGACTCGCGCCACATCTTCCCTGTGAGCCCTGCATGACTCGCGCCACATCTTCCCTGTGAGCCCTGCATGACTCGCGCCACATCTTCCCTGTGAGCCCTGCATGACTCACGCCACATCTTCCCTGTGAGCCCTGCATGACTCACGCCACATCTTCCCTGTGAGCCCTGCATGACTCGCGCCACATCTTCCCTGTGAGCCCTGCATGACTCGCGCCACATCTTCCCTGTGAGCCCTGCATGACTCGCGCCACATCTTCCCTGTGAGCCCTGCATGACTCGCGCCACATCTTCCCTGTGAGCCCTGCATGACTCGCGCCACATCTTCCCTGTGAGCCCTGCATGACTCACGCCACATCTTCCCTGTGAGCCCTGCATGACTCACGCCACATCTTCCCTGTGAGCCCTGCATGACTCGCGCCACATCTTCCCTGTGAGCCCTGCATGACTCGCGCCACATCTTCCCTGTGAGCCCTGCATGACTCACGCCACATCTTCCCTGTGAGCCCTGCATGACTCACGCCACATCTTCCCTGTGAGCCCTGCATGACTCGCGCCACATCTTCCCTGTGAGCCCTGCATGACTCGCGCCACATCTTCCCTGTGAGCCCTGCATGACTCGCGCCACATCTTCCCTGTGAGCCCTGCATGACTCGCGCCACATCTTCCCTGTGAGCCCTGCATGACTCGCGCCACATCTTCCCTGTGAGCCCTGCATGACTCGCGCCACATCTTCCCTGTGAGCCCTGCATGACTCGCGCCACATCTTCCCTGTGAGCCCTGCATGACTCGCGCCACATCTTCCCTGTGAGCCCTGCATGACTCACGCCACATCTTCCCTGTGAGCCCTGCATGACTCACGCCACATCTTCCCTGTGAGCCCTGCATGACTCGCGCCACATCTTCCCTGTGAGCCCTGCATGACTCGCGCCACATCTTCCCTGTGAGCCCTGCATGACTCGCGCCACATCTTCCCTGTGAGCCCTGCATGACTCGCGCCACATCTTCCCTGTGAGCCCTGCATGACTCGCGCCACATCTTCCCTGTGAGCCCTGCATGACTCACGCCACATCTTCCCTGTGAGCCCTGCATGACTCACGCCACATCTTCCCTGTGAGCCCTGCATGACTCGCGCCACATCTTCCCTGTGAGCCCTGCATGACTCGCGCCACATCTTCCCTGTGAGCCCTGCATGACTCGCGCCACATCTTCCCTGTGAGCCCTGCATGACTCGCGCCACATCTTCCCTGTGAGCCCTGCATGACTCACGCCACATCTTCCCTGTGAGCCCTGCATGACTCACGCCACATCTTCCCTGTGAGCCCTGCATGACTCGCGCCACATCTTCCCTGTGAGCCCTGCATGACTCGCGCCACATCTTCCCTGTGAGCCAACCTGCCTGCCTGCACACTCCCATTCACCCTCCTCGCACCAGTCCTCACCCTCCCGCTTGTAAATCTCTCTCCCCCCCTCCAACTGTTCCACCCTTGCCATACCCATCCAATTTACCCTTCCCCATCCGTTCCTCCCCTCCTCCTTTCCACACTCCCCCCCACCCCCACCAGGCGAAGGAGCTGATGACGGCAGGGGTGGGGGAGGCAGTGGACGGGCTAGCAGGCATCACCACGCCGCGCTCCCACGCTCCCCACGCTGCCCACGCGCCCTCCACGCCCCTCTCTCCTCCCCGCCCTGCCTCACCCTCCCTCTGGCACACCAGCGGTGGGACACTCTGGGGAGAGGGCCGAGCGAGCAGGGGGCGGGGGGGGATGGGGGAGGGGAGGGGGAACGGGGAGATGGAGGGGGGCTGGCGCAATGGGGGGGGGGGGGAGGGCGGGGCTGGGGAGGCTGACATGGGCGCATGCCCCCATGGGATCTACGCGATGGGGGGCACACAGGGCCATGGTGGGGCCGTGGGATGAGGGGGATGAGGGGTACGAGGGGGAAGACGGGGAGGAGGAGGGTGTGGGGGGACGAGCAGGGCAGGGCGGGCAGGGAGGCAGTTGGGGGCTGTATGGGGAGGATGGAGCTATGCGTCCCCTCACTCCGCCTGGGCTAGCAGTGCCCTTGACCCCGCCTGGCATGAGTCCCTTGGGTGGCGCTGGCGGGGGGTTTCTAACCCCTGGTACTGCTGAGGAGTCAACCGGTGCAGAGCGGTTCAGCACGATGAGCCTGGACGTGCAGAGTGCGCACAGCCCTGGGGAGGTTGACGCGCTGGCGACCAGCGTTGACCTGGTTGACTGCAGCGTTGACCTGGGGGACTCGGCAGGAGAAGGAGGGGCTTCTCTGGAGGGTGGTGCAGGGCCGAGAGGGGCGGGGGGGCATCTGGCAATGGTGGGGGAGGAAGGGGAGGCGAGGGCGAGGGGAGGGGATGGCAGAGTGGAGGAGGACAGGAGCTCTCACGTTTGGGATCAGTGAGTCGCTGCTTTGCTTGCGGGCGTGTGCACGGGGGTGAGGGGTGGACGTGAGTGGGGATGGATGAACATGGGTGTGAATATGTGCTGCAGTCGCCTTGCTACACTGCTACTCTTGACTCCCAGCACTCATCGCTCCCATCGTTCCCCCCTGCCCCTGCGCACTCTGTCCTGCCCCCCAGGCTGCTGCAAGCGGACGACAGTGAGTTCAAGTGGAAGGCATACGACGGCTTCTGGGCGCTGCTCGCCCTGCTGCACAACAAGGCCGACGCCGCGGCCGCCCTCTCCGCGGGCCTCTTCCTCTCCCTCCCCGGCTCCGCCTCCACCGCCTTCCCCCTCTCCCGCCTGCGCGCCCTCGCCCCGCCCCCGCCCTCCCGCCTCGACCTCGACGCAGCATTAGAGGGCGATGGGGGGGGGCACTGGGGGTGCAGCACGGAGGAGCGGCTGGAGCAGCTGGGGAAGGAGAAGTGTCCGCGCGTGGTGTTCCGCCTCGTGCTGCTCTATGTGTACGACGCGGGGTTAGACGCGCTGCAGCGCTGCCTGCACCACTTCACCGTGCTCGTCCCCGTCATGCTGGCGGACGGCAGTGACGGCAGCAGCGACTGGCACCGCAACCGCTTCCACCTCTTCCTCTGGTCGCTGCTGCACGCGCACGACGCCGTGGGGCAAATGGACGACGGGGCGCGCGGGGAGGTGATTGCGCAGGGCGTGCATGACGTGGTGGTGTCGGCTGCTGCTGTGTTCGCGCACCCCATGAAGGGCTCCCTGCGTGCCACGCCCAGCAGCTCGGGGTCGGAGGAGGATGATGACCTGGAAGCCGCCAGACGCCTCGTGCAGCAGCAGCGAGTGGACGCCGCTGTGAGTGCCGCCCACCCGTGCTGTGCTGAGCAGGTAGCCTTGACTTGTAGCTTGAGCTCTGCAGCTTTGAGCATCATGGCCCCTCCCATCTTGTGCATACCCCTCAGCCCTGCCTGTCTTCATACCCTCGCTTGCTTAACTGTCCAGTCGTGTTCTCCTCCCCCCCACCCTACCCCCGGGGCAGGTGGAGGAGGAAATAGGGCACATGCTGTCAGCGGTGGCGCAGTGGGACGCAGAGCTGTCACATGCACGGCAGCTGCACGAGGCACTGAGGGCGCAGAGGGTGCGGCAGCAGCGTGCCTTCCAGGAGCTGCAGCGCATCGCCCTCGCCGACCTGCTCGATGCTGACAGCCGCCGCCGCGCTGCCGCCCGCATCGCTTACGACGAGCAGCAGGAGCGCGTCAAGGTGAGCAGGCAGGCATGGGTGCAGGCGCGTGGGGCAGTAGAGGGAAATAGGGACAGGTTATTTTGTTTGCTACACTCCAGCACATGCTAGATGCTAGTGTGGCAACTGCATAGGCCGATCACAGCCTCTGTGTTCTGCCCTCCACCTTCCTTCTCCCCCCCAGGCCGTGTGGGAGCAGCTGTATCGTGAGATGACGAGTGAGCGAGGGCCCTGGTACTCGCCCCCCTCGCCCTCCGCCCCCGCCTCCCCCTCCTCCCTCTCGCCTGGCGCCACACCCCCTGCCTCAGCCGCGGTGCAGCGGTGGAAGCTGGACAAGAGTGAGGACGCCCAGCGCCGCCGCTTCCGCCTGCGCCCCCACCTGCGCTTCGACGACTCCATGTGCCGCCCCGCGCTCGACGCCTCCAAGCCCGCAAGCGCAGGGGGAGAGGGCGCGGAAGGCGCGGGCACAGAGGGGAAGGAGGAGGGCAGCGAGGCGGAACCAGGGCGAGAGGTGCGGGTGAAAGCGGTGGCAGTGGCGGCGGCAGGGAGGGAGAAGGGAGCAGGGGTGGGGGAGGAGGGAGGGGAGATCCGGGTGGAAAAGGATTTACTGGAGGAGGTGGCGATGCTGCAAGAGGAGCACAAGAGCGCCCAGGAGAGCGCAGGGGGGGCAGGCTCGGGGGCGGGTGGGGGAGGGGAGGTGGCTGTGCGGTCGAGTGGGGTGCAGCTGGGTCTCCGATTCGAGTCCGACGATGAGGTGCACCTCCTCAACCTGCTTATGTTTACGCCCATGATCATTCGGTTATACATACGCCCATGCACATGCACATGCCCATGCACATGCACATGCCCATGCACATGCACATGCCCATGCCCACGCCCATGCCCATGCCCATGCACATGCCCATGCCCATGCCCATGCCCATGCTGCTCCCCCATGCCTCAACCACCCATCGCCATGCTTCCCAACCCCCGCACCCCTCCCCCCCACGCCCCCCCCCAGGTGATAACAAGCCTCCCGTGCATAATGGTGACGGCCAAGCGCAAGCTAGGGGGACGCATGGAGCTCAGGCGGCGCTCGCTGCACTTCTTCGCCGACTTTGTCTTCGAGGGCACCGCCGGCTCTTCTCTCTTCGACCAAGACGGCCGCCTGCGCCCGCCACACAGCGTGCGGGGGGAGGCGGAGCGCGGCGGGGCCAAGGTGGGGCCGCGGGAGCGGTGGCGGCGCGTGACGCAGCGGCTGCTGCTGGTGGCGAAGCTACAGCCGACGGAGAAGACGCTGGGGCGGGCGAGTGTGCGCATGGCCAAGGACCCCGATGTGCTGGAGGAGGTCAAGATGCACCGCCAATGGCCGCTCCATGAGGTGAGGTGGCTTTGCTTTGAGTTTTGAGACCTCTCAAAACTCGCTGGGGCGGGCGAGTGTGGGCATGGCCAAGGACCCCGATGTGCTGCAGGAAGTCAAGATGCACCGCCAGTGGCCCCTGCTTGAGGTGAGGTGGCCTTGCTCCATGCTCCATGCTCCATGCTCCATGCTCCATGCTGCATTCTCCATGCTGCATGCTCCATGCTGCATGCTCCATGCTGCATGCTCCATGCTGCATGCTCCATGCTGCATGCTCCATGCTGCATGCTCCATGCTGCATGCTCCATGCTGCATGCTCCATGCTGCATGCTCCATGCTGCATGCTCCATGCTGCATGCTCCATGCTGCATGCATGTGCTATTGTGATAGTCTCATCGGTGCCTGCAAGACCCACCGGCACTCTTGGAAGTTCAAGTGGCGCTGAGCTTGCTTCAACGGCCCTGGCCATCACTTGCTGCCTCTTGGCTACTCAGCTGTCACTCTTCTCTGTGAGCATGCGGTGCAGCGTATGAGCGTGCGGTGCAGCGTATGAGCGGGCGGTGCAGCGTATGAGCGGGCGGTGCAGCGTATGAGCGGGCGGTGCAGCGTATGAGCGGGCGGTGCAGCGTATGAGCGGGCGGTGCAGCGTATGAGCGTGCGTTGCAGCGTATGAGCGGGCGGTGCAGCGTATTAGTGGGCGGTGCAGCATATGAGCGTGCCCTTTTTCCCCTCCCAACCTCCCTGTTCTCAACTGACCCACACTGCCAACTATTGATCCCACTTCCCCCGCCCCCAGCTGCGGCTTATCCGAGTGACGCGCTTCCTGCTGCGCTACACGGCCCTCGAGCTCTCCTTCACATCCCCCGCCGCGCGCCCGCCAGCACTCTTCACCTTCGCCTCGCCGCGCCTCGCAGCTGACTTCGCAGCCAAGATGGCCGCAGTGGCCAACGCCACAGCCCGGTCCACGCGCGCACGCGAGGAGCACGTCATGGTGGTGGACCGCCGCCGCGCTCTCGACCGCGCGGAGAAAGCCGCAGCGGCGTGGCGGCGGCGAGAGCTGAGCAACTTTGAGTACCTCATGGTGTTGAACACGCTGGCGGGGCGCACGTACAATGACCTGGCGCAGTACCCCGTGTTCCCGTGGGTGATTGCGGACTATGAGAGCGAGCAGCTGGACCTGCAGAGCGAGAGCACCTTCCGTGACCTTGGCAAGCCCGTTGGGGCACTCAATGCCAAGCGCCTTGAGGTGCGTGGTTGGTTGGTGGGGTGGCACGGTGGAGTGCTGTTGCTTTGCTTGCGTGTCATGTATGCTGCTGCTCTTCATTGCTGGGAGTGTTTCGGCTCAACCCGGCTTGCTTGTGGTATACTCACATCTGTCAGTGTGCTGCTTTGCCTGCATGCACTCGCTAAGAATTCTCACTCCGTCCTCTATATTCCTCTCCACCCCTGACCCTGTGGCGTGTGCAGATGTTCCGTGATAGGGCAGAGAGTTTTCGAGACCCCGATATTCCAAGGTGAGCGCCTGCTGATGTCCCTCACCATGCCATGCCATGACTCACAGCTTCCCACCAGCACAGTGCTGCCATCCATGTCATGTTGGCCAACGTCAACCCCATACCTCTCCCTCCTCTCCCTTCTCTTCCCCCTCACCTTTCCCCCTCCCCCCATATATGAGTGCAGTTTCCTGTACGGCTCGCACTACTCCACAGCGGGCATCGTGTTATTCTACCTGCTGCGCCTCGAACCCTTCGCCACTCTCAGCTGCCGCCTGCAGGTCATGCTCGCTCCCCTCTCATCTCATATGCTCTCTTCTGCCCTGTTCTCCTCTCCCTTGTTTTCTTCTTCTGCACTGGCCTGCACTGCTCTGCTGTGGCCTGTTGTGTTTGTCCTGCTGTGGTGAGGCCATGCCATGCACACTGCCCTCACTCACACTGCACCTCCCTCCCTCACACCATCCCTCACTCGCTCCTCTCCTCTCCCCCCGCCCCTCACCCACTGACAGGGCGGCAAGTTTGACCACGCGGACAGGCTGTTCCAGTCAGTAGCAGTGACGTGGGCCAACTGCCTGACCAACACGAGCGATGTCAAGGAGCTCATCCCCGAATTCTTCTATCTGCCTGACTTCCTCTCTAACGCCAACCACCTGTATCTGGGGCAGTGCCAGGACGGCTCAATGCTCAATGATGTTGTGCTGCCGCCCTGGGCGCAGGTGAGCTCATGGCTGATGGCTGATGGCTGATGGCTGATGGCTGATGGCTGATGGCTGATGGCTGATGGCTGATGGCTGATGGCTGATGGCTGAAAGGGGTGATATGGGTGAAAGGGGTTGAGGGGATGAGGGGAGGTGGCTGGGGTTTGGTGCAATGAGGGATGCTAGGCAAGTCTGTGAAGCGAGCTGAGGGGTGTCGGAAAATAGCTATCAGCATTTTCTCCCTGCTCTCCCTTGTGTCCGTCCCTCCCTAATGCCACACCACCCCAATGCCCCCCCCCATCCCACGAGCAGGGCAGTCCAGAGCTGTTCGTGCGTCTCAACCGGGAGGCCCTCGAGAGCGAGTGGGTCAGCGCGAACCTCCACCGTTGGATCGACCTCATCTTCGGCTACCAGCAGCGCGGCCTGGCAGCCATGGAAGCAGACAACGTGTTTTTCTACCTCACATACGAGGGCGCTGTGGACATGGATGCTCTAGAAGACCCCATGGACCGGGCGGCCATAGAGGAGCAGATCGCTGCCTTCGGCCAGACGCCCGCCCAGCTCTTCCGCCGCCCGCACGAGCCCCGCGGCCCGCCGCCCCGCGCCGCCCGGCCGCTGCTGCACCGGCCGGCGGCGCTTGGACTTTCTGCTGTGGTGCCAGCGTGTCCCCCTGGTGCTGGTGCTGCGGGTGGCAGTGCGGGTGCAGGGGGGAGTGTGGGGGAGGTGCTGCGGCAGCAGTGGGAGGTGGGGGTGGTGTTTGTGGGGGTGGCGCAGGGGCGGGTGGTGACAGTAACGAGGGGGCAGTGCATGGCCGCCCGGCTGTGGAACACACCGTACAGCTCGGGATACCAAGTGCTGGCTGCGGTGAGGACAGGCGCTCATGGCACTCACACATGCACCCACACACACACATGCACATACATGCATGCAAATGCATATAAACGCGTAGAGATTCATGGTCTGTCTGCTTGCCGAACTCTCCCCCCTCTCCCACCTCCCCTCCTCCGCTTACCCCCCCCCCCCCTCAGGACGCGCCCTTCTCGCTGAGCGAGCCGCTCATCTCTCGGCGAATCGGGGCGCCCTTCGCGTCCACGAGTGGGGACGTGAGCCCGCACTGCTTCGCGCTGCTGCGCGGGACCTCCTCGCCCTTCCTGCTGTGCGCCGCACACTGGGACTGCTCCACGCGCCTCGTGGCGGTCAGTGACGGCCGCACCCTGCAGGCCGTGCGGCAGCACACCGACGTCGTCACCTGCCTCTCCGGTCAGTCACCCTGCCTCTCAGCTGCTTTATTGATCAAGTCAGCCTGGTGTGTTGCCAAGCTGTCTTGCTGTCACTATCACACTCCTCCGCATCTACTCGACATGCCTCGCCTCGCCCCCACACTCGTCACACTGCCCCTTCCTACTCCCTCTCTTCTCCCCGTCACCCACAGCATCAGAGGACGGCCTGTGGATGGCGACAGGCAGTCGCGACACGACAGTGATGGTGTGGCATGTGGACCGCACACAGCCACGCCCCTCCGCCGACCCAGTGCTGCCCTGCAAGCCGCACCTGCTCCTCTGCGGGCATGACGACGTGGTCACTCAGGTGCTCGCCTCCTCCCCGCTCGACCTCGTCCTCTCAGCCTCGCTGGATGGCTCGCTGCTGCTGCACTCGCTCTCCTCGGGCCGCTTCATCCGCTGCATCCGCCACCCGCTGCGCCACGCCGTGCAGCGAATGGCTGTCAGCCAGCTGGCGCTGGTGGCGGTGCACTCCGATGCGGATGGCTGGCTGCGCGTGGCCTCCATCAACGGCAAGTGGCTTGCTGCCGTTCCCACCGGGCCTGCCGCCACCACAACCGCCACTGCTGCCACCACTACCACTTCTCCTGGTGTTGCTGCTGGTGGTGCTGGTGGTGGTGTGGAGAGTCACAACGAAGGTGCTGCAGGGGGTAGTTCCAGCAGTGGTGAGAATAAAGTAGCTGCGACTGGCAGTGGCGGAAAAGGCACGGCTATGTCTCTGTCTGTGTCCCTGCCTGCTTCTGGCTCCACTGACAGCCAGCAAATCCGATCACCAGCCGCATCCGCACCACCAACGCCAGCATCCCCATCCCAGGCAGCAACAGCAGCAGCAACAGCAACAACAGCAGCAGCAGCAGCAGCAGAAGTGGACAGTGTGACGTGCATGGCAGCGAGTGCGTGCGGTGAGTTCCTGGTGACAGCGGGGGCGGCGGGGCGGGTAACAGTGCGGTCCTTCTTCACACTGGCCACAGTGGTGGTGTACGAGGGTGTGGGCGTGGCCGCCTGCTCCATTGCCGTCACCAGTGAGGATGCCATTCTCGTGGGGCTGGAAGACGGCCGCCTGCTGCTCTACTCGCTGCGCGCCGATGCTCTCACTGACTGATCATGTCTGCTTGTCGGGAAATCTGAGATATGCTGTTCTTGCTCTTGCTCTAATTCTTGCTCTAGCTCATGCTCTTGCTCTAGCTCATGCTCTTGCTCTAGCTCTTGCCACACAAGAATTCAGTAGAGATAGCACCAGCTTGTTGCGGTCATAAAGCAGTTATGGTAATCGTAGATGCTAGGCATAGTGGGGTGTTGTAAACCATAGAGAACCCTTGCCTTCAGTCTCATTGGTGTGTTTCAGTATGGTCAAAGTAAGAGAAACTTCTGCTTCAATGAGTTTATACATTTAGGGAGATTGTTGTCACAAGGCACACGTATAAGAGACATAGGAGGGATAGGAATGCTAGTGCTGCTGTTGTACAGGGCAGAATAAGATTCAACAAGCAGCTGCTTCAAGAATCTAAACCCACTTTATAACCAACGCTCCGCCCGCATCCCGGTGCCTCTCTCTCTACACAAGTCCACGCTCCTTGAAGGCAGCGAACATGGCGTTGCCAATCTGAGCGGGCGAGCGCACCACCGTCACCCCTGCACCCTCCAGCGCCTTGATCTTGTCCTGCGCCGTGCCCTTGCCCCCGCTGATAATTGCTGTAGAGAGGAGAGCGGGGAGCAGGTGAAATGCGGGACCAGGAAAGATGCATGATCCGGGCAGATGGAATTGGTGGAAGCAGGAGAAGAGAGGGAGGTACGGTAGCAGTCATCCAATTCCCTTTCGTACAGGCAAGCCCCCAGCACACCTCCCGCCTTCCCCCAGCACACCTCCCACATGCCCCATGCACATGCCCTCCGTGGCCTCGGCATTTTCTCGTGTGCCCCATGCACATCTCCTCCATTCCCCCTGCCTACCTCCGGCGTGGCCCATGCGGCGGCCGGGCGGAGCAGTGAGGCCGGCGATGAAGGAGACGACGGGCTTGGTGGTGCCACTCGCCCTGATGAACTCCGCCGCGTCCTCCTCCGCACTGCCGCCAATCTCACCGATCAGAATGATGCCTGTTGGTGGGGGAGAGAGTGCGGAGGAAGTCAACGGGAGAGTCAGATCGGCAGCTACGGGGAGTCACAGGGGCAGTGGTGCGCAAAAAGCACGGGGATAGCTGGAGTAAGGGCGACCTTGAGGAACGATGGGGATGACGCAGAGGGATGACGCGGAAGGATGACGCAGAGGGATGACGCGGAAGGATGACGCAGAGGGATGATGCGGAGGGATGACGCGGAGGGATGACGCGGAGGGATGACGCGGAGCGATGGCGCAGAGGGATGACGACATGGGCGGGATGTCATGGGAGGGGTAGCATGGAGGGATGACATAGACAACAAGCAATAACACCCAAACACCACATCATTCCCACTGTACCTCCACCCCTTCCCCATGGCAGTGCACCCCACAGCACGGTTGGAGCGAGCGCGCTCACCTTCGGTCTGCGGGTCTTTAATGAACTTGTCAAGGCAGTCGACGAAGTTGGTGCCGTTGAAGGGGTCGCCTCCCATGCCCACGCACGTCGACTGCCCCAGCCCCACCTGCGTCGTCTGGTACACCTGCTCCACGCGCGGCACCAGTGAGGGGGGCGGGTGGACAGCACACGGGGCGGCTGATGAAGGCATGCACTTGCAGTGCGGGAGCAGCGGGGGCGGTTAAAAAGGGCAAAGCATGAAGCAGGGATGCGGGCACGAGTGGGTTTCAGGAGTGGGTTTCAGGAGTGGGTTTCAGGAGTGGGTTTCAGGAGTGGGTTTCAGGAGTGGGTTTCAGGAGTGGGTTTCAGGAGTGGGTTTCAGGAGTGGGTTTCAGGAGTGGGTTTCAGGAGTGGGTTTCAGGAGTGGGTTTCAGGAGTGGGTTTCAGGAGTGGGTTTCAGGAGTGGGTTTCAGGAGTGGGTTTCAGGAGTGGGTTTCAGGATGGAGACGAGGACGGAGGGAGCCCGCCAGCAGCGACGGACAGCGCAGGCGGGTGGCTGGCACTCACAGCTTCATAGGTGAGTGTGCCGGAGCGCGAGACGATGCCGATGCGGCCGGGCTTGTGGATGTAGCCGGGCATGATACCGAGCTTGGCCTCGCCCGGCTTGATGATGCCCGGACAGTTGGGGCCGATCAGCCGCGTCTTGCTCTGCTGCATCAGCGCCGCCTTCACGCGCACCTGCCAGTCACGACACGTGGCGCCATGCGGTTGGAGGGGGGAGCAAGAGCGAAGAGGGGAAGTTGGTCGCGGGGTAGAGGAAGCGCACGACGCGAATCCAAGCATTTCAGGCCAATGACCAGCTGTCATGATACCCTCATGTCGTCATACCATCACGCCATCCTGGTCCCTGCACGTCCACCAACTCGTCACTCACCATTTCGTGCGGCGCTCACCATGTCGTGCGGCCCTCACCATGTCGTGCTGCGGGATGCCCTCATGTCACCCTGCCACCCTGCCATTCTAACCCCGCGCGTCACGGCGCTCACCATGTCGTGCTGCGGGATGCCTTCGGTGATGCACACGACGAGGTCCAGCTCCGCCTCCATGGCCTCCATGATCGCCGCCGCCGCGAATGGCGGCGGCACGTAGATCACGGACGCGTTGGCGCCGGTGGCCTTCTTGGCCTCGTCGACGGAGTTGAAAATGGGCAGCCCCAGGTGCTCCGACCCGCCTTTCTTCGGCACCACGCCGCCCACCTGCTCGTACAACACGTGGCGGGGATAGGGAAGGAATGTGGGAGTTATGAGGAGGGATGAGACGGGATGCGCACAAGGGGAAGCGGATACGGGAGAGGGGCATTCAGCGTCTGTATGGAGTGTTAAGAACATCGGGAAAGATGTTCCTTGAGAGCAGTTTCGGGAGCATCAGTGACTTAAAAAAGACTGCGTCCGAAGAGCGTCGCAGTGGATCGGTGATGCCTGGAAGGACGTTAGTCAGCGTGGAGTCAGTGTTGCGCGGAAGGAGCGGACTTTCAGCAAGTCAGTAAGTAACGCTACGTCTCCTAGAACATATTCCATTGTGGGCGAAGCGTCTGTAAGGACGTCTCCGTGTACGATGCCGACAGCGGCAACCCCATTCCGATCCGTTGTGCTCTTTCTCCGCAAGCCCGCCTCGTCAAGGCTCGAAAGAAAAAGCAATAAGTTGGGAGAAGTCATTGTCGCATGAGAGGGGATCATAAGCTTTCAAGTCCAGGCACTGAAGGCGGGTGGAAAAAAGAGGTTCGCGTCCCATCAAAGCCGACGGGCGAAAATGCGAACGAAAGGCGGTATGTTTAGCAGCTTACTCTCATGGTCAGTCCACCCTCACCTAGCTGACGACGACGATGACTAGAAGCCCTAGACTCTCAAGATTAGGAGATACGGGCGGAAAACTACAGACATTCCTGCTTCGTCTTTCATTGCGCCGCATACTCATGCACGAAAATCTGTATGCCCGCAATGAAACTGCATGCACAAGTGCAACTCGTGCTGCAACGGCACGATCGGGCGTACCATGTTGGTGCCATACTCGATGGCCTGCTCCGTATGGAAGGTGCCGTTCTTCCCGGTGATGCCTTGACACAGCACACGTGTCGTCTTATCCACGAACACCGCCGGCTGATGCGCTGTCGTCACGGACGATGACGACGACGACGCATACCGACGCGCCTGCGAGGCAGCGCGAAGGAGGGTGGTAACTGCTCGCCTTCCGCTCATGATGGCAAAACGGTGTTTGCAGTCGAATGGGTTGACGTCGAAATGAAGGAATGAATGGAGGGATCTCGGGATGAGAGCCGATGCGTTGGGATCTGGTTCGAGACGGCGAAACGGGTTGATTGGATCGGAAGTGACGGAAGATAGTGCTGGCGGTGCGGTGAGGCGAGCGGCAGAATCCGAGAAACCAGTGATGGTGACGGCGACCCTGAAAATAACATATGGAAGAGCAAGAACAAAGGAAATTGTATTTGCTGTAGGCAGGCAGGTGGGGTGGCGATGCAAAGGCGACAGCAGGTGCTGGGGGTGGGGCCCTGGGGGAAGAGGATGGAGAGGATGGAGCAGGCTGCAAGCCAGAACGGAGGTTCATCAGGCGTTGCGAAATTACAAGTTTCGTCGAGTCTCGAACCCGTTGACGACGGCCACATGGTAACTCTGCTTGAGTTTGGCACTGAAGCCCGTTGACGCCAGCGGAATTGCAATGACGCGTGGCCCTGCAGAAATTCTGGAGAATCTCTAGGTGCTGGTGGGGGGAAGCAAAACTCGAGGCCGTCCATGTCAGCAGCATTCCACAAAGAGAGGAGAAAACTCATGGGCATGCCAATCAGAGGTGTTGGTATGGTACACGTCGGGAGGCATTTACGAATCCCTCGCATGTCTGGAGATTTAGGTCCAAGAACTCGGATCTTCGATTGGAAATTCCTGATGCAAAATAGTGCAGTTTTGATATTTACGAGGTCTCAGGGTGCAAGAACAAATGGAGTGAACTTTCTGACTTGGGACTGAAGTTTGGGAGGCTCTATCATCAACTAGCTGCTGGGACTGTTTCACTCCATTACAATCCTTACGTGCGCCTAAGGTTCACCAATATCTTTTGGCAGCTTCATGAGTCCTCTGCTGAATGGCCAACTGGCACAACTCTAGGGGAGAGAAGGTCCACAGTGGAGTGCTCCTGTGGCTTCACTATGAGCATGGGCACATTCTGTCATTGCAGTGAGGTCATGAGCATGTTCGGACAAAATGTTTGGGAAAATGAAAACATCCGCAAACAGAAGCACAAAAAAGCCAACCACGCATGCGGACATGTCAGTGTCATCAGAACTGAGGTCTGTGAAAAATGCATGAATTCGGCACACTGCAAGGAGCAAGTGGAAAACACTGGGGTGGGAAGGGGGATGTGAATTGCAGCAAGTGCAGGCAATGGTGGGGCTCCTACCGCACGGTGAGCACAGTAGTCACTGACACTTCCTAAAAGCATCCTGCACAGCACAAGCACAGGGAGGAACAGCAGCGAACAGCAGGCTATGAACCAAAAGGAAGAAAACGCAAGTGAAGAAACGTGGTCTCAGGAAGCAAGCAGAGGACGTGACTGTAAGTTTGCATAAGAGGAATGTTGCTGGTGGTGAAGAAGCATGCAAGGCTGCGGAATGAAGAGAGCATGGAAGGGATAAGACCAAAGGGACTTACTTTTTGAGCCCGGAGAGCCCTCTGCAGCCCATGAGCAGCACATCGGCCCCGAACTGCTCAGCGGAGTAGCAGATGGTCTCGCGCACGTCCCCTCGTATCACCTCCTGGTGTGCTCACACATGCACATGACACGCATTGAACGCCATGCTCGTGGCGTCACACATGCACACATGCATGCACAAGCCGAGCCGATGCAGTTACATATGTATACACACATGCACGAGTGGCACCCATGAGTCACACATGCACACACCCATTCACGCACACAGAGAAGATTGACACATGAAGTGACAGTTTCCAGCCTTTGCAGGTAGAACGACTAAGAAATCTACAACTATTACATACACCGAAGCAGAAGTCTACAAACCTTATAGACCCCCCCCAACCCACCTTCTTGCACACGATGTGCATGGCGCGCACTTGCTCTGCAAACTCCTCCAGCATCGCATCTGCCTCCTGCAGCTCCGCCCGCTCCAACCGCTCAATCATCTCTGCCCCATGCCATGCCACATGCACGCACGGTGGGTGTGATGGGAAACACGGGGTGGACACAAGATGGGGTGTATGCAAAAGCATGAGGGTGGTGACAGGAGATGGCGTGAGTGACGCTGTATGGAGATGGGAGAGGAGCATGAACGATCCTGGGATGCATGGGGAACAGGGAGGGATGAGAATAACGCGTTTCTGGGCGGCAAAGAGGTGGGTGTGCGGCATGGGCGGCTGACCTTGGTTGTAGTATTCGCCATAGGCGGCCCAGGGGGGTGTGGGCAGCACGGCGAGCAGAATGAGTATGTCGTCCGCCCGGCAGAACTCCTCCAATGCATACCTGAGCGACCACGGAAAAGGGGGGGGGGGGGAAGGAGGGAGTGGAAGGGTGGTGTGTGGGGGGAAACGGGGTTAGTGAATGGAGTGATATGCTTCACGAACATTAAGGTGGGTGAGGGAGCGCACTGAAGGGCTGTGAGAGGTACACATGTTCAGACACAGAAAAGAGCCTATGCAATGCCACATGCTTCCTTCTCCCCAGTGAAGCACTGACGCCCACCTGCGGCCCATCTGAGTCCTAATCGAGTCTCACCTGACGCCCGACCTGAAGACCACCTGGGACCCCACCTGAGGCCCAACTGAGGCCCACCGGAAGCCCACCTAATGCCCACCTGACTCTCACTTGACGCCCACCAGAGTCTCACCTGACGCCAACCTGAGTCCCACCTGACGCCCACCAGAGGCCCACCTGAGAGCAAGTCTGCTGCCATCGGAGTTGTCAACGGCGAGCAGCAGCACGCGCTGGGACGGGTGGTCAAGAGGCGCCTGCTGTAGCGCCTGGTGCTGCTGCGGCTGGTCGGCGGAGGGCGGGGGCGGTGGGCGCACTATGAGCACGGCGCACGTGGCGTGGTTCACCACGTAGTCGCTCACACTGCCCAGCATCGCTCTGCGGGGTAGGTGGGGGGGGGAGGGAGAGAGGAGGGAGAAGATAGGAAAGAGGTGAGAGGAGAGTGGACAGAGGGGTGTGTGAGGACGTGGTGGGAGGGAGGTAAGGGCAGTCTTGGGAGTGAGGGGGGTGGTGGGGGAAGGGGGGGGAATGGTAGAATAAAAAATGGAAATTATGGTGGTGAGCAAGCCACATTGCCTCACCTCTAACATGCTTCTCGACTGCCGAGCTACCTTCCGCACCCCCTTGCACATCCGCTCATATGCTATGCCCCTTCCCTCCGTTCCCCCCCCCCCGCCCCCCCTCCCCCCCAAAGCCCATCCCCCCCCTCTCGCTCCGCGCGTTCCCCCGCTCACCGCGAGAGAGCGCCCATGCCGCGCGTGCCCATGACAATGAGGTCCGCCTTGATCGCCGCGGCCCTCGCTACAATCACCTCGCGCGCGTCCCCCAGCGCGTAGTACCCTTGCGCTGGCACCTGCGCGCCCCGCACATGCGCCCAGCAACCGGCCGCGTATGTGGGCATCTGTTAGTCACTATCCGTCACACTAGAACGAATCTTGCCAACGGAGGCATGAATCAGTGAAATTTGAGGATGCTGAGACGAAAACCTTTCAGAAAGCGTTACAACGACAATGAGGTGGCGGATGGCGCCGGTGTCGTTCGCGGGTGGATCCCAGTGTCCCTTCCTTACAACGCACCTTGGCGGTGTGCGGGTGGGCACAACGCACCTTGGCGGCGTCGGCCTCGGCGAGGTACTTGCGGACGAGAGCGGACGCCTCGCTCGACGCGCGCCGCGACATCTCGTCCACCACCGCCGGCGGCACCACCATGTCTGCCGCGCCACGGGCGACACGCAGGACAAATACAGACTCAAAACTGGCAGAAGGATCGACAGCGTGAAGGAGGCTATTTCGCCGACGCTACTTGGCGACAGCCTAAGCTGGTCGACATGGAAATCTCCACGGATTTCATGGGGAATGTAGGGTTCGGAGCCGTGTGTCGAGGAGAGTGACTCACCGCCGGCGATGGAGACGCTGAGGTGCGTGGAGTCCTGCACGTGCAGCAGATGCAGCGTGTCGACGCCCGCACGGCACACTCGTGTGAGCGCGTACTGCACGGCGCGCTCGCTGTTCTCCGACTGATCCACCGGCACTAGAATGGTCTTGGGTTTTTGCGACATGGCTGCAGCAGCTGTGAAGTTTTTTATGAATCTACGCCTAACAACGACCTTCTCGCTCTGGCCTTACGTTCCAATGAAGCGCAGCCTGAATGCTACGTCTGATTGTGGTTGACTAAAACTCTTAAGCGTTAATCAACGTCTAATCAACGTGAGCTTGCTTTTCCTGCACGTCAGGAACTGGCTGCTATCATGCCATGCTATGAGTGGGATTAGCATGGAGGAAAGGCCGTGTGTATTCAAATCACAGATGAGATTCAAATCACAGATGATGGAAGTCTGCTTTGCTGTTCTGCTTCGTGGCGTCGGCTTGCGCACCGTGTTTCGCATTCTGCCAGCTAGCCGTTTGTGTCTGTTGAGACCCGTTGGATTGGGATTATCCGAGAGACGAAACGGCCTGGATGGAAGCAAACCCAGCTGTGCTGGCCAGGGCGACCAACAGCTTCAGTAACCTCGCATGGCCACGTCATGCTGGTGTGGCCAAAATGCCAAATACACGAATTACTTAGTAGCTTGCAGCTGTCTTACACTTCACGTAAATATTGGAATTATCAATTATGTAGTCATGCATACAGATTGTTTGATCAGCTCATGGGGATTGCAAGGCATGAGAGGCATGCCCTTCAATCCATATGAGCTCACCACCTGAGAAGCCTAAAGTTTTACAGTAACCTATACATAGCTTCCCTACTACACCCTCAAGCTACTTTGGAATGTCTTGTGGATGCCAATTCTGCATTCCTGCCCTTTCTTAGCTTGCCAAACTGCGACAGAGCCACAGGAATGAGAGGCAACAGCGTGCCAACCCAACCCATTCCACGGTACGCCACAAGTGTTTGCGAGGCAGAGAGGAGAATGAAACCCTGGGCCGAATAATTGGCGCCGAGGAAGGAGTAGAGGGAATGCAGCGTGGCGATCGTGAGGGAGAGGAGGCGGGAGGAGGCGGGGATGGTGCGCTGGTAGCGGTAGATGATGCGCGAGCCCATAATGAGCCACGCCATGTTGAGGGCGAAGAAGAAGTCTCCAATGTACACACCCTGCAGAGAGCACAGAGGGGCAATGGGGAGAGAAGGGTAGATGCATTGTCAGTGCGTGGCACACTGGGAATCAGGCATAGCACGTGAACATGGCAACTGCTGGAATGGCATGGAGAGTGGCGAGAGGAGCATGAAATGTAGAGCGGGGCATGGAGAGAAGGCCAGAGAGGGAGGTCGGCTTACATGCCAGACGGCGCTGGTGCAGACTGTGAGTATCAGCGGTAACACGCCTGGCTTCTGCCCCTCGGGTGTCACGCGCTCGTAGATGTCTGCACTTCGATGGGTGGGGGAAAGGTAGCGTGGGGAGGAAAGAGTGAGAACCGTGTGCGGAGAACACAGACAGAAGGCAAAGCAGTCGTGTGGCAAGTGGCGGAAAAGCAGTAGAGAGAGGCACAAGAGGAGGGGGGCCGAAAGGCGGACTCACAGGTGCGGAGCCATTCGCCGGTGCGCACGTTCCAGTTCTTGGCGAAGCCATGCATACCCGTCACCGCCTCCACCCCCACGATGTCAATGTTGCGCGCCCGCTTCCAGCTCGCCTCCTTCGCTTCCACCTCCCGCTCCTCCTCCCTCCCTCCCCTCTTCCCCTCCGTCTCCCTCTCCCTCTCCTCGTCTGAGTCGATCTGCTCCAGCTGCGGCACTGTTGCCGTCACAGCCACTCTTGGCCTGGACTTGCTGCTCGTCTTTCTCACACTCGCTCTGATCACAGGCGCGCTGTTCTCGTCTTCGTCACTATCCGATAGTATCGCACTTCCTGCGACCGCAGTAGTCGTCAGTGCAGGTACGGCCGCGTCACCACAGTTCGCACTCCTCTCCCCGAGAACCTTTCTCAGGGGCGCGCAATCCGCCTGCCCCGCCAGGTCCGCGCGCCGTCCCCTTGTCTCCGCTTTCTCTCCCCGCGCTCTGCTGCTACTCCTGTTGCTACCGCTAGCGGCACCAGCTCCGCCTCGCGGCACCCATCCACTGAACCCCAGTCCGCTCGCCACCATGCTACCCTCCGCCACCATCCACACGTAATAGATTTTCGTACGTACGGCGTACGTCGCCAGGATTGCGTACCCCCATCGCGCCACGTACGGAACGCTCCAGACCTGAGCGGGGTCTGAGGTAATTGCGACGTTCATACGCGGTTTAAGCATCAGGTGCAGCAGCCCTGACGGCACGGCCCATGCCAGCGCCGTCAAAAGCGGCACCAAGAACGGCGCCTTTCGCGCGGATCGAGACCACACACCCTCGTGCCTCGCCCACTCGAGGTACGGTTTCATTTCGAAATAGGGTCCTGTGAGGTGTAACCCACCGCAGAACATGTAACCTATGAATTCAAGCGGCGAAGGAAGGACGCGCAAATGCCGGTCCGCACCGCGGATAGGCCGCCCGTTAGCAGCGGCACTCGCGGCGGAATCGGCGGCGACAGGGTCGGAGAGGTATTGGCCGTCCTGGTAGTCGAAGGCGCATGACGTCAGCTTGAGCGTCACCATCATAAGCGTGCCCGCGAAGTCGATGCCCTGATCTCTGCGCGCCGAGCCGCTATCGTACACCACGTGGCTGAAATATCGGAGGGAACAGCAGGGAGGTGAAGAAAAATTTAGGAAGAAGGGATCGTTATTACCTCTATTAGTGACTTTATGGCACGGAAGGGAGGACGCGAGTGCAAAGCGGGGCTTCGAAGTACGCGGAAAGAGGAAAGAGTTGAGGCTTACCATACGATGAGGTAAGAGAATGTGCCGAGCAGAGTGATTATCCCGCATCGTTTCCGATACAAGCACATTGCGCTATACGCGAAGGTGAGGAGCACAGCATAGTGCGCCCAGATAGTAGGACCGAAAGCTGAGAGCGCGAGAAACAGTCCGGCAAGCGCGCCGATGGCATGGCGCGCGGAGGTGGAGGGGGTTGCGCGGAGGAGCAGGCAGCATGGGATAGAGAGGAGCGGCGAGACGAGCGAGATGAGTGTTGTGGGCGTTATGCCTAGCTCGGATAGAATGCTCCCTCTGGATGCCGACGCCATGTGCTTTTGCGAGGTGCGTACGAAAGGAGAAGGGGGATGCTTGTGTCGCGAGGAGATCTGTTGTATGGGTATGGTGTTCCTGTGATTACGCAGAGACGTGTGCAGGAGGAATTGAAACGAAGGGTGAAGAGAAATGTGGATGGCTATGCGTGCAGCGCAACCCAACTTTATTGGGCAATGCGCAGCTCGCGAATTGCGAAATTCTCGCATCCGTGCGGCTGGCCCCTCGCTTCATACCATCCGCGTCGCGTTACACTTCCCCGCGTTGATGTTGAGATGAGAGCCTAGGCTAGCCTCCCCGACTTGGAAGCCATCCTTGCCGCCACCGAATGTCGGTGTCGATGACGTGGAATGTATGACCCTTCCAGCAGGTCAGGCAGAGTACTGTACGGTTGATGCGTTTCATGTGTTTTGTTTGTTGCTGCGCCAGGGGATAAAATCCAACGGTTTGGATTCGGACTCTGGCAAGGAGGGGCTCGTTCAGTCCAGCTGTAACGCGTTCGGCTGGTTGACGTGGTCAACAACATCACCGCAAGTGCGCAAAGCTCGTCCCTCTTCCGAATGCGTACGCAGCGCCACATCACACCTACGAAAAGCTCCGTGCATCTTCACTAACGTCAGGTTCGTTCCGCAAACTTAGGCGCAGACTGGGAAGGCTAGGGTACACTTAGCATGCTACAATTCCTCCAGTGACTTTATGATGTCGTAGACAAGTGTCCATGCTCTACACTTGATTAAAAACGCTTTGAATCCTTCTTGCCAAAATTGATTAGGGTTCGCTCTATTAGTTTGTGAAAGCGTGCAATTTGTGAAGGTTGATCGAGAAACTCAAGGGAGCAACAAAGGATGAGCGGGGAGAAGGGAGCCAGATGGTGGCGGACAAAATGTGAATCCCTATCAAAGTCCTGCAGATCAGCACGAGGGCAGTGAGAAATGGGGGAAATAAAGTTTGGGGGCTGGGAGAAAGCAGGACGAAAGGACATTCCATGGGTGAGCGAATGAGCAAAGTGTTGGGCTGAGATAGCCCCTTAGGATCTTTTCAGGAGTAACTCTGGGTAGGATAGTATTGTAACAGCGGAAGCTTTAATAAAACTTGTGAATCACCTTGCGCTAGTGTGTGAGGGCAAGAGTAGATTAATTATAACAGGAAAGTACAAGAATATATAGTAGTGCAAGGAATATCAAAGGATACAGTTATAACTACTTTTACTGTTGCTGTTGCGGTTCGATACAGTACGACTCGGGCAACTGCTCTGTAACGAGTCAGTTGTATGTCCTTAACTGTCGCGCTGTACTTGTCGGTCAAAAGGTTGCTGACCTTTGACTTTCGCGTAACCTCCAGCAACCTCTTTCAACCTCCGAGGGTTGACTCGCGGGTGTTTCGGTGTAGTTTGCCTCGCTTCTGGTGCGGTGTTTCGACACGACTGAAGCGCTTAAGTTTTATTGTTTCCAACACTCCCCTTCGCTTCTGGAGTGTCGCTGCTGATGACGTGGCCTTGTCCAGTCAGCATCATGCAGTACTCGAACTTTTGTTTTCCAAGCTTCTTGGTCAAGTAGTCGGCTGCCATCTCAGACGTGGGACAGTACGATAGCTCGAGTCTCCCTTTCTCGATCTCGTCCTTTACGAAGAAGTAACGCAGGGCGATGTGTTTCGTCCTGTTCGCGAAGCCGTTCTTGTTGGCGATACGAATTGCTGACTGGTTGTCGCAGAACACGGTGAAGTTGGGTAACTCGGCTAACTTCGCTTCTTCCAGCAGCTCGCGAAGGTAAAGTCCCTCCTTGGTGGCTGAGCAGAGTGCGATATATTCTGCTTCGGCTGAAGATAGTGCAATTAACTCCTGCTTGCTCGACTGCCAGGAGATAGGACCGATAAACTCGAGGCAGTAGACATAGCCGGTGCGTGAGCGCCTGTTGTCAGTGTCGCCGGCGTGATCGGCATCGACGTAGCCGATTAGCTTGGTTGGTGTAGCTGCGTTCTTGTGATAAGTTAGGCCGATCATCGCGGTGCTGATAAAGTAGTGCAGAGCGCGGTCAAGTTCCGCCAGGTGTTCTGCTTCAGGCTTCTTGAGATAAGTGGCGAGCTGGCTTGCGGAGTAGGATAGGTCGGGTCGGCAAGTGACGGCTGCGAAGAGGAGGCAACCTAGCTTCCTCTGATAGTCGCGTATGCCGGCGGGCTTAAGTGGGGCAGATTCCTTATCGGCTCCTGTCGTGTAGCGGTATGGTGTTGAGATCGCGGCTGGCGTAATTCCGAATCGTTTGGCGATGGTGTCGGCGTACTTTTCGGCGCTGAGGTAGATCGCGTCGTTATCTTCTCGAATGTTAAGTCCGAGATACTGTGTGACGGTAGATGAGACAGTGAGGGTGAGGTCCTTCTGCAGCTCCCCTTCGAACCAGGTGGTGATGCCGTCGGTAGAGCCGATGTAGAGAAGATCGTCCACGTAGACAATTAGCAAGATGTAGTCGCTGTTCTTCGTGAGGCGGTACATGCCCTGATCGTGCGGGAGTTGTTTGAAGCCGATGCGGATGAGGCGAGTATGCAGGTACTGCTGCCACAGTCGCGGCGCCTGTTTGATCCCGTAGAGCGATTTTAGTAGCTGGCAGACGTGCGTGGAATTTGTGTTGGAGCCGTGCGGTAGTTCCACGAAAATCTCTGCATCGACCGGTGCGTAGAGAAATGCGTTCGCGACGTCGATTTGGCGTAGTTTCTTCTTCTTCATAGCGGCGATGGCGAGAAGAATTCGAAGTGAAGTGTGACGGCTGACCGGAGCGAAGGTTTCGGTGAAGTCTCGTCCATGTTCCTGGTCGAAGCCGCGAACGACCCAACGCGCTTTGAACTTGTCGATGGTGCCGTCGGCCTTCGTCTTCACACGGAAGACCCATTTCCCGGTAAGAATGGTCTTGTTTCGCGCTACGCCGATGGGAACGACTTTCCAGGTGTTGCGTTCCTCTAATGCCTTCAGCTCCTTGTCCATGGCTTCGCGCCATTTTTCCTTATGCTCCCCCCCCAGAGCCTGCTGAACTGTCGCAGGCTCCTTAGGAATGTTGACGCCGTGGACCGCGGTGACGAGACCAAGGATTTGGAGTCCGCTCTGTGTGTAGCGGGGGAGTGTGGTGTCCTCGGGATAGACTGCCTCGTCTCCAGTTTCTGGATCGGGTGCGAAGTTGGGCCCTATGCGTTCTGCTTCGTTGGTGTTGACTTCAGCAGGTGTAACGTAACCGTTGTCGGCGAAGTGGTAGTAAGTTTCGGCGTTGACGCTTTCGCGAGGGTTTTCTTCGTCCATCGGTACGTCCACTGAGCAGTAGGGAAGAGGTCCGGCTTCTTCCGAGGCTCCTTCCACATTCTGCTCGTCCCAGTCAGCTTCGTCTTCTGCCGAAGCGAAGGCTCGATCGCCACGGAAGCCGCCTGTGGGGTCTCGATTTTCGTCCAGGTTGGCAAGGTACGTTGGCAGCGTGAGTCGTTCGTAGAAAATGACATCACGTGCTGCTACTGTTTCTTTGGTGTGGATGTCGAAGATTTTCCACGCGTTGTAATGTTTTTCGATGCCCAGGTGTAGTCCCCACTGTGCGCGTTGAGAGAATCGGCCGGCTCGTGCAGATGGGGGTCGGTACTGTACCATGCAGCCGAAGACTCGTAACATTTTTGTGCTGCCCAGTTTTCCTGTCCACAGCAGATGCGGTGATGTGTTGTTCGGGAGTGACGACGAAGAAAGCAAGTTGTGCAGCATCACGGCGTGGTCCATTGCTTCGGGCCACTGGTGGTTGGGTAGCCGCATGCCACGTAACAGTTTGCGCATGGTGTTCTGCAGAGTCCTGTTCATCCTTTCTGCTACACCCTGCTGTTGATGGGCGTAGGGAAGGGAGATTCCCTTGATTCCCTTCTCCGCCAGGTACTGCTTGAATCGCTGTGACGAGTATTCTCCTCCTCCGTCTGATTGGAAACTTTTGAGCTTAGCTCCCGATTCCCGTTCTGCTGCTGGAAGCCATGCCACGAAAGCTTCGAAAGCCATGTCGCGACTTGGTAAGTTTAGGTGCCAGACGTAACGTGTAGCGGCGTCGATGAAGGTGATGGTGTAGTTATACGCGTTTTGTCCGGGTTCGCGGTTGTACAAGATGTCGCTGTATACTTTCTCGAGTGGTGCATATGCAGGTGCGCTTGGGTTGTGATGCGAGACGAAGGGTTGATGCGGTAAGTCAGCTTCAGGACAGGTGAAGCAAGTCCCTCGTGCTCGTTGAAGTTCTCGTCCGTCTGTTAAAAGCAGAGAGTCCTTGTCGAGTACTCCTGCTCGAATCGTGTTATTTAGCACAGTGTTGCTTGGGTGTCCCATTCTTGCGTGCCAGATTTCTTCGTTGGCGCGATGACCGGGTGAGCGCTGGTACATGTCGGAGTTGGAGTAGAGACCGGTGGTGAAGTTGGGACTGTGATGAAATTCTCGTGGTGCTGGCTGAAGCTGTTGTGCAGGTGTTGGTGGTGCATCGTCGTTGAAGAACGCCGTCGTTGAAGGACCGGCGACTGGTGTCGTCGTTGTCGCTGTTGCTGTTGTTGTCTCTGCTGCTGCCGATGTTGTCTCTGCTGCTGCTGATTGTTGAATCGTTGCTAATGCTCTTGTTCTCTCTGTTTCAGGAATGGTATGTGAATACCAGAAGCCGCCTGTACTGAAGTCAGAATCAAGATCTGGAGGATGTGTCCAGTTGGTGAAGTTGACTATGGCGTCGCTGTCAGCGGTACCGAGATCAGGAACGAAGTCCAAGACGAAGACGTTGTTCTTGAGGACTGCTTTTCCGATGTAAAGACCTCCTCTCCCGTGGTATAGCTTGAATTCCTGGGTCGTGCTGTCTGCTTCGAGGTGAATTCCCTTCGCCATCAGTTGACTGACGCTTAGTAAGTTGTAGCCAAGGCCTTCTGCGATTAAAACCTTGGACATTTGCAGAATGACGTTTGTCTCCCGTGACTGAAGTTGTACAATTCCTTGTCGTCGTGTGCGCAGGTTCTGATTATTGGCGACGGTGATGACGACCTCACGTTGAAGTTGATATTCTCGCTGTACGAAGCGTCCTGAAGAACACATGTGTTGTCCGCAGCAACTGTCCAGGAACCATGTATCCTTCCCGGATGGCTCGCTTTGGGCGATGGCGGCGTATGTCGGATTTGGTTGAAGTGCTTCGCGACGAGGTGTGGCGTTGTCGAGTTGTTCTTCCGGTGAGTAATGAGGTGGTGACTCGGTAATGCAGGATTCGCTTAGTCTTGCCATGCAGCTAACGATGTTTCTTGCTCCTTGTGCAGGTTGTCCTGTTGAGGTCGTTGAAGCTTGGATCTGGGTCGTTGGGTTTGCTTGCGTTGACGCAACTTGACCGCTTGAGGGTCGAAGGTGTCGTTGCGGGGTCGTTGACTGTTGACGATTCGGGCAGTGCGTGCGCGGGTGCCCTGAAGTCTTGCAGATGTGACAGAAGGGAGGTACTGGTTTTGGTTGTTGTTGTCGGTTGTTGTAGTTGTTGTGTCGTCGTTGCGTGTGAAAAACGAACTCTGATGTTGTCGTCTTCTTTCTGTGTCGTTCTTCTTGCAGGTCCATATCCTGTTGCTCGGCGTGGATTTCGGCGCAGAGTGCTGCTTCAGAGATTCTCCCGTGGGCTCGGAGGATAGCTTTGGTGGCGCGCCACTGAGGACCTAGGCCACCGATGATGACCGTCACGAAGGCGTCTTCAGAGATGGACCCTCCACATCGAAGAAGCTTGTCGCGCAGTTCGCGACATCGACTGATATATGCCATTCCTTTCTCTCCTGGTTTCATCTCAACTGTTGTCAGCTGCGCCATTAACCTGCTCTGGTTTACACTGTCTGTTGCTTGATACAGGCTCTTCAGATGGTTGTACGCGAGCTCCGCCGAGTTGCCGAAGGCCCGGTAGGACCGAATGTTCTGCTGCTGAGTTGGTGTTAAGTTCCTCAGTAGGATCGTATACGCCATCATCGATTGATACGTGTACTGCTGCTTCTCATACTGTGTGCCGTTTGCTGGATATTGCAGGGACCCGTCGAAGAAGCCAAGTATCTGCGCGCCTTCCATCATCAACTCGAACTCAAAGGACCAGGTGAAGAAGTCCTTTCCGTCGAATGGTCTTGACGTTTGAAGCTTCAAAACGTGTGCAAACTGCGACTGTACTTGTAATGCGTCCAGTGATTTGTCTTGTGCAGGCGAAGACTGCGGCATGAAGCTGATTGACCCGCGTTCGTACGGGGCGAAGGTAGGTTGCTGCTGTTGATTTCCGCGCGCGTATGACGACCCGTCAAGGCTCATGGGCGTCGCTCCGTTGTTGCTGTTGTGTGTCTGTGCAGGTCCCGACTGCTGGTGCTGCTCGTAGAAGGACATGAAGGAGAAAAATTTCTCCATCATGCTTTGGTCGAAGTCCGTGGGGCGATTTGTGTGAGTCTCGGTGGACGTCCCCCTGGGTCTTGTTGCCGTGCCTTCCTCTGTCTGCAGGCCAGAGGCAGGAGGTGGTGTAGGAGTAGTGCCCGGGGAGCCATTAGAAGAGCTCCTCTCCTTGTTTGTTGCCATGTCTTGTAATGTCTTTGATTTGGAAGTGGTAGAGTTTCCCCTGACTGCTCTCATACCATGTTGGGCTGAGATAGCCCCTTAGGATCTTTTCAGGAGTAACTCTGGGTAGGATAGTATTGTAACAGCGGAAGCTTTAATAAAACTTGTGAATCACCTTGCGCTAGTGTGTGAGGGCAAGAGTAGATTAATTATAACAGGAAAGTACAAGAATATATAGTAGTGCAAGGAATATCAAAGGATACAGTTATAACTACTTTTACTGTTGCTGTTGCGGTTCGATACAGTACGACTCGGGCAACTGCTCTGTAACGAGTCAGTTGTATGTCCTTAACTGTCGCGCTGTACTTGTCGGTCAAAAGGTTGCTGACCTTTGACTTTCGCGTAACCTCCAGCAACCTCTTTCAACCTCCGAGGGTTGACTCGCGGGTGTTTCGGTGTAGTTTGCCTCGCTTCTGGTGCGGTGTTTCGACACGACTGAAGCGCTTAAGTTTTATTGTTTCCAACACAAAGCACCCCGGTGGGTAACAGTAGCATCCCAACAGATACCTTAGTCCACAGCAAGCTCTCACCTTCTCGGTCAGTATCAGCAACGGCCCACGCCCACCCACAGCATCCCCCTCGCCTCCTCCATTTCCCCGTCTCATCCCGTGTGCATCCGGGTCTTGCGCATCATGGGAGGGCGTGCTGGGGTCAGGTGCATGTGAGAGGAGGGCGAGTGCTTCTTGCACTGCCCGCACCTCCTGGCCGAGGGGTCACAGCAGGCAGGGGGAAACGAGAGAAGGGGGGGAGTAGAAGGAGAGAAGAGACAGGGGCACAAGGATGCAGAGAGGTGTCCCAGTTGGCTGAGGGGTTCTTTCACCATACACGTGGGCACGTGGGCACCCATGCACTGGGCAGCAGTGGATGGCAGGGAGGAGGCAGGGAGGAGGCAGGGGAGTGTGAGTGACTGACCCGGAGGGAGAAGGGCGAGTGGTCGGGCAGAGCGATGCTCACCACCCGCCTCAGGTGCAGCTGGGGGGAAGGAGGGCAGAGAGATGGCACAGGGGGGAAATTCGGTGGAGAGGCAAGACGCACGGGTGATGGGCCCACGGGAGCCACTCTGATTAGTGCCGTCAGAATTTTCCCTCCACCCGTTTTCTATCCGCCCAACTGCCACTCATCCATCCACCACTCCAGCGCCCTCACCTGTGCCTGCAGCGTGGCTTGCAAGGCCTCAGGCGAGCCAATGGCAGACAGACACACGGCATCACGCCCAGCTACGCTCGCACACGCCACCACCCTGTCCCCTCCTCCGCCCTCTCCTCCCACCTCTCCGCCCTCTCCTCCCACCTCTCCTCCCTCTCCTCCCACCTCTCCTCCCTCCCCTCCCACCTCTCCTGCCTCCCCAGCCCCCCCTTCCCCATGGCACAGCAGCAGGTGCGCGTCCCCCCTGCCCTGGGCGCCTTCCAGGGCTGTGCTGCCTCGCAGCTCATGGCACGCGGGAGAGGAGGGCGGCCTAGCAGGGGAGGAGGGCGGGCTAGCAGGGGAGGAGGGCGGGCTAGCAGGGGAGGTAGGCGGAGGATGTGGAGGAGGAGAGAAGGTGGAGGGGTTGTCTGGCGGATTGGGGAGAGGAGGGGGAGGGTAGGAGGCGCAGGGGCAGGGCGAGGGGGAGAGGAGGTGGAGGGGGCGGAGGGAGGAGTGCAGGAGGAGGCCGTGTGGTGGCATGTGGTGCTGTAGCTGTGATTCCAGCGCTGACACACACGCTGGAGGGGCCTGCATATGTGGCAGAGACGAGATGTGGATGCTGTAAGAGGTGCATATCAATGCCACCCATGAGGTTGCTTGTGAGGCGACTGAAACGCACGAGACAGCATTGCATAGTATCATTATGGGATCAACGCAACTGCGCCAGGTCAGCAACGGAGGTTACCAGGTCAGCAACGGAGGTTACCAGGTCAGAATTGTGAATCACCACCACATCTGCCCGTTGCAGCGCCTCAAGCCGCTCTCTCATTGGTCCACGTGGAACCAGCTGGCCATTTCCCCACGGACTGTTGCACCCTGATTGCCCTTTTCCTTGCACCTGTACATGCACTTGTGGTTGTGTGTGTGCATGCGGCGGCACGGCATTGAGCATGACAATGTCGAGATCGCGATGCAGCGCCCAGTGCTGGTGGGGGGAGGGGGGAGGATGGGGAGGATGGGGAGGATGGGGAGGATGAAGGCAGGCAGGGAGGATGGCAAGAGCACGGGGACAATGTCGTGCTCGTTGCACACGAGTGTGCACGGGGAGGGTGCAAGTGTGAAACTGACCAATGTGCGTGTTGAACAATGCATGAATGAAAACACTGAATCATGCAGAAGGATGGCATACATACCTGCATGCCATCGTCCATTATCACAGCAGCAACCGGCCCAACACCTGCACTCCCTTTATCCGCCCCACCATGCTCCATCCCCTCCTCTTTCCTCCCCTCATGCCTTTCCCCCTCCGCTGCTCCCCTTCCCCATCCCCTCCACGCCCCGAACTGCCCAATAACTCGCCGTGCCACGTCAGCACGCTTGCGTCCCACTGCAATGATCACCGGGCGGCCGCTGAGCTGGCGCTGCAGCATGCGCGCCTCGTCACCCCCTGCATAGCCCTTGGAGCCACGTGGCAGGTGGGGCGAGGAAACAGTAGAGGGGATGAGAGGTGAAGGAAGAGAGGGAAATGGAGCAAGAGGGGACGAAAGTGGCATATCAGAAGGCGTGAGAAGAAGGGCGGAGGCGGGGAGGAGAGGAGGATGGGGGCTCACCCGAGAGAGGATGAGGACGGAAGGGGTGCGGGGGGGAGGGGTGAGCGAGGAAGAGTTGAAGGGGAAGGTGTTGGCGGTTATGGGAGAGGGTGGCGTTGTGGGAGTGGGGGAGGAGGATGCGGGAATGGTGGTGGTGGCTGAGGATGCAGGTTGTGAGGCCAGTTGTGAGTGCAGGGCGGTGTTAAGGAGTGAGAGGAGGTGCAGAGCGGTGGATGCGACCATGGGCGTCTTGCCGGTGCCCCCCCAGGTGATGTTTCCCACGCTTATCACCGCCACCCCCACCCTGCCATGCCACTCCCCACAGCGGCCCCGGGAAGTGGGACGGGAAGAAGAGAGGAAAAGCAGAAGGGGGGATGTGGAACAGGGCAAGGAGGGAAGTGCCGCCACAAACCCACTCCCCAACCCACTCCCCAACCCACTCCCCAGTTCACTTCCTAGTGCTTCTGCCATACCCACTCCCATGTGCGCAACTGCTTCCCATATGCGCACCTGCTTCCCATATGCGCACCTGCTTCCCATATGCGCACCTGCTTCCCATATGCGCACCTGCTTCCCATATGCGCACCTGCTTCCCATATGCGCACCTGCTTCGCTTCCACCATCCGCGTTGATAAATCTCCCACCGCGCGCGCATCACTGCGCCGTACCCCGCGGCTCCCCCCGCCAGTAGCGCCACCGCCACCGCTCGCAGCGGGCGCGGAAGCCACACGCGCGGACGCGGAAGCGCTCCGCTCGCGGCTTGCGCCCCCCCACGACCCTCATCACTGGCGGAACCTCCCCCTGGAGCGCCGGGGGAAGCGGAAGGAGGCAATCTAGTAGGCGCAGTGTGTGCGGTCGGCGGATGCGCGCGGGGGGTCGGGGAAACGCGCCGGAAAATGCGGTCGGCCAAGGACGGCTGTGGCGGCTCATAAGCCAGAGTAACTATGACGTCACCAAGCCATCTCCGCAACTGCTGCCCCCACGTGGCCGCCCCAGAGTGGCTGGACGTGCGCTCGCTGCACTGGCAAGGTGGCAGCTGGCGCGGACCGGCGGCGCGAGAGGTGTCCATCGCATGGCGCGCGGAGCGAGAGGCGCGATGAACGCGCGGTGAGGGCAGCGGAGGAAGGTGCGCGATGAAGAAGCGGAAAAGAGCATGCGGCGGGGGAAAGATTATTTTATATGAGGTGACGTTGATGCATTGGTAGATAATTGGAGCTGTCGAGGATAGTGGGACGGCGGAAAATACGAGGTAAGAAACGCAAAACCTCAGCCGATCACGGTGGGACTCGAACCCACAATCTCCCGCTCCGGAGGCGAGCGCCTTATCCATTAGGCCACGCGACCACGAGACTTCCATTACATAATTAATTACTTGTTGACATATTTTTAATAGTCCGAACTCCGGACCATCCATTTTGATTCTCCACATGGCGGCGCAGCAAGAGGCGCGAATTTCCGTGGAGATATTCCCCGTGGCGGTGCAAGACGACCGCCGCTTCCGCAACCTGCTGCCTGACGCGGACGAGGCGGAAGGTCGGGCGGAAGGACATGCGGAAGGGCGTTCGGACGGGCATGCGGAAGGGGAGGCTGATAGAGGAGGGCGGCGAGGAGGGGGGACGACTGGAGCCGATCAAGAGACCGGCGTTGAAGTCGGGGGAACAGGCAGTAAAGTAGGCGCATGCGAGGCGACACGTGTCGGGAGGCCATTGGCGCTTCCTTCAGAGGAGGCGTTTCTTGGTGCTGGCCTTGCGCTCAAAGATGAGGTATGGGCGCTGCGCGGTGCATGGGCTCGCGCTGGGGCATGGGCGCGCACTGGGGCATGGGCGCGCACTGGGGCATGGGCGCGCACTGGGGCATGGGCGCGCACTGGGGCATGGGCGCGCTGTGCATGGTGATGCGCCCTGGGGCATGGTTGCATGGGTGAGTGCTGCATATGCGAAACGGCATGCTTCAAGGCGCCTCGTCTTCATGATTGCTTGCGCACGGGTATGATGCCCCACGAGCATGACGAGGCACTCGTGGGGCGCGAGGTGAGGCACTCGGGTATGATGCAAGACAACCACCCCACGAGTGCCTCACCTCGCGCCTTCCCCTTTCCACGGTCCACCCCCTCTCAGGTGGTCCATGCCACGTGGCGGAAGCACAGGCCTCCACGTGGCAGCAAGACAGACCCTTTCCTGTACACGGGCCTGATGGGAACCGCCTTCGTGTGCCTGCGTGCCTTCCACGTCACTCGCAGCAGTGCTGACCTGGACCTCGCTGCTGACATCACTCGAGCTGCTGCTGAGCTGGCAGAGCGTCAGCACCGCGTGTGAGTGCCCACAATCCACGTTGGCTAGCGAGTGGCCTCGTTCACATCCCTCTCCATTCATTCCACGGATATGGATGCGATGCACCTCGTTAGCCGCCCCTCCCCCGCCTCCCGCCCCTCCTGACCGCCACCCACTCATCGCTACAACCCCGCATATGCTTGCGTCCCTCACACCCCTCTTCCCCTTGCGCTCATGCCATTCTCTTCTCGCCGCCCCGTCCCCCATCCCTGGCAGCTACTATTCTTTCTTTTGCGGGCAGCCCGGAATATTTGCCCTGGGGGCGGTCGTGGCCCACCTGCAGCGCCGGCAGCACGACCGCGAGAAGTTTCTGCGAAGGTTCCTCGACCTCGTCACTGACGCACTTCCTGCGCTCTCCCAGCGCCCCTCCTCGACCAATGACATCGCGCCAGCTGGCATTTCCTACGAGCTGCTGTACGGGCGGGCGGGCGTGCTGTGGGCGGCACTGTTCATTCGGCAGCATCTGGGGCGGGCTGCTGTTCCTGATTCTGTTTGCCGCCCAATCATGGAATCAATCATTGCTGGAGGCCAGTTCTTTGCACACGCATGGTATCCACCCTCCCAAGCCGTAGCTCCCTCCTCCCATACCCAGTCCCACGCTCATGCCCACCCCCACACTCACACTCACTCTCACTCTCACACTCACACTCACTCTCACTCTCACTCCCCATCCTCACCGCACTCCTCCCCCCACAAACGACGTAAGGAAAGCACGAGTGACACACCTGCAGCCGCCTCCTCTCCTCCTCCTCCTCTCTCCCTTACTCCCCCCTCCCCTGCTCCCTCCTCCTCTTCCCCATCACCCGCTCCCGCACCTCTCGCCCCTCCTCTCATGTTCGCATGGCACGGCAAGCGCTACTGGGGAGCAGCACATGGGCTGGCAGGAATCGCCCAGACGCTGCTGCTGGGGGCGGGGCATGTGGGGCAGGAAAGTGGGGGGCCGGGGGAAGAGGGCGGGGCAGCAGCGGAGGAAGGGGGAGGGGAGGCGGTGGCAGCGTTGGAGTGGATGGTGGGTGGCAGGCTGCCAAGCGGTAACTACCCCTCCAGTGACGAGAAACGCCTTGCTGCTGCTGCTGCTGCTGCGGCTGCTGGGAAGGGGGTGCTGGGGGAGGGGGTGCTGGGGGAGGTGCAGGCAGGGCGGCAGCAGGTGGGGCGGACAGGTTGGTGCAGTGGTGCCACGGCGCTCCTGGTGTGGCCATGGCGCTTGCCCACGCTGCTACGGTATGTGACTCTGCGTGTGCTGTGCATGTGCCTTGCACGTCACCGTGCATGCACCATGTGCTGTCATCTGTGGTTTCTGTGGCATGTGCTGTCATCTGTGGTTTCTGTGGCATGTGCTGTCATCTGTGGTTTCTGTGGCATGTGCTGTCATCTGTGGTTTCTGTGGCATGTGCTGTCATCTGTGGTTTCTGTGGCATGTGTTTGCAGTGTCCATGTTACCTGCTCTGCGACGCATGGTTAGGTATAGCTATCACATCACATCACGGCTTCATGCCATGATATTCCTGCGCTGCTGCACTGGCCTTCCTGCTTCTGTCACTACCTCCATGCCTGTCACCACTGCATGCCTTGCTGTGGTCGCAACGCAACCCATGTGCAACCCATGTGCAACCCATGTGCAACCCATGTGCAACCCATGTGCAACCCATGTGCAACCCATGTGCAACCCATGTGCAGCTCACTGGCTCAACACTCAACCACTCTCTGCATTCAGTGCCTTTGCACTCACTGCTTCTCCATCTATGTCCTTCCATGCACATGCCTTTTGAGAATTCTCAAAAGCGTCCATGCACATGCCCCGTTTCCTACCCCTTCTCTGCACTGCACCAGTCACACCCGAGCAAGCATCACCTGCTGCCAGCAGCGGTGGCAGCGGGCGAGGTGGTATGGCAGCGCGGGCTGCTGCGCAAGATGGGGCTGTGCCACGGCATTGCTGGTAACGCCTATGCGTTCCTCTCCCTCCACCGTGCCGCCTCCGCTGTCAGGGCCACCAGCAACAGGGAAACTGACAGCCTGCAGGAAAGCACCACTCCCGCCCCGCCTCCTCCCTCCACCCACCTGCACAGAGCGCGTGCGTTTGCTGCCTTCCTCCTGGCCCACCGCCAGCGCCTCGCAGATGCCGCCCTGCTGCACTGCGGTGACCGCCCCTTCTCCCTCATGGAGGGCCTGGGCGGCGTCGCTTGTCTCTTCCTGGACCTGGCCCGGCCTGACGATGCACGATTCCCAGGGTTTGAGCTGTGATTGCACGAAGGGGCCTTGGCAGGGGCCTTGGCAGGGGCATTGGCAGGGGCATTGGCAGGGGCATTGGCAGGGGCATTGGCAGGGGCATTGGCAGGGGCATTGGCAGGGGCATAGGCAGGGACGGTGGCAGCAAAATGGGAAATCAAGGAGACGAAAACAAGGGTCATGGACTGGCGACTGAGGTTGCAGCATGATGTCGCTGCCTGTATATATTGTGCACATGTGAATGAAGCTGTCGACATTGACTCCACTGGAGTGCAGCGTGCACAAGTGCGGCCAGCTGCTCTTTCCATTTCCAACCCCGTGCTGGAGGGTCGTAGGGACTTGCTCATGCGAGATGGTGTTCTGGCAAGCGTGTTGGTACCGACTGACCTCACACTCAGCAAACCCTTTCCCACAAGTGAGGCTGATTGCCTTGATATAATTTTTGCATGTTCTGTTTGATGTCACTTTGATAAACATTATGCCCTACAGTTGCTCAGTCATTCGTGAAGTATTGCAGTCGAGGGGTATTTCAAACTTGTTGAAGACATGGGACACACTGCAACTTGTGGCAACAAAATCAATCCTACACCACCACCGCAGCAGCAACGGCAGCAGGAGACGTACTGCAACACAACTGCTGCTGCTGGTGCTAGTGGTGCCGGCAGCTCCTTGATCGCCATGCAGACCAGCTCTTGCCATGAACGGCTGTACTGCCATGCCATACTGCCACCTGTCCCTACTACAGAACATGGGCCTCCCTAGTGTTTCTGTTAGAATGTTATTATCTAGCCTGTAGTGGGGTGCTCTGTAGCGAGTACAACCTAGTTAGGGTTTGCTATATGTATACCAACTGCTGCTAGTGAAACCCCTCTTTCCTGTTTCTTCCTACTAGTTTTGACAGTTTCTCAAAAGACTGTACCAGTAACATTCCAGCCCGACTTGTGAACAAGCGGAACTATGAGCATTGGCTCTCTGCTGGGGCCAACCCATCCCCTGTTCCTGGTCTTGCATGCAATAGTGCGGCCAGCCGAGGCTATTCAAACAGATTCCGAAGGGCATCTACACACAATGCACAATCAGACGTAACTAGTACTGCCGCAAAGGGTCATCCCTACAAATGTAACCTACGGCAATCTAGTAGATCTCATCAGGCATAGACCACTCAGTACCCCATGCACTATGTACCACACCCGTTGTGTGTGAGTGAAGGCAGCCTTGCGGCATCTTGTCTCTACAAGAAGCACCCTGCCATTGTGCGACTGATCTCATAGACTCATACCCAACCAACTGGTGGAAGCGATTCAGAGCATGAGTCGGCTGGGCGGGGGCAGGTTGGGCAGGGAGGCAGTGGTGTTGGGGAAGAGCACATGCGGCGCCACCACCATGGACGGCCCCACCGACCCCACTCGTCTCACATGCACGGGAACCAGCCGACCGCCGCCATCCACCTGCGCTACCAACTCCCACTGCTGACGTGTCATAACAACTGACCCCTGCTCGCCCTTCTCCTTCCCCCCCGCCTCTCCTCTCCTCTCTCTGCCGTCACTCTTATCCACCTTCTGCTTCTCTGCTTCCCCTTTCATCCCACCCTCCCCCGCTTCTGCCTTCGTTCCATCCTCATTTGAAGCAGTCTCGTTATTGAGCGCCACGGGCAGCATGGACTGGCCAACGCCCTCCACCCGCAGTTCCACCTGCAGAGGAATGCGAACCACCCGGCCAGCAGAAGCACTGGCCTTCACCAGTTGGAACACGCGGGGCAAACCACCAGAGGCACCACCACCGCCCTTCCCGCCCGCCCCCCCCTTCCCCCTCCCCTTGCCCTGCTGCGCCACCATCTCCCCCAGCGCGCCCTGCAGCGCCTCCCCCAGCGCCGTCAGCCGCCCATCGGATCGATTCACTACTGGGAACGGCCATGGCCCTGGGGGGGCTGTGAGCGACGCCAGAGGTAGCGCCGCCGCGAGGGAAGAGAGGACGCCGCCTCTTGCTGCTGCTGCTGACGTGGATCGCGGCCTCGCTGACGTCAGCTCCACTGCGCCTGCTGCGATCCGCTTGACTCTGAGCTTCGCGGGCGCAAGGGCCGTCGCGGCAGTGGCAGCGGCGGTATTCCCGAGGTCGTCAGTCGCACCCGCCTCAGTAACAGCCTCCACGAGGCCGATGCTGGCGACGTCGCGAGCGGGGGGGAGCGCGGAGAGCGGCACGCTGGCGGCGACGATGGCGGAGGGGCGCACCACGCGGAGCGACACGAGCTCGCGGGGCAGGGGGGACGCGGACGAGGGCGCGCGGGACGGAGAGGACCAGGAGAGCGCGGCGGCCTTGAGCTTTTCCGCGAGGGCGAGGAGGGCGGAAGAGGCGGAGGAGGCGGAGAGGGAGCGGCGGGAGAGAGTGGGAAGCGGGAGCTGCAGCGGGCGCGCCAAGGCGACTGCTTGCGCGCCGTGCACGGTGACGGCGGCGCCTGACGCGAGCACGACCTTCCTCACATCGCCCGCATCCACGTCGTGCTGGCGGAGCGAAGAGACGGGAGAGGGAAGGAAGGAGCGGGGAGCGGTGAGAAGGGAGAAGGGTGCGCGGCGAGCGGGGAGTGGTAAAATGGAAGCATCGCACAAGGGCAAGGACAACGGGGAACAATGGGCCATTCGGACGACGACGACGGAAGGGGGAGGGGGAAGGACTGGGGTGACCCGCAACGCTGCAGCGCAGCGCAACTCACGGGCATGGCGAGGCGCACTTGCTCCGCGTCCTGCACCCACATCTCCATCGGCCCCTCCACCGTCACCGGCGGCAGCGACCCCGCTGCCGCTGACGTCAGCACCGACCCTGCAACGGATTGCAACAGCGAGTCGCCTCGCGCAGCTGACACGCTGCCGTAAACGCCGCCTGCCGCTCGCAGCGCAAGTGAACCCTCGCCCTCAGAAGCATGGGCTGCTGATTTTCCAGCGTCTCCGTTTGTACTCTCCTCGGTTGCTTGTTTCTCTTCTTCTTCTCCCGTCGATTCGTTAATACTAGCAGCGTCGGGTGCGGCGAGAGGCGGCAGGTGGGGGAGGAGGTACTCGGGAGGGCTCAGCTGCTCCGAAAGGGAAAAGGCTTTCCGCTGCGCGCCGAGTTGCACCTCGAAGTCGTACTGCAGCACGCGTTGCCACGTGGCGTCCTCCAAATCCACTCTGCTGACGCGAGTCATTGATGTCGGCCATCGGTTTTCGCTGCTGACGTGGCGGGTGAAGTCCTGCGAGCAGGAGAAAAGAGCGAGAGAGAGGAGAGCGGAGCCTGAAGAGATTAACAAGTACGCACTACTGCTAAGAAGAAACAACTAAAATGACCCGCTAACCGAGGTATAGCTGAAACGACGACCCTGCCAATCGCTAATTGAACTGGGCAAGGTTATAGACTGATACACTGTCAGTCCGTCGTCGTCAGCATTCAATCGTACTAGTAATACTAGTAGATGCTTCGCAATGGTACTGCCCGAGATGTTGGCTTCACTACCTTTAGAGCGTCCTGGATTGATGATCCGATTGTGGGAGATGCTTCTTTAGTGACGGATGCTGATTGAGAGATGGACGCCGAGAACACGCCGAGTACGGTGGCGAGAAACAAGAGCCGCCGTCCGATTGACAGAGCTACTCTCACATCCATCGCCATGCTGTGCTGATTCAAACGGTTCAGAAATTGCGAGTTCAAAGCTACTACGCGCGGCCACTGCTATAAAACCTTATAAAGAAGCTGATGTGCGGTTCAGTCGGACGCTTCTTCCGCAGCTAACAGAGAGTCCAGGAGGCCTCACAATCTACGTTCGACAATTTCGAAAAAGGCAGGTATGACGAAGAAACCTGAGCTAGTACCGACTTTATAAGAAGTTAGGAGGCGTGGAGCTCAGGGAATCAGGTTAGCAGTTAGACTGCAGCTGAGGTGAGCCGACGCTAGACTGCAGCTGAGGTGAGCCGACGCGACAACCTCAGGCAGGCTGGTCGTCCGCGATAGGCGGTGAGGGACCTGCATTCTCGAAGGTTCCATCCTTCCGAGCAAGGCGGTAGGGCAGGGATTGCACGGGATTGCAGGGCAAAAGGAATTCAGTCGAAGGTGCTGGAAGGCACTGCTGATTGGTCAGTCTGCGGCACGCGATGCTGCGACCCGACATGCGGTCAGGCTCAAGAGTGCAAAGACCAGTCCGGGCGGAGGGAATTGGCTGCAGAAAGTCAACTGGGCGAATCGATCGAACGGCTTTCAATCGAAGAGGATGAGTTGACCTCGTTGATGGTCGAAGATCGACGGCGAAGACGGTTACAGCGCATAACAGCAACGCTGTTCAATGAGGCTCCAGCATTCGTGCTATAGTGTCCACAAATCAGGGAAAGGCACCGCCTCTCCACACAGTCGCAGATGGGAAAGAAACTGGATAAGCAATATAAATAATGACAAATGGATATACAAAGGAAATAACAATAACACAAGCTAAACCACAGCCATAATAATTGTTTACACTATTTACACAATCCACTAGAAGAGAGATACGCGCAAGACAGCCAACCCCATCTTTTGAGAATCGTAGGGACTTCACAGAGCCACTACGAGACACTAATGGGAGCATGGCCAACACCCCCAGCAGCACGCGGTTGTGATCTCTCTTTGTAAGTACTAGTCTGGAGCTGAAAGGCAGATGGGCGGGACACGTCGAAGAGCTGCAGCGTAGTAGGCGTTTTCCGGGGCAGAGAATCAGGTGCATCTGGAGCAGGACCGAGACTGAGCACTGTCAAGGGCTTGGAAGAACCAAGGTCGGAAGACGCCTCAATCCCTAACCTCAGCCCGTCACCCCCTCTCTTTAGACTGGACTCTTCTTGCAGCTCGGCTGCCTTACGAGCAGCCTCCTTTGCTGAGCCTGAGACACCCTCGGCTCTCTCCTTGACAGCAACCGGCACGTGGAGGGGCGATGTAGCCAACATGGCTGTGGGCCTGAGCACTCGGCTGGCTCCCCCTGGACTGCTGGGATGGCCGCTAGAGAAGGGAGGCTGCCAGCTGCACCCCAGGTTCAGCGGAGGAGGAGGATAGGGAGGCCACATGTACATGAAGGATGGGTCAGGGAAGGAGTGATAGGTGGGTGGGTAGAAGCCATGCGGCGGGGAGAAAGGCGGAGGAAACTGCTTCACAGGCACTGCCACTGCTTGCGCAGCAGCAGCTGCCAGTCCAGCCTCCTTCAATGCACCACCTTCCTCCTCCACCTTACTCTTATTAGGCCCACTACCGAGAGCCATGGTTTCAGATAATCTTGAGGCACCAGCGACAAACTTGGAAGGCAGAAGTTCTTTATGTACACTGCCTTCCACCCCCATGCCCCTCTCGTTCTCCACCTTACACTTCTTCTCAGCGCCCTGTACATCTGCATCAGCATCCGCATTAGCAGCAGTATCCGCATTAGCAGCAGCAACCGCGTGCGCGCGCTGCCTTCGCTCCTCCTCCATGCGCAGCAGCATCTCGTACCCCATCCTGTGCCTCACCGCCGGGTCCATCATCATCATCGCCGGATACACTGCATCTGGACGGACCGCGGGCCCAGCAGGATGCGGAGGCCAGGTGCGGCCTCCTGCGGGGTATCCACTGGCCCCCCATGGGTCAGGAACGCCCGGGATGCGCCAGGGATGAATGACGTCAGCAGGGGGGAACAACACGTCCGCGGAAGTATGTACAGTGGGATTCGCGGGAGTGAGCGATGGGAGGGACATCGGACGGCTGAGAGAGCGCGGGAGGTGGGAGTCGCCGGCGGCAGGCACGACGGGGTAGGAGTGCGAGCGGTTGAGGTCCAGCAGAGACGCGTGCTGCGCATACGCAGGCGGCGGTGACGCCGTGACTGACGGTAGCGTGACTGACGGTAACGTGACTGACGGTGGCTTGACGGCGGCGAGATTGGACGGGATCTTGGGCGACGACGCGGATGAGCGGGGGGTATGCGCGTGGGTGGGAGGATCGTGCGTGGGAGCGGCACGCGCGCTGCACTTGGCGTCTTCAGGCGCGAGGGGGAGGGTGGGGGTGCTGAGGGAGCGAGTCATATCCATCCTCTCCTCCAAAATCTGCGGGCCGAGCAACCGCGGGAACAAAAGAATCGGCAGCACGTAGGGAAAAGGGACGATAAGCGTGGGAAGCCGAAGACGGGAAACAGTGCAACGACAACGAAAGAGGATTTCAGCGGCGAACGGTGAGAGGGAAGTGGGGAGGGGTCCCGGGCGGCTTACAGAGTAGGTGTTGATGTCGAAGAGGCTGGAGCGGCGCTTGCGCTTGTTGAGGTTGTTCTGGCGGTTGAAGTACTTCTGCGCGTGCGACGCCACCTGCGTGGGCGTGCGCGTCACCACGAAGCTCCGCGCGATGCCCCGCCAGTCGCCCTTCCCCAGCTTGCACAACCCCACCAGGAACAGCCGGTGCTCCTCCTCCGTCCATGGGATTCCTGCTCACATAAAAGACACACACCCAGTTTATCACCCTTACAGTCCAGACAGACACTGGAGACTCAGCAAACTAGTGCTCAGCGGCTCTAATTGCAATGAGGCATGCAAGAACTTCCGAGGTGACTTTTGAGTCGACTCAAGAGGCGTGCAAGAATTTCCGCGCAAATTTGGCGGCGTGTGTAATGGTAGCACAGCTTACCCTTCTTCCTTTCCTTGGCAGCGTGGCTGGAACCATTGCCTCCTCCTGCGCCTTTACCGCTTCCGCCACCATGACCCTCAGGGCCAGTATCGGACGCATAGCCGTCGCTCGCTGCGGGTGTCTGCGACCGCACGTCTCCCCCTTCGGCGTTTAGTGGGCTAAGATGGTCTCTCGTGCCGCTTGGTCGCGCCTCCCATGTGCTGCCATTGTCACCGCTCTCCTCCATATCCAATAACTCTCTTATCTGTTAAGGGAGCCTAATCCCTAAGCTTATCTATCTGCAACCTTTCGGGGCTAAATTAGATCTGATGCGGAGGATCGTCGAGGATCTATGACTATTTTACTTTCAAATGGATGACGAATTCACGTCATCCGTCACGTCCGCGTCGGCCGTGTTTGCCTAAGGGAGCGCTGATAAATAAGAGTAAATAACTTAGTTGCAAAACACCAAGCTAGTGTTCCGAAACGCGGTATTCTACCAATCGGAGTCGCACAAGTGGGGGCGGTCCAGAAGTCCGAGGTGGTTCACTTGCCGTTACCCACGTGATCTAGTTTTAGATGTTCGACGTTTCCAAGACGCTTGGACTCGTTGACTACACAGCACAGACGCTGCAGCTCAATCCACAAAACCGGATCACAGCCACCTGCTGACTGCGTTAATCGGCGCGCAGAGCCACATGGCGACTTGCTGACCGAATAATGGTTACAGGAGGTGGTTGGCCGAATGCAAGGGATGCCAGGCGAAAGGGCGAAGAAGAAGCAGCGAGCAGAAGCGAGAAAAGCTGGGAAATGAGCGGAGAGGCGCCTGTGAGAGTCCGTGGGGTGAGGGTGAGTTGAGGTGAGGAGGTGAGGAGGAGGTGAGGAGGAGGTGACGGGGCGACAGCGAGCTGTGTTCGTCGTCAGAGGCATTCTTCTCGCCTGCCCGCTGCCTGCAGTCTGCTCGGTTTGTCTGGTTTTGGGCCTCGCGCTCGCTCGCGTGCTCAGTGCTCAGTGCTTCCCTTGGTTCGGTCTGGGTAAGAGCAGAATCTTTGGTGAGGTGCAGCAGCAAGAGGGCTCACGCGGCTTGCTGACGTGTACTCTCTGTGAGCTGGTTTGGCGGGCAGCAGGGCTCAGGCTATCAGGGTAAATGCTCGTTCTTGACTGAAAATCCTAGGTATTTTTCAGCCGAACTCGGATTTTTACAGGGGAATTTTTCGGCCAGCCCTGACTGAATCCGAGCACTTCCAGGACTGACTCTGGTGAATACGAGTCATCCCTCGAAGGACTCGGAACCTTTTTCTAAGGTTCTAACCACCCCCAACCTCGTCCCCTCCCCAACACAGGTAGACTTCTCCCCGCGCTTCCTGGACTTGTGAATGTTCCCTCCCGCCCCTCTGTTCCTTAGTCAAATCGGAGGCACCTATACTCTATCGCTCTCTGTGAGCAGAGTTCCACACAAAAGGAGGATAAGTGCACCAACAGAGTGTTTCAGCATCAGCTTTTGTCAGAAAGAAGTCCTTATTGACGCGGAACTATCGAATTACGTAAACGATGATTTTTTAGGCCAGCCCTGATTTTTACGAGCGGTTTTTAGGCCGACCCTGCGTTTTCAGGGCCTTTTTGGAAGGGAGCCAAAACGTCCGAGTTGGCGAAAAGCCTAACTTTAGCCCTGGCGGGCAGGCTCCTTTTCCTGGATCAGTGGATTTCGGCGAAACGATTGGTGTTCTCGGGTAGTAAAAAATCTCGTGCGCTGGCATGATCGCCAGATTCGGTGTTCTGGTTCGCTGGAAGAGTCGCGAGGTTCCAGCCGAAGAAATTCCTCCAAGCATCCAGGAACCAAACAGAACTTCAAACTTCCATGACTTCGGGCGGGCGACGTGTTACAAAAGCTTCTCCACTTATGAGCGACTTCAATAGACAGATTATTGGGGTACAAATTTTGACGGTGAAACATTGCAGTAACGATTAAGTGATCATATTTCCTCCTTTGCATGGATGATGCTTGCTAGTTCAAAAGCCCTTTCATTACCTCAGCTGTATAACTGAGCTGTTGAGTACTTTTTCACTGTACACATTTCTCCACCCCCTCTCACCCCTTCAAAATACCACTAACAAGTGCCAACGCCACTGGATGATAACCGGCTTTTGCCGCTTCAAACACCCTTTCAGCCATGTCCTTGGCACCGCCCTTGATCAGCGCAGTGTAGAGCGGGCGCAGGTACTTCATGCGCCCCACAGACATGAGGGTTGACTCCACCTCAGGGTGAAACTGCGTTGCTCCCGACTGTGCTGCCACTGTGAGGAACCCCACCCTTATCTCTGCGTTCTTGCTCTGATGGAAGGGCACGAGGTGTGGGTGGTGGTGTGGCATCGGAAAGTCAACTGAGTGTTAAGGAGAAAGTCACGAATTTGGTTTGATGTGTAAAGCAGAAAAAGTGAAGGATAAGCAACGAAATGCACACCAGTCAAAGCGTAAAAAGGAGGTCGTTAGAGACAAAGAGAGGGAGGAGAGAGGGATAGTGAAAGTAAGACGGAGAAGTGGAAAAGGAGCCCGAATACGTACCTTTGAGAATCCAAACTCCTCGTCCAATCGCACAAGCGTTTCAACGGGCAGAGTTCTGGGCAGACCAGCAAGGAAGATCTGCCACTCATCTGGACCCCAGTCACTCGCATCTGCCTGCCCAAACTTCGAGTGCGGATCCTCAACAAATCCTCTCGCCGCCCGCTGCACAGATGCCAGCCTGGCAGACTGCGGCACGATACTCTCCGCTTCGGCCAGCATTCCTTGTCCTCTCACCCACTCCTCCACGTCCACCCAACTCTCGCTGCCCTTCTCCATGACCCGAGGCAACTCTGCCTTCAGAAAATCCAGAAAGGTGGCGGTGGTGATAGACTGGAAGGCAAACTTGCTGATGTACTTGGTGATAAACGCGTCAAAGGCCGCACGCCCCACCGCTTTCTCGAGACGCGTGAGGAAGAAGAACCCCTTCTCGTACGGAACCTCCGAAAACACCTCGTCTGGATCGATCTCATCCAGGCCGTCCGTTCCCAGATCCAGCTGCGTGAATCGACGGCTGGATGAGCCCGTTTCGGAGGTGAAGCGTGAGAGCCCCTTTTGCAAGTCTAACCAGCCCATAGCTGCATCTAACTTTGCCTTCTCCTCCCCCTCCGTTGCTTCCAGAATCCTCCGCTCCGCGTACACCGTCCACCCTTCATTCAGCCAGAAGGAGGAGTAATCCGCGTTGGTAACCAGGTTACCAGTCCAGCTGTGCGCCAGCTCGTGCGCAACCACGCTGGCCAATGAGCGGTCGCCAGCTAGCAGCGTGGGCGTGAGGAAGGTGCAGCGAGGGTTCTCCATGCCACCATAGGGGAAGGCGGGCGGCATGAGCAGCAGGTTGAAATCGCCCCACCCATACGGGCCAAAGAGGGCCTCTGCTGCCTTGATCTTGTCCTCTGTTTCACTGAACTCGTATGCTGCTGCTTCCACTTGTGATGGCTCTGTTGGAAGGGATAAGGACGGCAAGTGGAGAGGCATGGAGGGATCAAAGAGTGCCCACCCGTACAGGCCAAACAGAGCCTCTGCTGCCTTGATCTTGTCCTCTGTCTCACTGAACTCGTATGCTGCTGCGTCCACATGTGAGGGCTCTGTTAGAAACGAAAAGGAGCACGGGAGAGAGAGAGAGGGGAGGCAGGGGGGAGGAGGGAGGGAGAGAGGAGAGAGAGAGAGAGAGAGAGAGAGAGAGAGAGAGAGAGAGAGAGAGAGAGAGAGAGAGAGAGAGAGAGAGAGATGGGCGAGTTGGTGTCACCAAGACTGCTGCCGGTTGTTAGGTACAAAAGGCAGGTGCGCAGTGACACGACACCTGCCTCATTGTTGTCACCATCGTCGTCAACATCATCTTCGCCTTACCAGCATACACCTTCACGCGCGGGCTGAGCGTCTTGGAGGCGATGTCACCGACGGCGAGAGCAAAGAGGTACGGCGGGATGGGCTGCTCCATCTCAAACACCTCCTCCACTCGGGCGGCATCCGCCGTCTGCTCTGTGGCCACGTGCTGCGCGCTCATGACTGCATGGAGGCCCGCTGGGATCTTCACTCGAGCTGCGGTGGACAGTGTGGGTATGAGGGGAAGCATAGAGCACCGTGGGAGTGTTTACATGCGCTGAGGTGGATATTCAGAATGAACACACATGGAAGGGAATTATGAGTCGACTCAGACGAATGCTCACATTTAACACGAGAGGTGAGGTCGGTGGGAAGGAGGAAGAAGGGAAGCGTGGGGAAGGGGTGGATGGCAGGGGAGGATGGACCGACTGGCATGGCAACAAGCTGCCATGGACAAAGCCTAATGGGCAAAGCATGGATGGAAGAGAGTTGACACTTGTTTGACGCCTCCATGCATGGATGGATGGAACCAAATGGAGGCGTCAAACAAGTTGACACCCGAGCAGCCTGTGACTCGAAGCAAATAACAGCCGTGAAGAGAGAAGGGGGCTAACCGTGGTACTTGATGCGGGCTTGCGGCGTGTCCTGGCAGGGGAAGACGGAGCGAGCGTGGATGGCCTGGCACTGCGTGAACACGTACGGGTGCTGCCCTCCTGCCGTCTGCACGGGTGTCAGCCACTGCAGCGCTGACGCGTTGGGGCCTGTGTGGTAGCCTGCAGGGACAGGGGAGGAAAGTGGGGGGAGGGGACAGGTGGAGGGGGTGGGGCGAGTGGAAGGGAGTGTTGAAGCAAGAGGGCGGCAGGGTGCAGAAGGCCAATTGGGCAGCACAGCACAGGACAATTGGACAACACACGCCAATCCGGCAGCACAGAAGGTGAAGAGGCAGAAACATGATACACTTGCATGAACACGGTGACACAGGGATATGTGCGTGATGACTCACGGATGGTGACTCACGGATGGCGACTCACGGATGGTGACTCACGGATGGTGACTCATGGATGGTGACTCACGGATGGTGACTCATGGATGGTGACTCACGGATGGTGACTCATGGATGGTGACTCACGGATGGTGACTCACGGATGGTGACTCATGGATGGTGACTCACGGATGGTGACTCACGGATGGCGACTCACGGATGGTGACTCACGGATGGCGACTCACGGATGGTGACTCACGGATGGTGACTCACGGATGGTGACTCACGGATGGTGACTCATGGATGGTGACTCACGGATGGTGACTCACGGATGGTGACTCACGGATGGTGACTCATGGATGGTGACTCACGGATGGTGACTCACGGATGGTGACTCACGGATGGTGACTCATGGATGGTGACTCACGGATGGTGACTCACGGATGGTGACTCACGGATGGTGACTCACGGATGGTGACTCATGGATGGTGACTCACGGATGGTGACTCACGGATGGTGACTCACGGATGGTGACTCATGGATGGTGACTCACGGATGGTGACTCATGGATGGTGACTCACGGATGGTGACTCACGGATGGTGACTCACGGATGGTGACTCACGGATGGTGACTCACGGATGGTGACTCACGGATGGTGACTCACGGATGGTGACTCACGGATGGTGACTCACGGATGGTGACTCACGGATGGTGACTCACGGATGGTGACTCACGGATGGTGACTCACGGATGGTGACTCATGGATGGTGACTCACGGATGGTGACTCACGGATGGTGACTCACGGATGGTGACTCACGGATGGTGACTCACGGATGGTGACTCACGGATGGTGACTCACGGATGGTGACCTCATTGGAGTTCAGAGAGAGCTCGAGCAGCGATCCGCGCACGTGATGTGGTGGATGTAGCTGGAAGGGCACTGCAGGACGCCATGCCATGCCACATGCCACATGCCATGTCGCATAGAGATACCATGCCACATGCCATGTCGCATAAAGATACCATGCCACATGCCATGTCGCATAGAGATACCATGCCACATGCCATGTCGCATAGAGATACCATGCCACATGCCATGTCGCATAGAGATACCATGCCACATGCCATGTCGCATAGAGATACCATGCCATATGCCGTCATGATATCACGCCGTATGGAGATGGCATGCCATCACTGTGTGAAATGAAAACGGCGATGAAACGCCATGACGATGACAAAAAATGTTTCGTTCTTTAAACTGTAATAGAGAGAACGGCGGAGGGGAGTGCTACAGAGACGAAACGAACGAAGCGCGCAGACTTGCTAAGGACTGGAGCTCGGGACTGGAGCTCAGGACGACGGCAACGGCGCGAGGCGACGGAGGGAGGAAATGGGAGCATGATATGTCGGCGGTGGCGGCATCACGCACACGGAAAACAGCTCCAACGCAAATTGCTCGCACGGGAATCCTACCGTCGTTGCCGGCAGCGTCAGTGGCGCCGAGTATAGTCAGATCCCGCGAGTCCAAACTCAGCGTCCCCGTGGCCTGCAGGCAGTCGCTCAGAGGCGGGGAAACGAAAGCAAAATACACGACGGTGAGTTTGAACGAGTCGAAATGGGAAATTTAATTAACATAAGAAACTATTACTGAATTCGTAGGACGGCCCGTGAGCCGTGAGGCTCGGAATTCGCGACGCACGGGATGGAGCTAACCCGTGAGGCTTACGGGTTTGTCCAGCACTAATCGAGCCGTTCCAGAGATCTGTTTGTTGTCGAAATCGACGGTCAGATTGAAGTCTACGAAGGTGGTGAGCGGCTCGCCGGCCTGCGTGTTGGAATGCGGGTCGATTGGAGCCATGGGAAGAAAACAGAGCAGCGAGGTGACGCAGAGAAAGGCGGCGTATGGCGGACAGTGCAGCATGAGAAGGGAAAATGGAATCTGGTATGCGCTGTTGGGATTCAAGCAGCATTGGGATTTGAATGTTGGCTCGAATGGGGGAACGACTGAAAGGTTGCAGCATTGAGGCCTTGCATGAAAACACTTAATTGTGAGATTGCAAAAACAGTTTACTTTAACTGGAGCTTACAACAGCGTGTATGGGGGCAAAAAGCTGGGGTTGCCTCATCGGAGCACGTGCTGCGTGTTGGTTGGGGAAGGTTGACCTTGAGTGTATCGTGCTAATAATGTGGGCCACGGGGTTGTCATAAAACCGAGCTATCCAGCAAAACATAATTGACCAATCAGGTGACACGCAAGACTTCTAGCGACGGTCACAGAAGGGGGTTACCGTTTTTCCTCAACCGCAACGTGATCGCAATGCTATCGCAGTAGCCTGACGTGTCCAGCCGAAAGCCCCTACGCTGCTGCTGACCCCATCACCACGCCTGGCGATGGCCTGTGCTAACGGCATGGCGGAGGCGAGGCATCAACGCACTCAGCACACCTTTCCCCTTACAGTACATACATTCCACCCGCCACATCTCTCCTATGCCCTCACAGCCGCAGCTTCCTCTCATCTTTTCTCGCCTCACCACCACCACACGGCACACCTCACGCTCAGCTCCGGTCTTCCCTTTCTTTTCCGCTTCGCTGCGAGCCACAGCAGTAAGGGCGCGTGTCTTTTGCTGTAGAGGTTCGGAAATTTGGTTGAACTTTTGCTGGTAACCCTTTTCGCAAATCTCGCTTATTTTATTCGCTTGTGTATCGTGTGTCCTAGTACACCGCTGTACACTAAACCTGGGCTGATCTTTCCGCTCAAACCATGCTTGAACAAAAATTCACTCGTGTGTCCTTTTGACAACACCCTAGGTACCCGCGAAATCGACGACAGTCGCACAACGTTTCGTGCGCTTGAACGAACAACGCAAGGCAAACTGAGTAACCTACGAGGGCTGGACGCGACTCGGGAAAGTTCAACTTCGATAGTCGAACTTTCGTGTGTCCTGTGATATTTGTGAGTTGAGGAGCAGCGACTCGGGCTACACCTGCCGATATGTCGAGCCTAGGTCGACCTAGGTTCAGCTGTGTATAGTTCAACCCAAAACTCGAGTTTTGCATACAAATTTCAAAAGACACGCGCCCTAAGACCTGCCGACTTTCTTTACAGTGTGCAGAGTGTGCCTTTCCGCCTGTCCCTCACTCCCTGCGCTCCTCCGGACCGGAGTCGCTGTTCGCTCATCCAATCCCACCCAGCTCCCACCCACCCATCCGCCTCCCCCTATCCAGTCAGTGCACTTGCACCTGCTCGTCGTGAGAGTGTGTGTGATGACCCGATGGACCAACATCAAGGCAGCGAGCAGCGCGCGGACACATGTTTTGCACCCGCTTCGCTCGCTAGCTCTCGCCAGCGCTGCACTTGAAGCCATTTCCCATCCGGATAGGCACACGAACGCACCCGACAGCTGTGCGGGGGAAGGTCATTTCGACAGCAGTCCCGCGAGCGAGCAACCATCGCGATGCACGTGCGTCCTCTTCCTCCGCTCACCTTTCCACTTAGAGCTGCTCTGATCTCCCGCTTGACTTCTCCGTGCATATCGCTGCTAGATGCTCGCTCTCTCCTTTCCTTAAATTGCTCATCTTGCCTGACTCATTCTATTTCGACCTTACCTCAGTAGAGTAGTTAGTTGATCAGTCATCCTGTGCTCCTATTCTTACTTTTTTGTTACTGTGTTACCCTTTCCCTGTATTTTCCGTACATTAATCAGCAACCTTTAGAGACATGGGCGGCGCGGCAGTAGTCGAGCCGGCTCGGCGGGTCCCACTGCTGGGAAACAGACATAAGCGCAAGGCGCGCGCTGCAGCAGCGGGTGATTTTAGGCCTAATCCAGACAAATCAGTTGACGAGAGCGAGGAGAGGGAGGTTGTCATTTTACCAGCGTCGTACAGCCGCGATCTCCCTCCGCCTCCTCTACTACCACCAGAGGTCGCGGGTTCGATACCCTTCGACGCCACTGTAGCCCCAGGAAACACCGGTATGGCGGAAGGCGGAGGCGGAAGCGCGGGTGGGTGTAGGCTGATGTACGGAGTAGTAGGGGGGGAGATGGCGTCGGCGGAAGAGGGTGCGGGCGGGGGGAGCGCGCAATGGGGCGCGGGGGGCGGGGACGAAGCGGAAGGGGGCGAAGGGGGGGAGCATGAGAGCACGGCGGCAAAGAAGCTGCAGAAGGCGGATAGAGAGAAGATGCGGCGGGATCGACTCAACGACCAATTCATGGAACTCGCGAGTGTCCTCGGTAATAGAATACTCTCTTAGCGTGTACTGCTCGTCTCACTTATTCACGAGTCACGGGCTCTCTTACCGTCCCTTTGATTCCTAATGTGACTCTTTTGCGTTTTCCCCGTTTTCCCTGTCTCCATCTGCAGATCCTGACCGTCCGAAGAACGACAAGGCGACGATTCTGAGCGACGGGCTGACGATGCTTCGCGAGCTGCGTGCGAACGTGAACCGACTGCGCGCCGAGCACAGCGCGCTCGTGGACGAATCGAAAGAGGTGAGGCGAGGCGAGGCGAGACGGAGGAAGTGGCAGGGATAAACTTGCCTGACGAGCGGTCAGACAGGTCGCGTTGACTTTTGAGTCGACTCAAAAGTTGACTTATGACTTTTGAGTCGACTCAAAAGTCAACTCGTGGACGAATCGAAAGAGGTGAGGCGAGGCAAGGCGAGGCGAGACGGAGATAAACTTGCCTGACGAGCGGTCAGACATGGTCGCGTTTTTTTATTCCTTCCGTGGGCTGCTCCTGTCCTGTCGTCGTGCACATGCACCTCACCTTCTCCCGTCGCTCCCCTCACTCTCCCTTGTTGCGCGCATCGTTCTCCTGTGCCGGTTCTCTCCGCAGCTGGCGGCGGAGAAGTCGGAGTTGCGGCAGGAGAAGGGCGCGCTGAAGGGCGAGGTGGACGCGCTTAAGGGGCAGCTGCACCACCGCATGTCCGCGCTCCTGCCCTGGGCCACTGCGCCCGCCGCCGCCACTGCGCCTCCCGCTACCCCCGCCGCCCCTGCTTCCACCGCTTCCCCTGCGCCGCCTCCCGCCGCCCCTGTTCCTGCTACCGCTCCTCCTACCCCCGCCGCTCCTCCTACCCCCGCTGCTATCGTTCCTCCCACTAACCCGACAGGTGCGGCTGCTGGTGCTGCTGGTGCGGGTGGGTTACAGACGCCGACGCAGGCGCCAGTCCACGGAAACGTTCAGGCGTCAAGACAGCTGTCGGGCTACGCTCCTGCCGCCCCGCCCTCCCGCCCTCCTCTTGCTGCCCCCGCGCCCGCGTCCGCTCTCCCCGCCGTACCTGCAGCCTCCCCTCCCCCCTCCGTTCCCGGTTCTGCTTCCGCGACTTCCGTTCAATTTCACCCTCAGTTTCGCCCTCAGATGCTGACGTCACCGCTGCACATGCAGCAAGGGGTGCAAGCTATGAGCCAGCCTGGCATGCTGACGTCAGCCATGAGCCAGCCTGGAATGGTTCAGCCTGCCATGCACATGCCACCTTCACCACATCACCCCGCATCCATGCCCATGCACATGCCCTTACGCATGCCTACTGCAAACGCCGCACCCATACCCATTCCTCAGCCCCACGCACCGATGGCGCAGGCCCATGCGCCCATGGCGCAGGCGCAGACGTGCATGAGAGGCGCGGACGGCGCAGCGGGCATGGGGGGAGCAGGGGGCATGGGGGGAAGCGGGTCGGAGCAGGCAATGAGCCCTCCCGTGTCCGTGCTCTCCTCCTCCGCGCCCACTCCGCGCGCCTCCTCCGCAGCCGCGTCGTCAGCAGCAGCGGGGGGGGAGAGCCGCGTTGGGGGAGAGCCGCGGGAGAGCAGCGATGGCGCAAGGCAGAGAGGCAAGCAGCAGCAGGGCGGGCAGCAGGGGGGACAGAAGGGGGGGCAGCCAAGGGAGGGGCAGGATGGGGATGCTGCGGCGGGTGGGAGCTCGCTGGTGGGCATGAGCCGTGGAGTGGGTGAGGCTGCTGTCGTGGTGGTGAAGCAAGAGGAGGGCGATGCCAATGCTGCTGACAGCAGGGCCTCACAACCGCAGCAACAACAGCAGCAGCAGCAGCAACAACAGCAGCAGCTGCCACCGCAGCAACAACCACAGCAGCAGCAGCAACAGCAACAACAACAGCAACAGCAACAACAGCAACAGCAACAGCAACAGCAGCAGCCACATCAACAGCAGCAACAGCAACAGCAGCAGCAGCAGCAGCAGGAGCAGCAGCAAGCAGCATCACAGGAGGCACTAACCCGGCCGCCAGCAGCACAGCCCTTACAGCCGCCAGCCACTCTCCCTACCCCACCCCACCCCCTGCCTCCCCACTCCTTTCCCCCCCAAGCCTGGCCGCCTGGAGCCTTCCCCATGCCTGTTCCCATGCCCTTCCAAGCCTCCATGCCAGGCTCGGTGCCCCCCGCACCTGCAGGCATGCAGGGATGGATTGCCGTGCCTGCTGGTGCGTTCCCGTACGCCTTCCCTCCTACTGCCCCGCTCTCACTCCCGCCTGGGAATGATGGCAAAAGCACTGGAAGCTCTGTGCAGCAGCAGCCGCAGCAGCCGCCGCAGCAGCAAATGATGGTGGCAGCTTATCTGCCAGGTCAGCTTCCATTCCAGGTCAGCGCCAGCTCAGCAGGTCAGGGTCAAGGAGAGCAGCAGGGCAAGGGACAGGCGGGGCAAGCGGGTCAGGAAGGGCAGGGCGGGGCACAGCAATCAACTCAGGGGCAGCAGGCAGCACAGGTGCAGCAAGCGGGGCAGGTGCAGCAAATGATGCAGATGCAGCAGTACATGGCGCAGGCGCAAGCACAGGCACAGGCGCAGGCGCAGGCACAGCAAGCAGCGCAGGCCCATCAGATGGGGCAGGCAGGTCAAATGAATCAAGTGCCCCAGATGGCTCACATGCAGCCGTTCATGGGCGCTCCTGGGATGGCCATGGCGCTCCCCCCGCCCCCCCCTGGTCAGATGTATGTCACTGCTCCCTTCCTCGTCCCCGCCCTCACCCCGCAACAGCAGCAGCAACAGGGGCTGCAGCAGCAGCAGCAAACCATGCCCCCAGCATCCTCATCAGGTACGGTTGTGAGCGGTAACAGGTCGGAAGGCAGTGGTGGTGGTGCTGCTGGGGGCGCTGCTGTTACTCCTGCTACTCCACCGCCATACAGCCAGCACTACACCATGGTCCCGCCCCACGCTGCTGGTTCTGCTGGTGCTGCTGGTGCTACTGGTGGTCCTGCTGGTGCTGCTGCTGCTGGTGGTATGCCGCTTCCCCACATGGCTTACAGCAGTGGTGGGTACTACATGCCTGTGAGTGCCCCGGGGCAGGCTGCCACTGCAGGCAGTCAACAGGTAGCAGCTCCGATGCCCTCCCAGCAGCATTTCATGCAACACATGCAACAGCAGCAGCAGATGCAGCAACAGCAACAGCAACAACAGCAGCAGCAACAACAGCAGCAGCAGCAACAACAACAACTGCACCTGCAACAGCAACAGCAACAGCAACAGCAGCAGCAGCAGCAGCAGCAGCAGCAGCAGCAACAGGCTTCAGTGGCAGCATTGGCATCCGCTGCCCCCATGACATCCCTCCATCCCTATGCCTCATACGGTGCTGCTCCCCCTCTCTACCTCCCCTCGCCGCTACAGCCACAGCAGCTACAAGCACAACCACTGCAGCCACAGCCGCCACCACCCCAGCAGCAATCACAATCCCAGCCGCATCAGCAGCGGGTGGTGCAGCACATACCCCAAGCCCAACAAGGGGCAAATACACAAATACCCCTGGCCCAATACAGCCACTTGCAGCAACTGCCTGGGCAGGGCAGCAGTGCAGGGGGCGGAGGTGGGGCAGCAGAGAGAGGGAGTGGGGGAGGGGGAGGGGGAGGGGGAAGCGCAGCAGCGGGGGAGAGTGCAGGAGGGGCGGGGAGTGCAGCAGGAACGGCCAGTATGCCCCACTGGCTGTGGGCTGCAAGCCACAGACCAACTTAAATACAGTACGGTAGTTGCCTCACAGCTGCTTCTTGCTGTATTGTGTTGTACATGGTTCTTTGAGCTGTGCATGCGGTCTGCGAGCGCTAGAATATTAGGCATAAGCACTGATGTTGAATGCTAACAATTTACTTCTCAAATTGTCAATTGAACAATGTTCAGCACGGAGAACATGCGCAGGGGGCACACACAGGGAGCACACACAGGAAACACAAGAAAACATACCGGGTCCGGTATTATGGGGAACACGGGGTTCCTGGGGGTGCGTTTGTGCCTACCTGATATCTTGGAACTTGCAGTACCCGCACCACTACTAAAGCCCTGGAATGGCGTTTTCTCGTGTTGGATGTTAGTGATGGTGCATGCTTTCAAGTATGCGGTGCAGTTCCGGTAGGTGCGGAGCGGTGCGATTCGATGTGATGCGGGGTGGATGTGATGGTCCGGTGGGTGGCAAGAGAAGCACAGGTGGGGGTGATAGGTACCAGTAGCAGACTGGGCGCATTGCAGGTTGCAGCAAGGAAGGCTGGTGCTGTGGCAGCAAGTGCCGACTGCCACTGTGAATGTACCGTATTTGTGCACACGTCTGGAGTGTCCACTGTACAGAAACGAATATATAGATATATAGTGTACCACAATAGCCCCCTGCTGGGCGATTCATGTGTTGCAACATGTGGTCATACCGTAAAGCTTGGCGCATCACATATGGTGGGCGTGTATATACCGGCAATACCAGTACAAGGAGACATGGAATGGAGTCCTTGCCACGTAGCCCAGTAGCCTCATGCTACGGTATGCGTGCCTGCAGCTGCGATCAACTGATTGTACCAACTCTCGCCTTTCCGTCCATTCCTCCCTCTTCCTCCCCTCCACCACCCCCCTCCACAACCCCATCCCCTCCTTCCATGTCGTTAATCCTCACCACCCCATCCCCTGCTGCTGCTCCTGGCAGATGCTTAGAATCACCACCCCACCCACCCACCCACCCACCCATCCATCTTCTCACTCGCCCTCCCATACCTGCCCACCCGCCCTTCTCCCGTCCCCCTCCCAACCCCTCTCTTCCCTCCCTGCTGCTGGTCCCTGCCGCCGATCTCTCTCCCTGGTCCTCCTCCACCCCGTACCCCTCTCTCTCGCCCCCTTCCCTGCTCCCCCCTTCCCTACCCTCTGCTTCCCCTTGTGTCGTCCCTCCCGCTGCTGCAGGAGGAGAGGGGAGAGAGGAACCCGAGGAGGAATCAGAAGAGGAGGACGACGACGACGACGATGACAACGGGGAGGAAGAAGAAGAGGATCCAGTGGCCAATCCAGTGAGGACACGTGGTAGCCAGACGTCAGCAGCCAGAGCCTCTTCAAGCTGCTCCACTCGCTCCCTCAGCCGCGTCGCCTCCTCCTCCAGCTGCCTGTCCCTCTCGTGCAGCGCCTGCCACGCATGCCAGTGGGTGTGCCAGTGGGGGTGCCAGTGGGTGTGCGCGTGAGAGATAGAAGGAGGGCAAGGGAAGGAAGAGAGTGAGAGGGGCAGAGCACCATGAAGCAGAGAGCAACAGTCAGTCCATCAGAGTCACAGCAGCTCAGCCTGCTGCCATCAACCGCCAAAACAATCACACCTCTTCCCTCCTCCCTTCCTCTCATCCCTCGCCTCTTCCCTGTGACCCGTCCCTTGCCTCTCCTCTATCCCCTTGCGTCACCCCCCCTCCCTTTCCTGCCTCACCTAGCGCTCCTGCTTCAGCTTGGCCTCCTTGTGTGCATTCCACTGGGCGCTCCTAGCCGCACCACCCCCACCCTGGCCAGATGCTCTCCACTCCTCTCCATTCCTTTCCATTCCTCTCAACTCACCTCGCGCTCCTGCTTCAGCTTGGCCTCCTTGTGTGCATTCCACTGGGCGCTCCTAGCCGCACCACCCCCACCCTGGCCAGATGCTCTCCACTCCTCTCCACTCCTTTCCACTCCTCTCAACTCACCTCGCGCTCCTGCTTCAGCTTGGCCTCCTTGCGCGCATTCGACCGCGCGCTCCGAGCCGCCTCGATGAACACCACGCCCCCCGCCACCTGCACCCACGCATAGACGTGTGTGCATACATACATGCCCGCATGCGCATGAATGAGCGAGCACGGGAGAGAAGGCACGTGCATGGGGAAAATTAAGGCACTCCGAGCCGCCTCGATGAACATCACTCCCCCCGCCACCTGCACACGTACACGTGCGTGCGTGTGCATATCCGTGTGCATGATTGAAACGTGCAGGGGGAGAAGGCACGTGAATGCAGAGGAATATGGCGCTCCAAGCCGCATCCATGAACACTACTCCCCCCGCCACCTGCACCCTCCCCACCCGTGCACGTGCACGCGCGTGCATGTGATGCCAGCATGTGCATATCCGTGTGCACGAACGTGCAGTATGGGGGGATGCATGCAGAGGAACAAGGGATGAGTGCATGTGCATGTGCATGTGCATGTGCATGTGCATGTGTGCATGTGCATGTGTGTGCATGTGCATGTGATGCCAGCATGTGCATATCCGCGTGCATGCATGGACGTGCAGAGGAACAAGGGATGAGTGCATGCACATGTGCATGCAGGGGAACAACGGCTGAGTGTATGCACATGTGCATGCAGGGGAACAACGGATGAGTGTATGCACATGTGCATGCAGGGGAACAACGGATGAGTGTATGCACATGTGCATGCAGGGGAACAACGGATGAGTGTATGCACATGTGCATGCAGGGGAACAACGGATGAGTGTATGCACATGTGCATGCAGGGGAACAACGGATGAGTGCATGCACATGTGCATGTGACACAGGAGCAGCAGATGCCACATGTTGCAGGGCGTAAAGGGGGTCGTGGGGCCAGTGGGAGGATATGATGGGGAGCTTTTGGGAATTCGCAAGTACTGGCGTTTTGAAAGCCCAGTAGAGGAGAGTGAATGCCCAGTAGAGGAGAGTGAATGCCCAGTAGAGGAGAGTGAATGCCCAGTAGAGGAGAGTGAATGCTCATCACCATGTCACCCACTCACAGCGAGCATGATCAGCTCACCCACCCACCCACCCGACTCAGTCAACTCAGTCAATCCAGTCAACGAGCCTATCAGCCCCGCACCCTCTCGCCCCCCACCACACCCACTCAGGGCCCCCGTTCCTTCTCCACTCCCCCCACCACCCTTCCCACTTTCCCCCACTTACAGCAAAGCGAACACGATGAGTTCCCGCAACACCTCGCTGGCGGTGCTGACAGCCTTCTCCTCGTTTAGCTCAGTCAGCAAGCCACTATCGCTATCACACCCCCAACCCCAACCTCCCCCCCCACAACCCACTCACAGCGAACACGATCAGCTCCCCCACCACCTCGCTGGCGGTGTTGACGGCCTTCTCCTCGTTCAACCGCTTGATGTGCCCCGCAGGGGCCTGCCCGTACAGCCGCCGCTGCAGCCGCACCGTGAACCGGTGGTAGCCCTGCCAGGGGGAAGAGAGAGGGGGGGCGCAGCGGTGGTGAGTGGGTAGGCCTAACCTGCCTCGCCCGTACAGCCGCCTCTGCAGCCGCACCGTGAACCGGTGGTAGCCCTGGGGAGGGGGAAGGGGGGGGGGGGGTTGAAGGGGGGAAGGGGGGAGGGGAGTGGTGGTGAGAGGGTAGGGTCGTCTTCCCCCTTCTGCCCGTACAGCCGCCTCTGCAGCCGCACCGTGAACCGGTGGTAGCCCTGGGGAGGGGGAAGGGGGGGGGGGGGTTGAAGGGGGGAAGGGGGGAGGGGAAGCCCTGAGGGGCGTTGAGAGGCGGGGAAGAGGGGGAAAAAGGGGGAGAGGGAGAATGGGGGAGAGAGGGGATGGCGGGAGGAGGGGCGTGAGGAGGGACGGCGGGAAGCAAAAGCAGGTGTTGGGGACGACAATGGGAGGTGTGCGCGGTGAGCGTGGCGTCCCTGCGCGCACCCACCGGCGCCAGTTGGCGATGAACGCGCAGAACTTGGGGTAGCAATGCGCGCACCCTATGTGCGGAACCACGCTCAGTACGCGCGGAGGCTGTGCGCGCAACCTATGCGTGGCCCCCACACGCGGAGCCCTTCGCGCGGAGCCTCTGTGCGCACGCACCTGCGCCCAGTTGGCGATGGAGGCGCGGAACTTGGGGTGGCTGGCGGCGCGGCGCTTAATGGCCTTGGCGAGCGGCTTGCTGAGCGTCTTCAGCACCAGATCCCCCAGCTTGCCCAGGGGTAGCGCCATGCGCGCGCGGACTCTCGGCTACTAGCTAGTGTTTTGTTTGAGCACTGTGTTTCCTAGTTTCTTAAGCGTAGATCCTACACACTGCTGCTCACTGGACGATGTCAGAGCATCGACTTGCTGAGCGTCTTCAGCACCAGATCCCCCAGCTTGCCCAAAGGCAACGCCATGCGCGCGCGGAGTGGGAATTGATTGAATCAATATAATTAATAAAACGAGTCGATAATGTGGATGAATATTAGAGGAAAACAATAATGGAGTGTATTACGAAGGGTTGTCAGGTGGTGCTGAAGGGTCAGGGAGCTATCGGGGCGCACGTCAGCAAGGCGCTACGGAGAGATGCTGGCGTCAGCGGCCTTCTAGAGTAATAAATAGCGCTTCGGGCTGATCGACGTGCGCTGATTTGGGAGACTTCCCACAGCCCTGCGAAGGTGATACGCGGCGCAGTGCGCGAAGGTGATAGGCGGCGCAGTGCGCGAAGGTGATAGGCGGCGCAGTGCGCGAAGGTGATAGGCGGCGCAGTGCGCGAAGGTGATAGGCGGCGCAGTGCGCGAAGGTGATAGGCGGCGCAGTGCGCGAAGGTGATAGGCGGAGCGGTGGGCGAAGGTGTGACCTTGGAACCGGATTAGCGACTGCGACAGTGGATCGCATGGCTTGGCGCGCAGGAGGGCCGTGGACGGCCAATGGGATGGGCCATTCTCCTTTGAGTCGACTCAAAGGCCAATGGGATGAAACATTTTCCTTCTCGCCTCTCCTTTCTCTAGAACCGGTCGCAGTCACGCATTCTGGGAGGTATTGGACTGGCTTTGCGCCGAAACTCAGGGGTCTAGTGCGGTGTATTGCGGTACCACGATCACCAACAGCGCCTCGAGTTCTCCGGATCGCGGCTAGTGGCGTGAAAGAATATGATGTTAGTCGGTCAGTCACACGCACGCCGTGATGCAGGTACGGTATTCCACTGGTGTCAGTAGTCAGTTATAGCTTCTAGCTGTACAGAAGTGCGATAAACATGAGGGTAAGAATTATCTACAGGCGTTGCGACTGGTAGGGCAACAGGCGTAGTAGACAGTAGTAGATCCGTAAGTTACGGATGGTTGCGGTGTGTTCACGGACTTCACCAGACTTGAGAAGACTTGCGACAGGAGGGTGATGGGTGGGAAATCATGGAAAGGGATGGGTGGATGCTGCGAGAGGGCCGAAGGTTGGGATATACGCGATACAAGGTTGGTTATTTGTACAAGTAAATGAGACGGTCATGGACGGATAAACTCTTTGGCTTGTGTTACTATAGCTGGAAATAACTGCAGGGCAATATATTATGAAACCCACTTGTTAGAAACTCATGAGGCATCACTGCCTGGAAGCTTGCCGCAATCAAAGAGCGCATGGTCGAGGAAATGCGAGGGCGAGAAGAGATGCGGCAGCACCACTTTATCCCTCGCAAAGCACACTGCCTCCTGGGGCAACTGCAGCAACCACCCTATGCCAAACGATCGAACAGTCAACTGTGCCACCCTCCTCCCTCTCAACCTCTCATACTCCCTCAACGCTCCACACACCTTCTCACTCTCCACCCTCCTCCTCCGCACACTCGCCCCGTCCTCCCCTCCCTCCACTCCACCGCTTCCTTTCCGGTCCTCCCCATCTGCTACGGAAGCCTCCCATATGCACCGAGCCAAGACCACAGCATCTTCCAAAGCTGTGCATGCGCCTTGGCCGAGGTTCGGAGTCATGGGGTGGGCGGCATCGCCGGCCAGAGTGACAGCGCCTCGTCCCCATGTGCCCAGAGGGGGCGGCATCGTCCAGCGGTCTGTAATGGTGCCGACTACAATGCTGGTGGCCGGCGTGGCGTGAATAAGACGCTCAATGCCGCCCTGCCAGCCTTTCACGTAGGAGAGAGCCTCGTCCTTGGCTGCTGCTGATCCTGGTGGGGGAAGTGCGAATGGGAGATGGTGATGGGTGAGGGGAAGGGGAAGGGGAAGGGGGAGAAGAGGGGGATGAGAGGGAAGATGGTTGATGGAAAGAGAGGAGTAGAGCGCGTTGCGATGGGCATACGAGAAGGAATGCGAGAAAGGCACAAAGATGAAAGGGACGCCACAAGAGCCAATTTGGAGCGGGCACAGGGCACAGGGCACAGGGCACAGGGCACAGGGCACAGGGCACAGGGCACAGGGCACAGGGCACAGGGCACAGGGCACAGGGCACAGGGCACAGGGCACAGGGCACAGGGCACAGGGCACAGGGCACAGGGCACAGGGCACAGGGCACAGGGCACAGGGCACAGGGCACAGGGCACAGGGCACAGGGCACAGGGCACAGGGCACAGGGCACAGGGCACAGGGCACAGGGCACAGGGCACAGGGCACAGGGCACAGGGCACAGGGCACAGGGCACAGGGCACAGGGCACAGGGCACAGGGCACAGGGCACAGGGCACAGGGCACAGGGCACAGGGCACAGGGCACAGGGCACAGGGCACAGGGCACAGGGCACAGGGCACAGGGCACAGGGCACAGGGCACAGGGCACAGGGCACAGGGCACAGGGCACAGGGCACAGGGCACAGGGCACAGGGCACAGGGCACAGGGCACAGGGCACAGGGCACAGGGCACAGGGCACAGGGCACAGGGCACAGGGCACAGGGCACAGGGCACAGGGCACAGGGCACAGGGCACAGGGCACAGGGCACAGGGCACAGGGCACAGGGCACAGGGCACAGGGCACAGGGCACAGGGCACAGGGCACAGGGCACAGGGCACAGGGCACAGGGCACAGGGCACAGGGCACAGGGCACAGGGCACAGGGCACAGGGCACAGGGCACAGGGCACAGGGCACAGGGCACAGGGCACACGGCACACGGCACACGGCACACGGCACACGGCACACGGCACACGGCACAGGGCACAGGGCACAGGGCACAGGGCACAGGGCACAGGGCACAGGGCACAGGGCACAGGGCACAGGGCACAGGGCACAGGGCACAGGGCACAGGGCACAGGGCACAGGGCACAGGGCACAGGGCACAGGGCACAGGGCACAGGGCACAGGGCACAGGGCACAGGGCACAGGGCACAGGGCACAGGGCACAGGGCACAGGGCACAGGGCACAGGGCACAGGGCACAGGGCACAGGGCACAGGGCACAGGGCACAGGGCACAGGGCACAGGGCACAGGGCACAGGGCACAGGGCACAGGGCACAGGGCACAGGGCACAGGGCACAGGGCACAGGGCACAGGGCACAGGGCACAGGGCACAGGGCACAGGGCACAGGGCACAGGGCACAGGGCACAGGGCACAGGGCACAGGGCACAGGGCACAGGGCACAGGGCACAGGGCACAGGGCACAGGGCACACGGCACACGGCACAGGGCACAGGGCACAGGGCACAGGGCACAGGGCACAGGGCACAGGGCACAGGGCACAGGGCACAGGGCACAGGGCACAGGGCACAGGGCACAGGGCACAGGGCACAGGGCACAGGGCACAGGGCACAGGGCACAGGGCACAGGGCACAGGGCACAGGGCACAGGGCACAGGGCACAGGGCACACGGCACACGGCACAGGGCACAGGGCACAGGGCACAGGGCACAGGGCACAGGGCACAGGGCACAGGGCACAGGGCACAGGGCACAGGGCACAGGGCACAGGGCACAGGGCACAGGGCACAGGGCATCGGACGTGCCAAGTGGAGAGGCACAGGCACAGGGCAGGCAAGAGCTTGAGTTACCTCTGGGCAGGCAAGAGCTTGAGTTACCTCTGGGCGGCAAAGGGAAGGGCGGAGCATTGTAGCAGGTGAACCAGTAGACCCGCGTGGGCGTGAGAGGATACATACCCACTCGCACCCCCCTCCCCCACACCATTCCCACTCTCCCTCTCCCCTCCACACTCCCTCCCACGTCACCACCCGCAGCATCACCCCCATCGCCAGCAGCAACGGCAGAATCTGCAGATTCTGATGGATCTAGTTCCGCCACCCCTCGTGCCGCCCGGTATCCGGCGTAGTTGGTGGGCGGCAGGCCGAGCCAAGAAGCAACAGCTGATGAATTCCCGTCACACCCTATGAGAGCCTTGGCTTCGATAGTGGCACCATTGGATAGAGTCACGGTTACTGGGGAGGCAGTGGCGGTGGCGGTGAGTTCTGGCATGTGGGTGATTGTGGTGGCGAATCGGATGGTGCCAGGTGGCAGTTGGGCGGCCATGCAGGAGAGCAGGTGCGCGCGGGTGACCCCCCTCACCTCGTGGTCGGGTCTGCATGCCTCCATATCAATGCATCATATGCCAAACATGCCATGCCATCCCCATGCCATGGCACCCCCATGCCATGGCAACCCCATGTCACGCCAACCCCATGCCACGCCATCACATCAACCAGTCGAGATGATCCAGCATGAAACAGCATCCCCGCTGCACCACGATCCATCTCAGGGGTGACAAGAGATGGAAGAAGGGCAGATTGTGAGACACAGGGGGCCAGGAGGTGCCACACAGCAGCCACGGTTTTCAATTTCCGAATATCAGGCAGTAGGAAAGGAAGCAGAGGAGAGAGAAGGGAGGGCACCAGAGTGCATGAGCAGAGTGGCGCATGGTATGCGCAGAGCAAGGGGAGGTGCACCCACCCCACATTGCAGTCAGAAAAGTCAAAGGAGCGCAGCGCCGTGCCGTCCGCTGCTGCAATGTCAATGCTGGTGGGGATGGCGGTGACAAGGCAGTGACGTGGCAGTGACGTGGGAAGCAGTATCAAAAAGCATGCAAGTTCGAGAGGGCAGCATGAACGATGCTTGGGAAACGATGGGAACAGACAAATTGGTATGCGCACATTGGATGCATGGCATTGGGTGCATGGCATTGGATGTATGGCATTGGATGCATGGCATTGGATGCATGGCATTGGCCGCATGGTAACATGACTTTCACATATCCCCCTCTCTCCAACCCCCCTCCTCTCCCTCCCCACTCCTCTTCCACCCCGCGCTGCCCTTCCCCCACCTCCTCGCACACTCACGCGCCTCTCACCCCTGCAGCCCGCCCGCGCCCTCTCACCCTTCCAGCCGCACGTAGTATGTTCGCAGCAACGCCGCCACCTCTCTTCCCCTCCCTCCCCCCCTCCCCACCCGCGCCCTCTCACCCTTGCAGTCGAACGTAGTCTGTTCGCAGCAGCGCTGCCACCCCGAGCGCGTCCAAAGCGCGCAAAGCATTGCCCCACAGGCTCAGCGCCGTTCCTGATTGGCCGAGAGCCGGCGCGCGCTCCACCACTGCCACGTCAATGCCCACGCTGGCGCGCGCGGGGGGGGAGGGTGGGGACGGGCGGGGAGGGGGAAAAAGGGGAGCGGGAGGGGGAAACGAGAGGAGAGAATGGGTAATGGGGAAAGAGCGGGAAAATTTGGGTGGCGCAGATGCGGGGAGCCGCGCGCTAGAGCACTGCCACGCGCGCTTGCCGTGCTGCTGGGGAGGAATCACGCTGAATGCTGAGAAGGGAGGGATGGAGGTGAGTTCGTGGAAGAGAGAAGAGGGGTGTGACTGTACCGGTGTAAAGCAAGAGCCGTGGCTAGTCCCGCGACGCCAGCGCCCGCTATAAGCACATCGACGCTCTCCCTAGCAGCAGAGTCGGACTGCCGTGCTGTCTGCGCGCCACGCTCCGCTGCTGCGCGCACGCGCAACGACGAGTCTCGTTTTTTAGGCGAGTTTGTAAACGCAATTCGCGGCGGTGATTCGTTTGAAGAGACAACGCGAGAGTCACGGCGAGAGGAAACGCGGGAGTATTGATGCGGAACACGAGACGGGCCGATTGAGGTGAGTGGACTCAGCGAAAGAACAAAGTTGCTGTGATGACGTGGCGCGTCAGAGACATTACTCCGCGAATTGTGCCGCAAGAGGCAACAGGGTTGACGAATCGCGCAGTGGACGGGAAATAGAGACGCCATCCCTGCGGCTTGTGCTGCCATTTATTCACTTCCGCATTTTCAATCCTTCATGCCGTCGTCTCGTGTAAACTGTAACGGTTTGACACTTTGCATAACGCTGCAGAACGGTTAAAGCGAACCATCGATTTGGACCCCTCGGAAATCTACCAAACCTGCGCGACATTTTCGAAATCGAATTCGTCGCGAACCAGACACGCTGACCCCTCTGAATTCGTTACAGCAATTTCGCCACATCGCCACGGCAACCGCCCACCCACCAACTTCGATCCTGCCATGACCATTTTTCTGTGGGTGTGTTACTTCAGGTGTATCATCAGAGCATCTGCTATGGCAGTCATTCCCAGGGAATTTATGAGCCACAGAAATATCACTCCGTTGAACCTGAAATGAGAAGCCTTTGGCCGTCCGGCGCTTCGTTCCCAATGTGTGATTCCCCGCGCCTTGCGCGAGGATGACGATGATGTCGGCAGCATCGCGTGTGTCCCTTAGGCGCCGGATCCTCCTCATACACTCGCTCTTTGGCCGATCAGCGGCAGATTCCGATTTCGCGCGGCTCGTCCCGTTTGCGAGTTCTCGACACGCTGCTCTCCTGGTGCTGCCTTTCACGTCCGACTAGATCGTGCGCTCCACAGTCGACAGCGTCAATCCGAGCGCTTTCTTGAGACGCCTTTAAACTCCGTGCCGGCGTCGCTTTTGAGAATTCTCAAAAGAAACTCCGTGCCGGCGTCGTGGCGCGCTGCCAACTCTCGTTAGGTTGATCACGCATCTGCTCACCAATTCGCGCGACGTCTTAAAGTCCGGCCTTGTTTCCCGCTCATTTATTTTTTTAGACATTTCGAATTATAATCTCGTGCCTTTTAGCGGCGCGTGCGCGATTCCATGTGGCCGTGGGGGAGGCAGCGGCGCGGGGGGGGGTACGAGAGCGTGCAGCACGAAGACCCCTCGCCCACCTTCCGCTCGCGCTACCTCCAACAGCGCGGGCGCAAGTCCGCGCGCTCGCCGGGCGCTGGCGGTGTGCTCCGGTGCTGCTCTTGCGCGACGGTTGTGCTTGTAACGGTGATCGGCGCGGCGCTGCTGCTGTGGCTGGTCGGTGTGAACCCGTTCAGGTGTGTGCGACGGATGGGAGAGTGTGACGACGAACGAGATGCATGCGACGCATTTATGAGTCGCCCATGTGTCGCATGCCCCTCATGCCCATCATGTCGCTCTCTTACTCCTGTCCCGCTCCCATTTCCTCTCTTCCGCTCTCGTCCCTCCCGAAATGTGCTCCCCAATCCCCCTTCCCCGTTTCCCTCCCCCCCCACCCCCCCCCCCCTCCAACTCTCTTCCCGAACTCCGCCAGCCATGCAACCACCCTGGTGTCCCGCATCAAGGGCGCGCAAGGGGCGGGGGGTGCGCAAGGGGAAGGCGGAGAGGGGCTGACGGCGGAGGGGGAATGGAACAGCGGCGGGGCGAAAGCGGGGGAGTGGATGGGGGAGGGGGGAGAGGGAGGCGCGGGGCAGCAGAAATGGGGCGAGTGGGGAGCAGGAGGAGAGGAGAAGCAGCCGGGTCAGACACCCCCTGCACCAGATCTACCTGGATTCTCCAAAACCCGCCCGATTCCCGACCCTGATTTCCCCACGGATGAAAGGGGGTCGGAAGACAGAGGTTCAGGGTTGACGCATGGGGAGGACGAGGACGGGGAAGGGGAAGGTGGAGGGGCTTATGACGCAGAGACGGGAGTGCGGAAGGGGAAAGGGAAGGGGAGGGGGAAGGGGAAGGGGAAGGGGAAGGGGAAGGGGAAGAGGAAATCGAGGTATGGGGGTGGTCCGGATGATTGGGAGGAGGTGCATGAGCAGCTGATCACAGAAGCGGATACCATTGCAGGCGAGGCTAGGCTCGCTGCTAATGAAGCTGAAATGGCCGCTGCTACTGTGGGGGAAGGCGGCGGGGGGAAGGCTGGGGGAAGGGGGAAGGTGGGGGAGGGGCTGACGCGGAGGCGGTATGAGCCTGGGGAGGAGGAGGATGGGGTGGAGTTGAGGTTGGCAGGGGGGAAGATGAGTCGGCGGAAGAAGGAGGGGAAGCGCGCGGGGGAGGGTGGCGGGTGGGGGAAGAAGAAGAGGAAGAGGAGAGAGGAGGATTATGAGGAGGAGGGGAGGGACGATGGTGAGTTGGTTATGGTATGGCTGAACGTCGACCCCTGTCCGCTCAGCTCTGCTCCCATTGCGCTTCCCTTCTGCCTGCACCTCTGTCTTCTTCTCACATTCTTCCTCTCCAGTCTCACTTCGTTCCCCCTCTTTCCACCGTGCGCCCTGACCCACCCTTTCCTCCCTCGTCTTTCCCCCTCTACTCACCTCTCCCCCTCCCCGCCACCCTCCCCCTCTTCCCTATGTGCTCATCACCCCATGGGCTCCCAGAGGAAGCAGAGGAGGACGGGGTGGACGAGGAGGCGAGGGAGGAGGAGGAGGAGGAGCGAGAAGAGGAGGCTGAGATGGAAACGGACGGCCCAGATGACACCGACGACGGCGACAGTGACATCACCAGCACCTCTCCCCGGGGAGGCATGCGGGGGCGCAGCAGTGTGCTGGCCCGGCGCATCCCCGGCACGGGCGTGCGAGGGGAGGAGCAGGTGGGGCGGGTGCGGCGGCAGCTGGCGTGCCTGGCGGGCAGGGAGGGCGGGCGGTGGGCGCTCAACAGCACCCCCAGGTGGCTGCCGTGGGATCTGACTGCCTCGCGCCACCACCATTCAGCCCGCCACCCCAACCACCGCTCCTGCGACCAGCTCTGGGCCAAAGAGTGAGTGGGGCGGCTGGCATGCCTAGCAGGCAGGGAGGCCAAGTGGCAAGTGCGGCAGCGGGGCAGCATCTATATTTCTAGGCGCCTCAATAATTCAAACTCGTATCCCTTCCTGCCCTACCCCATCCCCACTCATCCACCTGTACGGAGCAGGGAGGGCGGGGTGTACGGGGCAGCAGCAGAGAAGGCCAGGAGGCGGGGGGATGCAACACGGTGGCGGGTGAGGCGAGCAGCGCTCTACGAGTGGCAGTCGGGCGACGCCTCCTGCCCTCTGCTACCCTTCCAACGCACCGCCTTCTGCCGGGCTGTGCGCGGCAGGAACGTGGTGGTGGTGGGGGATGCGGGCGCGCTGGATTTACATGATGCGCTGCTCAACCACCTCGTCACTGCCCACACCCGCCGCATTGCTGAACCCCTTGGGGATGCCTGGTGGGTTCCGGGTGGTGGGCGATGGGTGGTGATAGGTGCTGGGTGGTGGGTGCTGGGTGCTGGTGATTGGTGTTGGCTGGGTGATGCCTGGTGGAGGGTGCTTGCATTGGAGGCAGCAGCATTGGTGGGTGACACTTGTGACTGAATGCATGCTCTCTTTTCTCTCCGCCCCTTCCTCTCCCCAGGGCCAATGCCACAGAAGGCGCTTGCTACGAAGCAGGCCACCCCCTCTGCACAGACGTGCGCCTCTCGCTCTCCTCAACTGTTGTGACACTTGATGCATGTACCAATGCCACCCGTGTAACCCCTTCGGCCCCCCAGGGCCAATGCAACGGAGGGAGCATGCTACGAAGCAGGCCACCCCCTCTGCACAGACGTGCGCCTCTCCACCTCCTCTCCCTCCTCCTCCTCCTCCTCCTCCTCCTCTGCCTCCTCCGCCCGCTCCTCCCACCTCCCCTCCTCCCACTCCCACTCGCGCACGCGCTCCCGCACCTCCCCTTACACGAGCGCCCGCAGCACCACACCCAGGAGGGGCAGGCAGGGCAGCACAAGCACCCAGCGACAACGGCAGCAGCGGGAGGCGAGGGAGGTGGAGGAGGAGGAGAAAGAGGAGGAGGAGGAGGAGAAAAGAGTTGGCCAGCATGAGTGGGAGGGGAGCGATGAGGAGGCACACGGCGGAGTGGGCAGGCATCTGCTGCGGTACGGGGGAGGGCCGGAGGAGAGCGAGGAAGGGGAGTTGAGCAGAGGGGGGCTGGGGGACGAGGAAGAAGAGGGCGGGGCGGGGTCAGCGGGTTTCAACATGCGGGTGGTGCTTAACCCGTTCTTGTCTCCTGACACGGGGCGAGTGTCTGCTGTCAACAACCGATGGGTCAAGAAGCTAAGGCGCTGGCGCACTGGCATTCTGATTCTCTCCCGCACCGCGCGATACAAGAGCAGTGAGTTGGCGCCTGTATGATGCTTGCTTATCAGGTCTTTGTGCTTTGACTTGCGCATTGGCACGCACTGGCATCCTCGTGCTCTCCTGCGCCGCACGATACAAGAGCAGTGAGTCGTCTCAGCAGCAGTGCCTGTCAATAACACTGTGAGTGATCTGGGACCGGACATAGGATGTGCTGCATTGCTCTCTCATGCCGGGTGTGACCCTTCTTATGCCCCGCTCCATCTCTCCACTTCCTTCAGAGCGCACGCTTCTGAGGGAGCTGCACTGCAAGCCACATTGAAGGCGGTGCGGGAGCGCCACCCCAATCTGCTCATCATCTGGCGCAACTCCCCTGCGCCGCACGACGACTGCGACGATGCCACACTGCCCCTCCCCCCACCCTGCATGTGCCCTGCCCTTCTCCCTCCTCTCTCCTCCCCCACCCCCCTCGCCCCAATCAGAGCGCACGTTACTAAGGGAGTTACGGGCCACACTGAAGGCGGTGAGGCAGCGGCACCCCAATCTGCTCATCCTCTGGCGCAACTCACCAGCGCCGCACGATGACTGTGATGATGCCACGCTGCCCCTCCGCCGCCGCCCCCTCGCCTCCTCGTCCCGGCACCGCGAGATGAACGAGATTGTCAAGCCGCTGCTCGAGGTGAGATGGGGAGCTGATGGCTTTTGAGGTGCCTCATAAGGTGCCCCCTTGCTGCCCCCTCGCCTCCTCGTCGCGCCACCGCGAGATGAACGAGATGGTCAAGCCGCTGCTCGAGGTGAGATGGGGAGCTGATGGCTTTTGAGGTGCCTCATAAGTTGCCCCCTTGCTGCCCCCTCGCCTCCTCGTCGCGCCACCGCGAGATGAACGAGATGGTCATGCCGCTGCTCGAGGTGAGATGGGGAGCTGATGGCTTTTGAGGTGCCTCATAAGTTGCCCCCTTGCTGCCCCCTCGCCTCCTCGTCTCGCCACCGCGAGATGAACGAGATGGTCATGCCGCTGCTCGAGGTGAGATGGGGAGCTGATGGCTTTTGAGGTGCCTCATAAGTTGCCCCCTTGCTGCCCCCTCGCCTCCTCGTCTCGCCACCGCGAGATGAACGAGATCGTCTCCCCTCTTCCCATCTGTGCGTGCAGGAGTACGGAGCGGTGTATATGGACGTTGACGCGGCCACCTCCCTGCGGCCCGACGGGCACCATGTGAGGAGGGGACTGCCAGCACTACTCAACCGCCTCTTGCCCCTGCCCTTCCTGCCCTCCCGCCCCATCTGTACAAGCAGGAGTACGGAGCGGTGTATATGGACGTTGACGCGGCCACCTCGCTTCGCCCTGACGGGCACCATGTGAGGAGGGACGGGTCGGTGGACTGCCAGCGCTACTGCATGCCCGGCCCGCTGGACCAGTGGGTGCACCTGCTCTTCAACCACCTCCTCCTCCTCAACCGCCACACCCCCCTGCCCTCCCGCTCCCCACAATCTCACGCTGCTCCTGCTGCTGCTGCTGCTGCTGCCGCTTCTGCGACTCTGGCTGGTCTGGGTGGGGGAGCGAGTAGCGAGGGGAGGGGGGAGGGGAGTGGGGAGACGGGTGGAAGTGGAAGTGCTGGTGTGGATGCAAAGGGGACGGACGAAGGTTTGGTGGCAGGGGGTAAAGGGGGGAGCAGCTCTGAGAGTGGTGGTGCTGGGGATGGTGGTGATGGTGGTGCTGGCGGTGCTGGTGCCAGTGATGGTGGTGATGGTGCTGGGGTGGGTGGTTCTGGCAGTGGCGAGAGAGGGGAAGGTGGAGAGGACAGGGCGGGCAGTGGGAGTGAAGGGAAGGAGGGTGTGGAGGGGAGAGGAGGGGAGGGCGAGGAGGCGAAAGAAGGGGAGCGTTCAGGAGTTGATGGGGCGGAGGGAGGAGACGGTGGAGGGAAGAGGGGCGGCGAGGGCGAGGGTGGGGAAGGCGAGGGGGAGAGGGTAAGTGGGAAGGGAGAGAGTGAGGAAGGTGGTGAGGTGGGAAGTAGTGGAGGCGGGACTGAGGGGGACGAGAGTGGGTTGGGCGGGAAGAGAGTTGATGAGGGGACGTTTGAGAGGGGAGAGGAGGAGAGTGGAGGGGAGGAGGGTGGAGAGGAGGAGGAGGAGGGAGGTGAGGGAGGAGGAAAGAGTGGAGGGGACGATGATTTGGGGGGAAAGAAGGTGGATGAAGGAACGTTTGAGAGGGGGGAGGAGGAGGGTGAGGGTGAGGGTGAGGAGGAGGGAGAGAGTGAGGGAGGAGGAAAGAGCCGAGGAGATGAGGGATTGGGAGGAGAGAAGGTGGATGAGGGGACGTTCGAAAGACAAGAGGAGGGCGAGGGTGAGGGTGAGGGTGAGCGTGAGGGTGAAAGGAAGAATGGGAGGAGAGGGGGGAGCGGATGGGAGGACGAGCTGGAAGGGGCAAAGGTGGATGAGGGGACGTTTGAGAGGAAAGAGGAGGAGGGCGGGGGGGAGGGGGAAGGGGAAGGGGAAGGTGAAGGGGAGTTGGGCGGAGGTAAGGTGGACGAGGGGACGTTTGAGAGGAAGGAGGAGGAGGCAGAGGGAGAGGAGGGGGCGCGGAAGGGGGTTGCGGAGGGGGATGCGGATCTGGGAGGGGCAAAGGTGGGAGACGGCACGTTTGAGAGGCAGGAGGAGGGCGGACAGGCAGGGCAGGAAGGGGAGGGGAGGGGAGAGGCGGGGGGAGAGGCGGGGGGAGAGGCGGGGGGAGAAGCGGGGGGAGAGGCGGGGGGAGAAGGTGAAAAGCGGAGCGGAGAGCTGGGTGGAATGGATGTCGGGGATGGGACTTTTGAGCGCAGTGAAGAGGGAGGGGAAGGGGAACAGCCCGCAGGGGGAGGTGGTGGTGGTGATGCTGGCAGTGGGGGTGGGGGGAAGGGGCAGCAGCAGGATGGGGAGGGGCAGAGAGGAGGAGAGGGAGAGGGGAACGAGGCGAAGGCCAAAGAAGAAGCAACGGCAACAGCGGCAGCAGCAGAGAGTGAAGGTGAGCGGGAAGAGGAGCGAGTGAGTAGATGTAGATGCTACCTTTTACTGCGGGCGATCGCCATCTATGGCGAAGATAGCATGATGGATGGGCGCTGTAAGGCAAAGACAGATGTGGAGCCCATGATGGATCATATCCTGGGAGCATGGTAAAGGGCAGGGCAGCAGTGGCGGCAGTGCATCGAGCGCTGGAGTGTGTGGTGAGGGTATAAAGACTCCCCCCCATCCGTCCCCTATCTTTTCTTCCCTCTGCCCTGTACCTGCCACCAGAGCCCATACTGGAACATATTCCCGGCAGCATGGTAAAGGGCAGGGCGGCGGTAGAGGCGGTGCATCGAGCGCTGGAGTGCGTGGTGGTGGACTAACGCACCCTCCCCTGTCTTCCCTCCCTCGCCCTTTATTCCCCATCACCCCCCTCCAGAGCCCATGCTAGATCACATCCCTGGCAGCATGGTAAAGGGCAGGGCGGCAGTGGAGGCAGTTCATCGAGCGCTGGAGTGTGTGGTGAAGGACGGGCGGTGGAAGGCGAATGAGGAGATGCGAGTGCTGCCGTGGAACCGCAACCCCAACAGCGACCCGCAGCTGCCCAACTATGGCACCTGTGACGTGCTGCACGAGACCGAGTGAGTTGATGACTCGACATCGGGCGGGTGGTACGGACCGAGTGGGGTGTTGAGTCAATTATAGACCTGCAGCTGCCCCACTGTGGCACCTGTGACGTGCTGCACGAGACCGAGTGAGTTGATGACTCGACATCGGGCGGGTGGTACGGACCGAGTGGGGTGTTGAGTCAATTATAGACCTGCAGCTGCCCCACTGTGGCACCTGTGACGTGCTGCACGAGACCGAGTGAGTTGATGACTCGACATCGGGCGGGTGGTACGGACCGAGTGGGGTGTTGAGTCAATTATAGACCTGCAGCTGCCCCACTGTGGCACCTGTGACGTGCTGCACGAGACCGAGTGAGTTGATGACTCGACATCGGGCGGGTGGTACGGACCGAGTGGGGTGTTGAGTCAATTATAGACCTGCAGCTGCCCCACTGTGGCACCTGTGACGTGCTGCACGAGACCGAGTGAGTTGATGACTCGACATTGGGCGGGTGGTACGGACCGAGTGGGGTGTTGAGTCAATTATAGACCTGCAGCTGCCCCACTGTGGCACCTGTGACGTGCTGCACGAGACCGAGTGAGTTGATGACTCGACATCGGGCGGGTGGTACGGACCGAGTGGGGTGTTGAGTCAATTATAGACCTGCAGCTGCCCCACTGTGGCACCTGTGACGTGCTGCACGAGACCGAGTGAGTTGATGACTCGACATCGGGCGGGTGGTACGGACCGAGTGGGGTGTTGAGTCAATTATAGACCTGCAGCTGCCCCACTGTGGCACCTGTGACGTGCTGCACGAGACCGAGTGAGTTGATGACTCGACATTGGGCGGGTGGTACGGACCGAGTGGGGTGTTGAGTCAATTATAGACCTGCAGCTGCCCCACTGTGGCACCTGTGACGTGCTGCACGAGACCGAGTGAGTTGATGACTCGACATCGGGCGGGTGGTACGGACCGAGTGGGGTGTTGAGTCAATTATAGACCTGCAGCTGCCCCACTGTGGCACCTGTGACGTGCTGCACGAGACCGAGTGAGTTGATGACTCGACATCGGGCGGGTGGTACGGACCGAGTGGGGTGTTGAGTCAATTATAGACCTGCAGCTGCCCCACTGTGGCACCTGTGACGTGCTGCACGAGACCGAGTGAGTTGATGACTCGACATCGGGCGGGTGGTACGGACCGAGTGGGGTGTTGAGTCAATTATAGACCTGCAGCTGCCCCACTGTGGCACCTGTGACGTGCTGCACGAGACCGAGTGAGTTGATGACTCGACATCGGGCGGGTGGTACGGACCGAGTGGGGTGTTGAGTCAATTATAGACCTGCAGCTGCCCCACTGTGGCACCTGTGACGTGCTGCACGAGACCGAGTGAGTTGATGACTCGACATCGGGCGGGTGGTACGGACCGAGTGGGGTGTTGAGTCAATTATAGACCTGCAGCTGCCCCACTGTGGCACCTGTGACGTGCTGCACGAGACCGAGTGAGTTGATGACTCGACATCGGGCGGGTGGTACGGACCGAGTGGGGTGTTGAGTCAATTATAGACCTGCAGCTGCCCCACTGTGGCACCTGTGACGTGCTGCACGAGACCGAGTGAGTTGATGACTCGACATTGGGCGGGTGGTACGGACCGAGTGGGGTGTTGAGTCAATTATAGACCTGCAGCTGCCCCACTGTGGCACCTGTGACGTGCTGCACGAGACCGAGTGAGTTGATGACTCGACATTGGGCGGGTGGTACGGACCGAGTGGGGTGTTGAGTCAATTATAGACCTGCAGCTGCCCCACTGTGGCACCTGTGACGTGCTGCACGAGACCGAGTGAGTTGATGACTCGACATTGGGCGGGTGGTACGGACCGAGTGGGGTGTTGAGTCAATTATAGACCTGCAGCTGCCCCACTGTGGCACCTGTGACTTGCTGCACGAGACCGAGTGAGTTGATGACTCGACATTGGGCGGGTGGTACGGACCGAGTGGGGTGTTGAGTCAATTATAGACCTGCAGCTGCCCCACTGTGGCACCTGTGACGTGCTGCACGAGACCGAGTGAGTTGATGACTCGACATTGGGCGGGTGGTACGGACCGAGTGGGGTGTTGAGTCAATTATAGACCTGCAGCTGCCCCACTGTGGCACCTGTGACGTGCTGCACGAGACCGAGTGAGTTGATGACTCGACATTGGGCGGGTGGTACGGACCGAGTGGGGTGTTGAGTCAATTATAGACCTGCAGCTGCCCCACTGTGGCACCTGTGACGTGCTGCACGAGACCGAGTGAGTGCTCAAGCCTCAGCTCAGTGGACCACGTTAGTTGACTCAGAGATTGATGTCTGTCGACTTTAAACTTGTAACTGGCCAGCCACGTGTGGCATCCTGCACACGGTGCCTGGCATCCTGCACACGGTGCCTCAACCCCACACAGTACCTCTTACTTCCACCCCACTTCATCCCGTCACCTCACCCCCTCTCCCCCTCTCTCAACCCCAAACCCAGGGCCAGAGGGGTTATGGGCGATGTAGCAGACGAGATGGTGCGAACCAACGGCAGCCCAGCATCTATCCTCCCCTCCCCTCAACCCCCATAACCCCCATCCCCACCCATCCACCTCTCCCCCTAACCTTCTCAGGGCGGGCGGGGTGATGGGGGACGTAGCAGACGAGATAGTGCGAACAAACGGTAGCCCTGCAGACTGGAAGGTGCGGCCAGAGCTGCTGTACGACTGGAAGCCGGCCACGGGGAGGGGGTGTCCGCCCTACGTGCCGTTCACGCGGGAGAAGATTTGCCGCCTGCTGGCCCGGCGCAACGTGGTGATGGTGGGCGACGGCACGCAGCTGCTGCTGCACGACGTGTTCCTCAACAACATGTACTCGCTGCAGGCGGTTGATCAGATGGGTAACCTGGAAGATGCCTGGTGAGTGCATTCAGAGGATTTTCAAGACTGACTTCAGTACAGCCGCCATTGCTGCTGCTGCTGCTGCGCGATGTGTTCTTGAACAACATGCGCCAAACGCCCCACCCCACCCCCCACCGTGCACCTCACCCACAGGGAGCAAGAGTGTGAGGCTGACTGTGCAGACGAGGGCCATGTGCTGTGCTCCGTTGTGACTACGGGTGGGGCCTTCACCTTCCTTGAATTACACGGGGCAGCACCTTCACCTTCCTTGAATTACACGGGGCAGCACCTTCACCTTCCTTGAATTACACGGGGCAGCGCCTTCACCTTCCGCATCATGCACAACAACCTGCCGTCCGCCCACCTGCCTCAACCCCTGGCCCCCTTCCTGTCCTGCACCCCGGGTGCCCTGTGGTCCGCACCCCACCCACAGGGAGAGAGACGGCGAGCCCGACTGTGGGTGGGGTGAGACACGGCGGGCCACACCCCACCCTGTGCCCTGTCTGTGCTCCGCACCCCACCCTGTGCCCTGTCTGTGCTCCGCTCCCCACCCTGTGCCCTGTCTGTGCTCCGCACCCCACCCTCAGCCCGCACCCCACCCACAGGGAGCGAGACGGCGAGCCCGACTGTGCAAACGAGGGCCATGTGTTGTGCTCAGACACCTCCCCAGGCAGCACCTTCACCTTCCGAGTCGTACACAACAACCTGCCGTCCGCAGACCTTCCTGGGGGCGGCAAGTACAACAAGCGGGTGGATCAAGCGCCTGCTCGCTTGGAACAAACAACCTGCTGTCCGCCCACCCTCACACCCGTCCCTGTACCCCACACCCGTCCCACAGGGAGCGAGACGGCGAGCCCGACTGTGCAAACGAGGGCCATGTGTTGTGCTCAGACATCTCCCCAGCCAGCACCTTCACCTTCCGAGTCGTACACAACAACCTGCTTTCCGCCGACCTACCGGGCGGCGGCAAGTACAACAAGCGGTGGATCAAGCGCCTGCTTGCTTGGAACGCGTCTGTGGTGATCATCAACAAGGGCGCCGAGCTGCGGCCCAGTGCGTGTGCGTTCTCTCGTGTGCTTCCCCCATGTGCCCTCCCTGTGTGCCCTCCCCATGTGCTCTGCGTGAGTGCTCTGTGTGCTCTGTCTGTTCAAAACGCCGTACACCCCCGCCACTGCTCGCGTGGAATGCGTCCATGGTGATCATCAACAAGGGAGCTGAGCTGCAGCCCAGTGCGTGTGCGTTACCCCATGTGCCACTGCGCCCTCCCCATGTGCCACTGCGCCCTCCCCATGTGCCACTGCGCCCTCCCCATGTGCCACTGCGCCCTCCCCATGTGCCACTGCGCCCTCCCCATGTGCCACTGCGCCCTCCCCATGTGCCACTGTGCCCTCCCCATGTGCCACTGCGCCCTCCCCATGTGCCACTGCGCCCTCCCCATGTGCCACTGCGCCCTCCCCATGTGCCACTGTGCCCTCCCCATGTGCCACTGTGCCCTCCCCATGTGCCCTGCCCATGTGCCCTCCCATGTGCATGTGCCCTGCCCATGTGCCCTCCCCATGTGCCCTCCCCATGTGCCCTGCCCATGAGTGCTCTGCCCTGTGTGCTCTGTCTGTTCAATACGCTGTACAATCCCCACTTGTGCTCGCGCGGAACACGTTTGTGGTGATCATCAACAAGGGCGCCGAGCTGCGGCCCAGTGCGTGTGCGTTGCTCCTACGTGCTCTTGTCACCCCATGTGACCTTGTTGACCCATATGCCCTCCTGTGCTCTCCATGTGCTTGACATGCCATACAGCCCCCACCAGAGGCACTGTACACTATACCCTTTCTTATTACATTTGGCCCCGTCATGCACATGTGACTTTTGAGTCGGGAAAGGCACTGTACACTATACTCAAAAGTCCCCTGTCTTATTACGTGTGACCCTGTCATGCACATGGAATCATGCATGAGGCAATCGGCGCCTCAAGAACCTCCCCTGCCCTCACGCCCTCTTTCCCCCTCTTATCCCCCCTCCCCACCCTCCCATCCCCAGCCAAGCGGTACATTGAGACTCTGAGAGACACGATGCAGCTGCTGCGGCGGCTTGCCCCTGACGTGCTCGTGGTGTTCCGCAGCACGTGGCGCGGCCATGTGGACTGTGGGCGCGCCGAGGGGCCGCTCAAGGAGGTACCGGGCAAGGGCGGTGCCACGCTGCCATGGGACTTTGCCATTGACCAGAACGCTGCCGCGCGCGCGATTATGAAGGTGCGATGCGAGGAGGTCCAGAGAGGTAGTGCCCCGCTCCTCAAACTCCCTCCCCTTACCTCCAGGAGTATGGTGGGGTCTACCTAGACATCGACACCCCGCTCTCCATGTGCCAGATGGCCATCTGCGCAAGCTGAGTGGAGCCATGGACTGCTACATGTACTGCTCGCCCGTGGATACCTGCACATCAACACACAGAAGCGCACAGCCTTCAATCGGCCTCCCTTTGTCCCTCCCCACTCCCCTTGCTGGAGTACGGAGGCCCTTTGTATCTGGACATCGCCACGCCCCTGTCGATGCGCCCGGACGGCCATTTGCGCAAGCTGAGTGGAGCCATGGACTGCGTGCCTGTAAATACTCTCAGCACATCCGCACACCCATCTCTACTCATCTCCCCTCCCACCTGCAGGAATTCGGTGGCGTGTACCTAGATATCGACACGCCCCTGTCGATGCGCCCGGACGGGCATCTGCGCAAGCTGAGTGGAGCCATGGACTGCTACATGTACTGTGTGCCAGGCCCACTGGATATCTTCATGCGCTCGCTGCTCAACCTGCTGCTCGTGCTCAAACAACACGAGTCCCTCTCGTGACAGGATTCCCCTAGTGACAGAAAGCAGCACGATCAAGTCCCTCTAGCAGCTCGAGTCCTCATCATGGCATGATTGCTCACCATGCTGCTCGTGCTCAAACAGCACAAGTCCCTCTCGAGACACTGTCTAGCAGCGAAGTCCCTGTCGTGACACACTAGCATCTTGAGCCTTTATTGTGGCATGATTGCTCACCATTGCTCGCTGTTCAACCTGCTGTTGGTACTCTAGCAGCACCTGACACCCACACAGCTCAGGGCAAAGGAACAGAACATGGGAACAGACAGAACATGCTGGGATTTGTCAGCCTACATACCGTATGTGTGGAGAGTGGGACACTGGGTAAGTTAGGGGGTGAAACGTCCAGGAATAAGTTGAGTCTCATGTGATAAGTATTGCTGCATCACAACTTCCCTGCAGGCAAGCTTCCTTGGGCAATGATCAGGGCATGAAACAGGGCAAGAGAAAACAAAACGGGAATGACAGAAGGAAACAAAGTGGAGACGCGGGGTATCGATCCCCGTACCTATCGCATGCAAAGCGATCGCTCTACCATGTGAGCTACACCCCCATGCTCACATATCGTGAGTTTTTATTCTTTTTTATTGGTTTATATAATCGTGAGCAGCCACTCGTGATCTGCTATCTCGCCGATTGTTCTCTACGATGTCGCTTCTTCGCGCCCACAGACCGTCGCTCCTCCTCCTGCTCCTCCTCTCCCTCGTCGCCTCCTCCGCGATCGCAGCGTCGTCGCACGACGGGTGGGGCGACGCCGACGACGATGCAGACGACGACGAATTCGACGGCCACGATGCATCCGCCGCGCCCAACGGCGCGGGCGCGCGATCGAGCGCGGATCTCGCGCCGACTCCGCCCCCGCGGGGCGTGAGGCGGAAGGGCACGGCGATCCCGGCGGCGCTGGCGGTGGAGCGAAGCTTCGCTCCGGGCGACAGCAACAGCTTCTTACCGGGGGGGCTTGTCATGATGCAAGGCGTCTTGCACGGTGACGCCACCACTGTACGCCCCGCGCCCCTCGCGCCCCTTGCGCCCGTTGCGCCCTCATGCCCCTCACCCCTTGCGCCGCGCGCGGATCCACCTCGTCTCTGCCCCCTTCCGCCTCATTCATCCACTCCGCCCTTTCATCCGCTCCACACCTTTCGTTCCCCACCCTTTTCCCCCGATTCCCCGGCCCCCCCTCACCTGCGCGCGCGTGGGCAGTGGGTGGAAGCGACGGTGATCTGGCATCCGCTGACGGCGGGCGAGGCGGGCGCGCTCAAGGCGCTGGTGGCGGCGGACGGGGTCTACCGCGTGCGCCTTGCGCCCAACCCCTTCTCCGCCGCTCCCCCGCCCCAAGGGCACGTCATCGCATGGGGCCGCGCGGTGAGGCATGGGGGGGCGGTGAGGCATGGGGGGGCGGTGAGGCATGGGAGGGCGGCGCGGGGAAGCTTTGGGGATGCGCATGGGGAATCGATAGGGGGGCGCGCGGGGAGGCATGGGTGCAGTGGGGCATTGGGGGGGAGGGGGGGATGGGAGGGGGCGAATTATTGCCATGGCAGGAGCCGCTGTGCTCACGTCAACTCTGCTACCCGCCTTGCTCTACTCTCTGTAGCACTGCTACCCTACCCTCCTTGTTTTGAGACGTCTCAAAACACCCTCCTTGTCCTACATTCACGTGCTCATGCCCACCTGCTTCTCACTCCACTCCATTCCACTGCACACCCGCTGTCTCATTCCGTACTCCCCTTCCCTTGTCTTTCCTGCCACCCTTACAATCGCCTCTCACCCCTCTCACCCCTCTCACCCCTCTCACTCCTCTCACCCCTCTCACTCCTCTCACCCCTCTCACTCCTCTCACCCCTCTCACTCCTCTCACCCCTCTCACCCCTCTCACCCCTCTCACCCCTTTCACCCCTTTCACCCCTCTCAACCCCTGCGCCGGCCTCTCAGCGCTGCCTGGCTGCAGCTGGCTTCCGAGACTCGTTGCACCTCCTCTTTGTGAGACCCGCTCCCTTGCTCGCTCCAAACTCTGGTTTCGCTCCAACCTCTGGTTTCGCTCCAACCTCTGGTTTCGCTCCAACCTCTGGTTTCGCTCCAAACTCTGGTTTCGCTCCAACCTCTGGTTTCGCTCCAAAGTCTGGTTTCGCTCCAACCTCTGGTTTCGCTCCAAACTCTGGTTTCGCTCCAACCTCTGGTTTCGCTCCAAAGTCTGGTTTCGCTCCAACCTCTGGTTTCGCTCCAAAGTCTGGTTTCGCTCCAACCTCTGGTTTCGCTCCAAACTCTGGTTTCGCTCCAAACTCTGGTTTCGCTCCAACCTCTGGTTTCGCTCCAAAGTCTGGTTTCGCTCCAACCTCTGGTTTCGCTCCAAAGTCTGGTTTCGCTCCAACCTCTGGTTTCGCTCCAAACTCTGGTTTCGCTCCAACCTCTGGTTTCGCTCCAAACTCTGGTTTCGCTCCAACCTCTGGTTTCGCTCCAAAGTCTGGTTTCGCTCCAAACTCTGGTTTCGCTCCAACCTCTGGTTTCGCTCCAAAGTCTGGTTTCGCTCCAACCTCTGGTTTCGCTCCAAAGTCTGGTTTCGCTCCAACCTCTGGTTTCGCTCCAAAGTCTGGTTTTGCTCCAACCTCTGGTTTCGCTCCAAACTCTGGTTTCGCTCCAACCTCTGGTTTCGCTCCAAACTCTGGTTTCGCTCCAACCTCTGGTTTCGCTCCAACCTCTGGTTTCGCTCCAAAGTCTGGTTTCGCTCCAACCTCTGGTTTCGCTCCAAAGTCTGGTTTCGCTCCAACCTCTGGTTTCGCTCCAAACTCTGGTTTCGCTCCAACCTCTGGTTTCGCTCCAAACTCTGGTTTCGCTCCAACCTCTGGTTTCGCTCCAAACTCTGGTTTCGCTCCAACCTCTGGTTTCGCTCCAACCTCTGGTTTCGCTCCAAAGTCTGGTTTCGCTCCAACCTCTGGTTTCGCTCCAAAGTCTGGTTTCGCTCCAACCTCTGGTTTCGCTCCAAACTCTGGTTTCGCTCCAACCTCTGGTTTCGCTCCAAACTCTGGTTTCGCTCCAACCTCTGGTTTCGCTCCAAAGTCTGGTTTCGCTCCAACCTCTGGTTTCGCTCCAAACTCTGGTTTCGCTCCAACCTCTGGTTTCGCTCCAAACTCTGGTTTCGCTCCAACCTCTGGTTTCGCTCCAACCTCTGGTTTCGCTCCAAAGTCTGGTTTCGCTCCAAACTCTGGTTTCGCTCCAACCTCTGGTTTCGCTCCAAAGTCTGGTTTCGCTCCAACCTCTGGTTTCGCTCCAAAGTCTGGTTTCGCTCCAACCTCTGGTTTCGCTCCAAACTCTGGTTTCGCTCCAACCTCTGGTTTCGCTCCAAAGTCTGGTTTCGCTCCAACCTCTGGTTTCGCTCCAAACTCTGGTTTCGCTCCAACCTCTGGTTTCGCTCCAAACTCTGGTTTCGCTCCAACCTCTGGTTTCGCTCCAAACTCTGGTTTCGCTCCAACCTCTGGTTTCGCTCCAACCTCTGGTTTCGCTCCAAAGTCTGGTTTCTCTCCAACCTCTGGTTTCGCTCCAAAGTCTGGTTTCGCTCCAACCTCTGGTTTCGCTCCAAACTCTGGTTTCGCTCCAACCTCTGGTTTCGCTCCAAACTCTGGTTTCACTCCAACCTCTGGTTTCGCTCCAAAGTCTGGTTTCGCTCCAACCTCTGGTTTCGCTCCAACCTCTGGTTTCGCTCCAAAGTCTGGTTTCGCTCCAACCTCTGGTTTCGCTCCAAACTCTGGTTTCGCTCCAACCTCTGGTTTCGCTCCAAACTCTGGTTTCGCTCCAACCTCTGGTTTCGCTCCAAACTCTGGTTTCGCTCCAAACTCTGGTTTCGCTCCAACCTCTGGTTTCGCTCCAACCTCTGGTTTCGCTCCAAAGTCTGGTTTCGCTCCAACCTCTGGTTTCGCTCCAAAGTCTGGTTTCGCTCCAACCTCTGGTTTCGCTCCAAAGTCTGGTTTCGCTCCAACCTCTGGTTTCGCTCCAAACTCTGGTTTCGCTCCAACCTCTGGTTTCGCTCCAAACTCTGGTTTCGCTCCAAACTCTGGTTTCGCTCCAACCTCTGGTTTCGCTCCAACCTCTGGTTTCGCTCCAAACTCTGGTTTCGCTCCAACCTCTGGTTTCGCTCCAAACTCTGGTTTCGCTCCAACCTCTGGTTTCGCTCCAACCTCTGGTTTCGCTCCAACCTCTGGTTTCGCTCCAACCTCTGGTTTCGCTCCAACCTCTGGTTTCGCTCCAACCTCTGGTTTCGCTCGCATGCCATTGCTTCCCACCAGCTCTCGTCGCTACCCTCACCTCACGTGCTGTTCTGCTCCTTGCCATGCCCCATGCCCCCCATGCCCCAATTCTGTACACACGATATGCAAGGCACCATTGTGCCGTCACGTCAGCATGCTGTCATGTCTTCATCCCAGCCTTTCACCCTCCTCCCATTCACCCTGCACTCACATTCCCTTAAGACTAGGGAGCGCATGTCTTTCTCCAACCTCCCACGCGCATTGCAATCGCCCTCTCTACTCTCTTGTGCGTTGCTGCCATGCACAAGGGAGTAGAGAGGGTCCGTCCCTCTTTACAGGGTTCCTCTGCTGCCCCTGCAATCGCCCTCTTTGTGCTGCCATGCCACCGTCCCCTCGCGGCATGTACAGAGCCCACATGAAAGCACGAGCTATCCAGCCTTTCACCTCCCCAGTCACATTCCCTTAACCACATTCTCTATCCCAACCCCCCCCTCATTGCTTCCATTGCTGTTTCCCCTCATGGCATGGCATGTGCAGGACGCAGGTGGCAGGCTGATATCAGCCCATGTGAAAGCGCAAGCTGGCTGCACTCCAGCCGCCACTGCTGCCCTCGATGTCGATGTGAGAGGCGATGTTGATGTGAGAGGCGATGTTGATGTGAGAGGCGATGTCGATGTGAGAGATCATCCCCCCACGTGTTGTCGTCGTCTTCCCTGTTAACTCCCCCCTTGTCATTTACCCCTTTGCTAGTTCACCTCTCTTCCTGATGACTGTCCATGCTGCCGTGCATCCATCCCATTCCATCCCATCCCATCCCATCCCATCCCATCCCATCCCATCCCATCCCATCCCATCCCATCCCATCCCATCCCATCCCATCCCTTTCCATGTCAGGCGGTGATGGCGGTGCCTCTCATCGTTCTCAACTCTGACGTCACCATCCATGCCAGCACCATCGCCCAACGGTGCGCAAATGCATCCATGCATCCCAGAATCCATGCTCCCATTCTTCCATCAGCACACGTCAGCATCCGAACCTGCACCAATGCTGATGGGTCCATGCGAACAGCATGCGCGCATCCCTCACATCGTGCACACTGCTCCACTTTAGCGTCCCCATCCATGCCAGCACCATTGCCTAACAGTGTACCCTTTGCCCCATGCATCCCCATGCGTGCACGCATACCCGCACCATGCTAATGCATCCCTGTCTGCATCATTGCTCCATGGGTACATCCACATCCATAGATGCATGTATTTACATCCATAGATGCATGCGTTTACATCCATAGATGCATGCGTTTACATCCATAGATGCATGCGTTTACATCCATAGATGCATGCGTTTACATCCATAGATGCATGCGTTTACATCCATAGATGCATGCGTTTACATCCATAGATGCATGCGTTTACATCCATAGATGCATGCGTTTACATCCATAGATGCATGCGTTTACATCCATAGATGCATGCGTTTACATCCATAGATGCATGCGTTTACATCCATAGATGCATGCGTTTACATCCATAGATGCATGCGTTTACATCCATAGATGCATGCGTTTACATCCATAGATGCATGTGTTTACATCCATAGATGCATGTGTTTACATCCATAGATGCATGTGTTTACATCCATAGATGCATGTGTTTACATCCATAGATGCATGCATTTACATCCGTAGATGCATGTGTTTACATCCGTAGATGCATGTGTTTACATCCGTAGATGCATGTGTTTACATCCATAGATGCATGTGTTTACATCCATAGATGCATGTGTTTACATCCATAGATGCATGCTTTTACATCCATAGATGCATGTGTTTACATCCATAGATGCATGTGTTTACATCCATAGATGCATGCGTTTACATCCATAGATGCATGTGTTTACATCCATAGATGCATGTGTTTACATCCATAGATGCATGCGTTTACATCCATAGATGCATGCGTTTACATCCATAGATGCATGTGTTTACATCCATAGATGCATGTGTTTACATCCATAGATGCATGCGTTTACATCCATAGATGCATGCGTTTACATCCATAGATGCATGTGTTTACATCCATAGATGCATGTGTTTACATCCATAGATGCATGCGTTTACATCCATAGATGCATGCGTTTACATCCATAGATGCATGTGTTTACATCCATAGATGCATGTGTTTACATCCATAGATGCATGTGTTTACATCCATAGATGCATGTGTTTACATCCATAGATGCATGTGTTTACATCCATAGATGCATGTGTTTACATCCATAGATGCATGTGTTTACATCCATAGATGCATGCGTTTACATCCATAGATGCATGCATTAACATCCATAGATGCATGTGTTTACATCCATAGATGCATGCGTTTACATCCATAGATGCATGTGTTTACATCCATAGATGCATGTGTTTACATCCATAGATGCATGTGTTTACATCCATAGATGCATGTGTTTACATCCATAGATGCATGTGTTTACATCCATAGATGCATGTGTTTACATCCATAGATGCATGTGTTTACATCCATAGATGCATGTGTTTACATCCATAGATGCATGCGTTTACATCCATAGATGCATGCGTTTACATCCATAGATGCATGCGTTTACATCCATAGATGCATGCGTTTACATCCATAGATGCATGCGTTTACATCCATAGATGCATGCGTTTACATCCATAGATGCATGCGTTTACATCCATAGATGCATGCGTTTACATCCATAGATGCATGCGTTTACATTACACATGATCCCCACCCCACCCTGCATCCTGCATCCTCATTCCTCTCTTTCGCTCTTCCCTCCCCATCCCCTCCTCCTGTCCCTTCCTGCCCATCTGCAGCCTGCCAGTGCGCAGGGCCCCAGTGGGGGGCGGGGCAGTGGGCGCAGGGGGAGCAGCAGGGGGGGGCGTGGGCGGAGAGGAGGACCCCATGGCTCCCCCAGTGCCGCCCAAGACGTTCTGGCAGAAATATGTGAGGCGCAGGGGGGTGGGGTGCGGTGTGATGGGTTTGGGATAGGTTTGGGATGGGTTTGGGATGTGTGGGGTTGGGATGGGTGTTATTGCACCATAGCCTTGGCATGTGGGCGGGAGGAGTATCAAAGTACTAGCGTGAGAATGATGCATTGAAAGAAACAGTTGGGTACAAGTAGCTAACCCTAGTTGGGGTTGTACCCTATATTGGCTACCCCACTACAGCCTACCAACATATAACACATTACAACTTAACACACCCCCATAGGCAAAGTGGGGGAGAACAAAGGGTCACAAGACCAGTCCAGCAAAGCAAAACAAGCCCAGGGTGGATCACAACGTCACCACACTCCGAGCACAAGCAAAGGCCACAAGGCCAGTTCACATGCAGTGCTAGATATAGAACAAGACAAGCAACAAGAAATATATAAAGTACAGTACAAAGAAAGTCAAGCAGTAAGCAAGTGAGGGAATGTGGACACAAGGCCTAAAGAAGTACAGTGCCGCTGATGATCACTAGGCGGGAGCGCCTTGGTGAAGATATCAGCAGTGTTGGCCTTCGAGTCCACGTACACAAGCCGAAGCTGACCGCGCTGCTGCAGCTCTCGAGCAAGAAAGTAGCGAAGAGCAATGTGCTTCGTCCTGTGCTCCAGTCTGTGCTCCTGACACAAGGCAAGGGCCGCCTTGTTGTCGCCGTACAGAACTGGAGGAGAACTAGGCCGCTCTCCCAAGTCAGTCAGCAGGTAGGTGAGCCAGCGTAACTCCTGTGCAGCCATGGCCGTGGCGTAGATCTCAGCCTCACAACTAGAGCTGAGAACAGAAGAAGAGCGGGTGGACCGCCACGAGACAGAACCAGAGCCAAGGCTGAAGGTGTAACCCTGCGACGACCGCTGCGTAGCCAGGTCGTCCACCCAAGAAGCGTCCGAGTGACCAGTGAGGACAACTCTGTCGCGTCCTCCAAGCACCAGCCCCATGCCTGACGTACTGCACAAGTAACGCAGCACCCTCTTAGCAGCCTCCCAGTGCTCTCGCCTGTGTCTCCCAGGCGCAACGTAACGAGCAAGGATGCTAAGAGGGTACGCGAGGTCAGGTCGCGTGCAAGTCATCAGGTACATGAGGCAGCCTACAAGCTTTGGGTACGGGCCACTCGGCTCTACGGACTCGTCCGAAGGTGGAGCTGAGAGCGAGTGACTGGTAGCCAGAGGTGTGGCCTGTGGTGAGGAGAACTGGAAGCCGAAGCGCTGAAGGACCTGCTGCACCATGTGTGACTGAGTCAGGGTAATGGTGCGGCGTGCTCTGTCCCGGGTGATCTGCAAGCCAAGGTAGCTACGCAGCTCTCCCAGGTCAGTGCAGGTGTGTCTCTTCTGCAGCTCCGACTTCACACGAGCGAGTGCCTCAGTGTCAGCAGTAGCAAAGACCAAGTCGTCGACGTACACGAGGATGTAGAACGGCGGCAGCGACGTGTCTGTGCGCAGGAACAGTGACGGGTCAGCAGTGGAAGGAGCAAACCCAAGGGCCGCAAGTGTAGTCCTCAGTGTGTCGTGCCACTCGCGTGGCGCCTGGCGGAGACCGTAGACTGGCCGGCGGAGGCTCCACTGGGTACCAGGCGGAAACGACCCAGTAAAGCCAGGTGGGCGGCGCAGCCAGATCTCCTCGTGCAGGCTGCCCTGCAAGAACGCTGTGCTGAAGTCAAGTGAGTGAAGCTCGTAGTCACGCTGAGCAGCAACGTGCAGCAGAACCCGAAGAGTGGTCATCTTCGGGGTGGGGGAGAAGGTCTGGAAGAAGTCAACCCCCTGACGCTGACTGAAGCCTCTAGCAACGTAACGAGCCTTGAAGACAGGTGGAGAACCTGGCGGCCGCTTCACCCTGAAAATCCACATGCCATCGACGATGTTCGCCCCAGGAGGGGGAACCTCGTCGACGTAAGTGCCTGTGGATTTCCAGGATGCCATCTCTGCGTCCATGGCTGTCTGCCACTGAGAGGAGTAGGGACCCGAGATCGCCTCTGCGTAAGAGCGCGGAGTGGGGATG